GACTCGATATTGCTACGCTTCTCACACCGTTTGCGCAAATGTATCATAGCAAGCGACTAATGCGAGATATGAGCACCCACCATCATTGTCTATATGCCTTATTGCCGGAGCGCAAAAAGGATACTCGTACACAGTGCATTGAAGAGTTTATTCATTTAACGTTGTAACGCACTGACATGTACGACTATATAAGATAAACCAGTCGCCGTGACTATCGGTGTGGAAAAACCGATCCACTAGCAAATTAAATACCTCTTTCATTTGCGGTAACTTCATAATCAGAAAGATCAGTCAGCACAATGATCCGTCAAATAAATCAGTAAATCCCGTCAAAACACCAGCATGAAGGAGTATTTCAACGTGTCGTTACCGGTAAAGAATAACTCCTCTATAATACCGTATTATCTGTCGGATTTTGACGCCCCGCTCTGGCTCATTCGCATGACGTGTCTGGCGTATTCCATCCAAGCGATCATGGATCTGCTTTTGTTTGCTGTGTGTCTGTACGATGTACGCAGTACCTACCTCCTACTACTACGGAAATGCTTCAAGAGCATACGATAGCAGGTGATCCATTCCCGGATGAGTTGACAATCAGGCATGGAACATTCAACCGCGCTGGACATCAGAATAAATAAATCAAAAAGTTGTCAGTCCATAATCAAACGTGTATCGAAACATTAGCAGTAAACAAGCGACAAATCCGGGATCGAAAAGAATTCAGCACATAGTGTAAAATATACTAGTACAGTACAGATTAGTGCTTTTTACGCTCGAAACCATTCTTACGGTTGCACCTGGCAAACCGTGGCTAGCTGTTTAAAGTTTTGATGAATTTGTACTTTCGAGAGAATAAAGAGAGGTTACCGGTAGCGACAAGCTTTGTGTTGGGAGCCACGGGACAATTGTAATCGGTCCTGACAAACCCTCTTGCTCACTTTTGTCCACACTTTTATGGCATCATCTAAATGAAATGATTTGTACAGGCATGCATCGGGGTGAAGACCTTTGCACGCGCAACATTCGATTGGGAAGTGCATTAATATTTATAAATTTTGAACGGGATGTGAAGTAGCGTTATCATCGCATTTCCGGCGTTAATTTATCGGTCTCTTGGTCGCAGTCTGCACGGCGTTCCACAACTGAAAACAACACCGGGCTGGCAGACGATCTTTAAGCAGAGACGGATGTTCAAATCATGAAAAACTGTTCTCGAAATCAGAACGGGATATTTGCACAGCGGAGACGTACATGTACAATATTATACACTATATACAGTTTAACAGTAAGCGTTATATTCATAAGCCATACTCATAACATAATGCGACATCTTGTTAATATCGTGCTGACAGTAATTATTGTTGTAAGACGTTCTCGTAGAGATAATGGCGCATAATGTAGTGCACAGAATTTTTTGCATACCCCCATTTTTTTGCATTTACAAGCATATAAACGTACAAGTACTAGACCTTATTTTAAAAATGCTGCATTTAGCAGTTAAAAAGAACATCATGACATTAAAGATTCTGGGACAAATACGTAATATTGTTCTTAGAGCCACAACAAAGGATTATTATGAGAAATTATCTTCTTCTGGCATGCTTAAACTCTTTAGGATCTTGACAGTATGTAGATACAGTTGCAAGGGTGACCGATGCACACTCCACACACCCAAGGCTGTCGGCTGGGCGCAGTGCAGCAGTGGCGCATATTTTATGTCGAGACAACGGTGATGGTGGGGGCGCGGTGGCCTACTGCTGACGCCTTTCCCATCGATCGAGACATTCGTCATACAGCGCACCGCTGCCGCAGCAATTGCACTCCGAACCAGAATCCATGTTACAACCGTACTCGTACTGAAGCGACAGATCGCAAGGCGGGTACTCGCTCAGTGCTGCCGGAAACATCAAAAGGCCACAATTACTACAAGGCCTACACGGTCTTTGCACATTGTGGAAGCTGGTTCTTACCGGGAAGTATTAGCGCTGCGAAGGCCACCAACAGCAGCAGTCCCAACATTCCCACCCGGGATGTATGCACAGCGGTCACAACCATTTTGATTACTGCTGAACAAAAGTGAGGTCACAGGACACAAGAAAGGCGCAGCTTCAGTCAGAACGTTTGCTAAAACACTACAAACCGTATCGAATGCACAGGAATTAAAATTGGAGCATTGGCACTGTTTACGGAAACACCAGAACTTCTTTGCTTATATGTATACCCAGTGGAATCTACGTGGCCAAGCATCCGACGTCCGGATATCGTTGAGACGGAGAATGCTGACTACGCTTAAGCAGAGCTCGTACTCTGCACCCGAACATTTTCCTGGGAAATTCTTAGCAAGTGGCCAAACATGACTGCGAATTGTGTGCACTCAGCACAGAATTTTTATGGACATTTTTTGGAGGCGCCTTTGGTCCGATCGAATACGCATGAACTGATGACTTCTAGTTTTCGACAGGCCAAAACTCAAGATTTCGCGTGTTTATTGGAATGTGCAAAGCTTGCAAAACTGGAGGATGTGCGGCAAAGTCCGTCTTCCGGCGGCCCTCCAGCGAAACGCAGAAATTAGTACGGATGAGCACAAAAAATATGCTGATTAAAGCAGCTCTTAAATAGCTTTCTTGAACGCCAGTGAAAAACGAAGAAGGAAACTGCCGAATATTATGAAAAAAATAAGTAAAAGTTAAAACAGAAAACACAGGAAGATTGTTTGGTAAAATACGTAGATGCAAATCCACGCATTCTTTCTGCCGGCACCTTCATGCACCTACCACGTTCCCTTTCATTGCGGGACTGCAGGCGCTCCCGGTGGTGTTCTCTACTGAAGTATTACAAAAAAACGTATATGAAATAAAAATTCTCTTATTTTATTCTTTTGAATACCGAGAATGAATAAGCGTAACAATCTGTACGAAAAGAAAAAGTAGAGATGTGACAAATGGAAAACCAAACTAAGAAACAGCAATTTTCAACGCAAAGCTGAATTCTACCACATAAAATTGTGTCATATGTATTGTTAAGTGTATGTAAGGGGACATTTCTAAAAATGTTTTAAGTTTCGTTACCAAAACCGTTCATTTTCATCGATAGAAATATATCTTTCATGGCTGCATCATCGCAATGAGGGTCTCCTGGAATGCTTCATTTTTACTACATGCTACATACTACAAACAAAGCACAGATACTGTATCTGGGAATTTTAGAGCCATTGATGATTTTAGAGCCATTGCAAACCATCTCAGTCGCTTTAAAAGTGAAATCTCCGAACACCCAGTCACAAGAGGAATGTGAATTCTGATAGCAAATCGGGGAGCCCGACGCTATCGGAAACATCGAAAGGTTGCTATCACTAGCAGGCTAACAAGATAAGCTGGTTCTTACCGGGAAGTATTAGCGCTGCGAAGGCCACCAACAGCAGCAGTCCCAAAATTCCCACCCGGGATGTATGCACAGCGGTCACAACCATTTTGATTGCTGCTGAAGAGAAATAAAGTCATGTAAGACAATCAACGTTCAGCTGTAATCAGAGCGCCCGCTAAAACACTATGGACCGTATCGAAAGCACAAGAGTCAAAACTGCATTAGTGGGTGACAGAGTTTACGGAATGCTGCGGAACGACAGAGCTTCCTTGCTTATACTTTGTATTTGCAGTGGAATCTACGTGGCCAAGCATCCGACGTCTGAAAATCGTTGAGACGGAGAATGCTGACTGTGCTTCGGCAGAGCTCGCACTTCGCAACCGAACATTTTCCTGGGAAATTCTTAACAAGTGGCCAAACGTGACTGCGAACTGCGTACACTCAGTACAGATATACAGACGCTTTACGGTCTAACTATTCGACCGGACTAAAGGCGTCCGGTCGAATATGCAGGAACTGATGACATCTGCGTTTTTGACAGATCAATCTCAAAATTCCGCGTGTTACTGGAACAAATGCTTGACGAAATGGAGGGTGTGCGGCAAAGTCTATCTTCCAACGATTTTCCAACAAAATGCAGAAATTACTGTAGTATAAAAGAAAACAAACGAAAACACAATTAAATGTGCTACTTAAAAAAACTTGAAGTTTTCTTGAACGGCAGTAAAACAAGAAGAGAACTTGCGAATATTATTGGAAAAAATAAAAACATATTATTTAAAAGTAGTTATTACGCAAAACCCAAGAAAACTGCTAGGGAAAAACCGGAAAATACATACAAATCAACGCATTCTTTCTACATTTACGGTTGTTTGACATCTCTATCAGTCTGTTTTGATCACGGAACTTAGGCGCTGGACTCGCCCGTGGTGTTCTCCGACTCGAGGACTTTAAAAACAAATCGCCAGTTAACTGCGACTAAAGACGTTAAAAATTGAAACTGGCTACATATACAAATAACATATGTACAGATAACAAAAGGCCAAAACCAATGCAGCAGAGCGCAGACAAAGAAGTACTGTATCACGCAAGTACTGTTTCAGAGCTATTACACGGTAAATTTCTGCAGTTTCAGAGCTACCGTAACAATTGTGCATTTCCTGGCTGGACATAGAGACGTGCTTGCTTTTTTTTCGGCGGAGTAACTTAATTGTAATTGCTAGGAAGTTCCGCAAGCTGACTGACTGTTACGTTTGCAGAAGTGCGCATGGTCACATGCCCGTGACACGTACCTTCGTCTTTCGGACAGCCCTTCCGTTACGTGTACCGGCACTTTAATTTGATCGTGAATTTCTCTTTGTACCATAAAACAACAAACGTCAAAGAACATGAAAAAACTATGTACTCTGTACGTATATACGTAATATAGATAAATGTAATTGAATTGCGATTAGTTAGGTTTAAAACATGCTCGCAGTGTGTCTAACCTTATGAATATTTTCCGTAACATATAAAACTGTGACATACGTATTAAGACGCACTGTATTGGGCATCGTCGAACGTTTACTGCGGATAATACGATGGTAAAACAAAACTAAACTGCAGCAACTCGTGGTCGGTTTTAATTTGAGGGAGAGATGAGTCACACGAATGAAAGCAATTATTGGTGCAAATGCTACTGCAGTACTGCTACAAACTACGGAGTATGCCACAACACAGGGTTATTAGATTATTAGATTATGCCACAACACAGGGCTACTGCCACAACACAGGGTTATTAGAGGAATTCATTTTCCTCTCGCACTGTTTGTGTTCTTTAGGATCGTGACAGCAGAGACAATTGGCACCGGTTTCCGGTTCACACACCCGCGGCGGTCGGTTATAATCAGTATAGCAGTGTCGCATATTATAGTCCCACGACGTATCGGTCCCACGCAGCGTTAGCGTGCTCGTCGGGGCAACGATGGTAGTGGGTGGCGGCACCGGTGTAGTGGTGGTGGTGGTGGGGGGCTTGGTGGTCTCAGACCGACGCGTTTCCATTCGATCGAGACAGTCGAACAACAGCGCTTCGTTAAGGCAGCAATTGCAACTCAAACCTGACACCAGGTCGCAACCGCTCTGCGCCTTTAGATCGCAATACGGGGCAACTAATGCTGCCGGAGACATTGAAAGGTCACTATCACTACAAGGCTCACATGATCTTTGCATGTTGCGGAAAGCTGGTACTTACCGGGCAGTGTAAGCGTTGCGATGGTCACAAACATAAGAAGCCCCAAAATTTCCACCTTGGATGTGTGTACAACCATTTTGATGTCTGCTGAACAGAAGTACGGTACGTGATACAAGCAATGCTCAGTTTCAATCAGAGCACCCGTTAAAAACTACAAATCGTACTGAATGTGCAGGAGTTCAAATTGTCTTAGTGACAGTATTTATGAACGGCACTGGAACGGCAGAACTTCCCTGTTTATATCTGCGCTAGAAGCTCCACCTAGCTTTTCTCGTGGTTCTGACGTCCGCCAACCGTTGTGACCGGTTGTGCTGACGGTGTTTCTGCAGAACTCACACTCTGCACCCGAATACGTTACTGGGAAGACATTTCTCAAGTGGCCGGACGTGGCTGCACCGTCGTATTGAAGGCAACAAGTAATCGCCCAAGCTGTGCATTCAGGCATCTTTTAATTCAGGTTAACGCAGTAAACATTTTTTCTAAAAAAGCGTAAACGAAACTCGATAATTTTTTTAATACATTGCATCATATGTGAACGTTGTAACAAGTGAATGCGCGATCACAATATTCTTCCGAGGATAAAAAATAAGCACACAGAGCAGCCAAAAAGATGGAAAACGCTGAACTCGCCGGTGATATTCTCCTACTCGATGACTTTACAAAAAAACATACAGATAGATGAAATAAAAAGTTTCGATTTCAGTATTTCGAATACCGAAAAAGTAAAAATCTGTATGAAGGGAAAGCGTAGAGATAAGGCAAATGCAAAAATTTGAACAACGGGCTGCAATTCTCAAGGCACAGATGAATTCTGCAACACATGTACTCCTATCATATGTGTAAGGCTAAACTTTTAATATTTTTCCGACTTTCGTTAATTACAAAAATCGAAAACAAATGTGGACATGTAACGATGTTTTACAATGTTCTCCCGGTGAGCTATAAAATTTCGGGTTGGCACAATCCTTTTCAAAGAGATCATATTGTCATGACCGCGAAGGTTATCTACAAGTTGGACATAAAAACTTCAGTATTTAGTTGCGCAAGTGTGGAATTTAGCGTTGTCGATGAAGATATATAACAAAGATTGCCAAAGAGTATTAACTAATTTTTATAACGCCAGGGAATAACAACGAGCAACTAGCAAGTACTGTCTTGATTTAATTCGATCTGGGAAATTACATCTCTAAAGTTCGACCTAACGAAAGGAAGAAAAATGCTATAAACTCTGCAACATCCGAAAGAAACCATGAGAAAAACGGAGACGCCATATAAAACACTACTTGAAGTACAGATCGTACAATACTACAACGAAAGAGAACTGAAAAATGTGTTTCCAGTACAGAGCGCCCTACAAAAACGAAACGTTTATGGTTTAATTTTGGTACAAATACACATGCCTTCAGTGTCGTTTGTTAAGTTGGCAGCCGCCAGTTGACTGCGATTAAGGACGTTAACAACAAACTGGCCAACATAAATAGCAAAAGCGAAAACCAATGCGAAGCAGACTGTGTACTGCAGTGTACTGTTTCAAGCAGTTTCCGACCAACAGTATTGTAACAATTGTGAACAATCTGTGAATAGACTTTAATAAATGTGAATAGTCTGAACTGTAATAATTGTGATTTTCCTTGCTTGACATATATTGTCCCTTGCTTTTTTGTCGGCCGTGCAGCTTAATTGTAACTGTTGGGAGAGTTTCGCAAGCTGACTGCGCTGTTAATTACTCGTACGTTTGGAAAGCTACGCATACCCGCGACATATACAGTATCATGTACTTTCGTCGTTCTCATGAATTGTTTGGATTACATATCAGGCTGTGGTATACTACCAAGCACCGTAACTGGCAAGCCACACAAATGAAAGGAAACTATTGGTGCAAATTTTATTTCTACAAACTATATACTGCAGATATGTGTTCTCAGAGCCACAACACAGGGTTATTAGAGAAATTCATTTTCCTCTCGCACTGCTTATGCTCATCCGGGTCGTGACAGCAGAGACAATTGGTACCCGTTTCCGGTACACACACCCGCGGCGGTCGGGTGTTATCAGTATAGCAGTGGCGCATATTATAGTCCCACGACAGATCGGTCCCACGCAGCGTTACCGTGCTCGTCGGGGCAACGGTGGTGGTGGGCGGCTTGGGGATCAGGGCCTGCTGCGCCTCCGCGCACAGGGACTTATGCCAATCGCCGAAGCAGCATTTGCAGCTGGAACCAAACGCTATATCACAACCGTCCGGCTCGTCGCAGTCCGGGCCCCTCATCACTGCGAAAGATCCGATCCCCCATGCTGCCAAAAACACCAAAAGGTAACGCTCACCTCGCATGAGGCCCACATGCCCTTTGTATACTGTGAAAGCTTACGTAATGATTCTTACCGGGGGGTGTCAGCATTGCAAAGGCCACCAAAATAAGCACTCCAAAAATATTCACACTGGATAAACATGCGACCATTTTTATTGGTGAACAATGAACGCGTAATACAGCCAACGCTCAGTTTTACCTAAGTTACGCGCTAAAATACTACAAGCCGCAGCGAATGCGCAAAGCTAAATGCCTACCGCGAGTAGTACCACGGAAAGCATAGAAGATACAGTAAGTACGATACTGCTTTACAAGGGCAGAACATCCGTACTTATACATATATGTATATGCAGCCGAGTCTCCACACCAAGCTTTTGGTCATGCTTCCGACGTCCGAAAACCATCAAGACTGCGAATGCTGACTGCGCTTATGGAGAACTAACATTCCGTTACCCGAATATGTTTCGGGGAAAACAAATTCTCAAGTGACCAGACGCGTAGCTACGCCGTGTACAGAAACATACGGGTTAACTGAAGTGGAGGCGACTTTGGTCCGATCGATTGCACTAGTTGATGCCATCTACATTTATGACTGGTCAATCTCAAGATTTCTCATGTTCACCGGGAAAACAAAATTTGCAAAATTAGAGTGTGCGCGGCAAAGTCTGTTTTCGACTGATTTCTCACAATTATGAAGTCGCATTAAAAGCTGCTGATGAACGCACAAAATCTGCGCATCCAAACAAACTTCTTATTTTATTCCAGTTAACGCCACATACAACCTTTGTAAACTACAGAAAAATGGTAAACAAACATTTTTAGCGCATCCAAACCATGTTTAAATATATAAGAAGTTTACATGCGATCACAATATTCTTTCGGAAATAAAAAATAAACGCCAAACGCAGCCTAAACGTTAAAAACATTCGACCCTTGGAAAAAAAACAAACCCTGTTAAACGCTACAGCAAAACCAGGAAGAAAACCCTAGAACAAAACTGGAAAAAATAAAAAAAAATTAAACGCCATATTCTACTCTCTTTTAATTTTCTTCGCCGCGTGACCTTTCACCGCCGGGTGCTGGCGCTGGACTCGCTGGTGGTGTCCTCCGGATCGCTGATGTCCTCGTACATCCACGCCTGCCCGGGGCGGCTGGCCGTGTCCAGGTCGTCGTCGCTGGCCGGCGAGTGGAGTATCACTGAGAACAACTACAATGTGTCCACAAACCGGCGCAGACAACCGGAAAACAACAGTACAGCGCAACCACCACACACCACCAAGCGGAAATTAGCAGAAAATAAACACTGCCACGTGGCGCAGCTGAACACAGCGGCTTTTTTACCTCGATATTGGAGGACTTCCACCCAGTACGGCATCTGGATGTTGATGGCGCGTTTAATGTCCAGAATGGAACTACAAAGAGACGACGGTAAGAAACAGAAAGCGCGAATTATCTGCAGCGAAGCAAGTGAATCATTCGTGCAACACGCCTGCAAAAACTTAGGTGAATATAAAAGAGGCAATTACGTATTCAGCTTAGTTTTGAAGAAAAACGATAATCTGCTAAACCAGAGAAAAACGCAAAAGGAAACAAGGCAGTTCATCGCTTATTGTTAGCGCTTTACAGGCGTGTGGTACTTTCAAAGAACAACAGCTCCTCAGTTTACCAGCCACAACACTACGTTAAGTCCTCAAGTGAAAACTACATCTTACAACTGTTAACAAGTACAAAGTAATCATAACATTTCATTGTCAGTACGACTCTGAATAACCACTGGGGGTTTTATAATGCAGTTATATTAACACACTTCGTTTTGGCATATAAACGAAGTACACAATAAAAAAAATCAGAAAATCAAATCAAAATTTCGGCTTTATATTTGCAGCTCGTCAAGAGGGAGTTTTGTTAGTATTTTCCGTTGGTCGAAGACTCATAGCGAAAATACGAAATTCCACTACCAAATTCACTGATTACGCCGTACTGGTATTTAGGAACAACTGCCATTAGCCTTTCGACCAAGATTATTATGTCACGAAATCTGGCGTACAAAACGATTTATTGTTATACATCCACGGGTGTGTATGAAGTTTACCGGTGCGTACTTTTAGGAGGATACTCGTATATTATGCGTAAATTAAATTAAATTCGTCCGAATATTGCCAATAATAATCCTGGCACAGGTAAAATTAATTTTTTGTCGGTAAAATATTCTTCTCAATAAACTTATTGCACAGAAAAAACCAGAATACTAATAACTTCACCGGTGCGTACTTTTTGGAGGACGCCACGAGTTTGCCGGGACAGGTCATCTGGCAGGGAAGTCCCATTAACGCCCGCAGCACCGCTTCGGCGCAATCCTCCAGCAGCTGCAGTTCATAGCCGCCCTCCAGGGCCAGCACCACCTTCCCACCCGCCAGCGACATCAACATGCGGGTCATGGACCAGAAGCCGTACGGCGTCACCTGACAGCCCCCGAAATCCCCTTTGGCCGCGTCAAAGCCGCAGCAGACTAATACCAAGTCCGGCGCGAACTGTACAAGCGACAAAGAGAAATTATTACGCGGCTGAGAACGGGAGAAAAAAAGACACGCACTTTATACGCCATGGGCATCACAATCTGCAGGAATGCTAAAATATAATCGCCATCGGTCCGCCCCTAAAACATATACAAAATGCCATCACAACCCATTTCAGTCGGATGGCGCTCGCTTTCAAAAATAATATGCTAAACATTAACTGCAAAATTAATTACAACGAAGTGGATTAGGATCTTGGGAAAAAGTGCTACCACTGAAATCTACCTACAAAATTGTTCCTTCCAACTTTGGTTTTGTGTTAGTTACTATATTGAATTGTTCCTAAGTACACGTGTTTCACTTGTTATTTTATCTTATTAATATTTTTAAGTTGTCTTTAATGAAATTTTTTGAAGCCGGTTAAGAAATTCGACATAAAATGAAAACTGTGCGATTTCCAAGGCAAAAGTGGGAAAAAACCCTACCGTATCCCCCCACGGAATATTGACGTTATAACCACGCCCCGGTGGATCGCCAACCCTCTCCCGATTTTTCCCCGGTCCCGGTGGATAGAAATCTTTGCCGTCTTTATGTCCGAGATGGATGGAAATGTATAGAACACTATTATAAAAAAAACAAAACACTCAATATAACAACAAAACCTACAAGAGCTTTTGAAAGACAATGAATGGCATAATAAATTACTAAAACTATCCTAGACATCTACTGTTTGTACCAATTAAAATGTGCGAGATACGTACGAGGTAAATATAAACTGACTGTGAAACGTCAACACCTGGTGCTGATAATTATTATAAAAAAACCGTCTCTCACCGTGGATCATTGTAGAATGCCTCCTGGACACCATCTCCATGATGCAGGTCCCAGTCCACAATCAAAATCCTAATAAACACTGAGGGTTTTCCGTACTGCAATCAAACGATTTAACTGACCAATATCGCACCGATTATTTGGCAGTGCGCCGCTCTGCAACAGGCGTTTGGCGGCGACGGCCACGTTGTTGGCGAAGCAGAAACCGGCCGGAAAATGATGATGGGCATGGTGGCCGGGTGGCCTGCAAAAGAACAACTGAATGAGACTGAATGATTTAAAAAATAGGAGTTTGTTTACCGCACAACGGCGAATCCATTGGTGGCTCGCCCGCTGACGACTTCATCGACCACCGCCTGCACGCAGCCCGTGGCGCACCGGATAGCATCAGCCGAACCCTAATTACAATACGAACAACGTTTACAAATTCTGCAATAATTTTCAAAATTTCTGGTCGTAAAAGGAAATTAAGAAACTAGATTTTGTTTATTAATAGTCAATAAAAAATCGGTATGAAAATCGAAATAATGGTTGTACACGGTGCAGTCCGCGATCACTCGATCATTTTCAAAATTTTATCATTTTAAGCCAACTGTACGATATGAGATAAGGAAACTATTATTGTTCCACTAATATTTCGGAGAATGTGGGCGAATTTTGTATAAATTAGCATGTAACAAACAAAGTAGCGTGGCTATCATAAGAGAAAATTTGTAGTGCAATGTCACACTGGGAAATTGCCCCGGAAGTAGGAAGTAATGTGGTTAAACAATTTTATTAACGAACAAAGATGCAATGTACTTTGCCAAACGTACGCTATAACTTATTTCTGATTTTTAAGTTTTTTTCCATAAACTATTTGACAAATTAAACTGATGTGATCAAAGTGAACGGTAATTTATAAACGTCCACAGATTACGAGTGAAATTTAATTTTTTCAAACCGGCAGGTGACAAGTTGTCACGTTTCCGGAAGCATCATGAATTTCTACAAGAATACTATAAATTTCTTGGCTATAAATCACCTTGGTGACGTGGATGTCGTCAGCCCATTTTTCCTCCTCGGCAACATTGCATTTTTGGAACTTGGTCATCATGATCATGGCTTCTTCCGGTGCCGTTAAGTAGGACGAATATTCTTCCCTGTTTTCAAACAAACATCAATATAACCGAGTTAGATTTCCAATGGGTACTGCGTACGAATGAATGCTACGAAAATCCTCCGTTCCAGCCGGGTTACCCTGCAACAAACAACGACCGCACTTAAAAAAAATGTCAAGAATTCCACTTTTTATTTTGCAGTATTATATTACTATTTATTTATTATTCATTTATTATTATAGTAACTGCAGCAGCCAATTCCTTCATATGAAAATATCTTACCAGGGACTGGGAAATGTTTTCTGTGAAATTCTGAAAATTTTCTACGTTGTTTTGGTTTTCGATTTTATGAGATAAAAGATCACTTCAGACATTACAGTTTACACACGAGCAACAAAACAGCCGTGAACCTTAAGATAAAATTTACAAAGAAGAATGGAACAAAATGTTGCGGAAAATACCAAGATTTTACCGGTACGATGGTGCAGTGGTGAAGGAGACCGGCTTTGGCCAGACGATCATGAATAACACGAATTCTCTGCCAGTGATCGATATTCAAAGGCTCCTCCGCTTCCTCCATTTTGTTGTGGTTTTCCATCACCCGATTATACCCGACGCACGTCCTGTGCGAACATCAAAGTACACACAAATGAAAACCGATAGACTATAGACAAAAGGTCACCAATTACGGTTTTAAAAATTCAACTAAACCGACACTAACCATAAACAGGTAATCAAAAAATTTTTTTCTTGTAAATTCCGCTACACCTGCACAAGAAGTAATGAAACTCAAAGTAATGAAAATTTTAACATTTTGAAATCCAGTGAATCCAAGTTCACCTTCATAAGCGGGCACCCAATTAACATTTTTTTGTTGTAAGATCGTGATCTGGTTTCTAAAATTTATTTATAACTTTATTAATTTATTAAATTCATTTAATATCTCAAATTACCAGAATCACAATAAAACCAGCTCACAGGCTACAAAAACCTAATTAATGTGCCTAAGCAAATCTCGAGACTTCTACAAAAGCAAAAAGCACCAAATACTATAATTGTATAGCAATCAAAAGAATCGCTTATTATAAAAGCTGTCCATACCGATTTCGCAAGAGACGTTGCTTCCTGCCGCGGTCGTACTCCGCGGCCAGTTTCGCGATTTCATGGCGTATTTCCACGGCTTCACTGGGTGGATAGTACGGTGTACATCCGTAGGCTTCGTTCGGCAGTTCCTCATCCAGACCGCGGAATATAATACGTGGCACATGTTGATCGTATCTGCAAAAAAAGGAAAAATATTTATTTAGCCATTTAATGGTACTGCATGCCAAAACCATGACATTATTTATCGTTCAGTCACATAAAAACAAACCAAAAAATCCCACCGAATTAGATGATCTTCCAAAGATTACGAAAAGAAACCTGTTTCGTTGAACCGATGAAATGCAGCAAGTATTTCGCGCACGATTACATCGGCACTTTACTTACTGGCGTTTACCTATTTATCTTTTCATTTACAAATACGAAAATACTATAATTTATACATTATAATATTATGAAACGCAATGTAGAGAAGTGGCTCATTTGAAAATAAACAGCCGTACGCTGGTAATTAGTACGAGTAATTACAACGATAAAACGCGGCAAGCAAAATTTGAAAAATAGTTTTCAAACAGTCCAAAGACGTACTTTTTCAATAACTTTGCATTTTTGGTCGGATCATCAGTGAGCATCTCCTGGAATGCTAAATTCTTCCAGTACCGTCGCAGCATGCTGATCACATTTAAAATGGACTTGACCACCCTGCACAGAGGCCACATCATGGTAATAAACCGCATTTTAATCAGTCCGAGGTGCAACTAAAATCGGAAGCACGAGGACGTCATAATGAGTAATGCCACTGCAGCTTACGATGCATCCGGTGAGCCTATTTCAGGAAGAGGATAGCACGGATATCCCATCAATGCTTCCAGTGTGCACACGACACCCTGCAACAATAATTGTTTGGTTACATTGGGCGCATGCAAAAATCCGCAAGATTTTCCCCAAAGAATTTACCTCCGATAAGGATTCTTTACAATATCCACCCTGTAATAACAGAAAAAGCCGAATTAATTGGAAAAATCTCAAATCCGGGAATGAGTGAATTGTGGCTCACCTCTAATATCACAGCCACTTTCCCCGCGGCAACGCTGGATAATGCGTGCGTCAAGTGCCCATACATCGCCGGAGTCACTCGCATCCGTCCCTGTCAATTAATCGACAAGTACTTAATTATTCTACTGAGTTTTGGAAATGCTTTCAAGTTTTCAAACGGACCTCAGGGCAACCGATGGCCGAATCGTAACCAGCGGACACGATGATCAACTGCGGGTTAAACTGCAAAAAAAGGCAAATTTTTGCAGATTAGTCTTTTCGCATAAACATAATTGAAAACTCAAGAAAATAAAAACAAAATTGATTTATTCAAATTTGTAATGTTTGATATTGATTTATGCTTGTAAACACCAGCACCATAAACTAACTGTGAGAGACATTTCGCAGCTGGCAGAAATGTGTTCTGCAATCTGCATTTTCAACCACAACGACATACAACCCTTAACGTAGAATAATGGCACGTAAGGGCGAAAGCTTACTCCTTATCGTGTAACAGAATGAATTATAGCATTGCACTGTAGATGTTCACTCGATACATTGTACCTTTTTTCTGTAAATCTACGGTATTCTCAAATGATATGACCAGACTTTTTATCAAATCCAGTGTAATACTAGCGCTTCCAGAATGAACCATTCTTAAGAAGAAATTGTGAAAATTTCAAATAAGCGAACCGGTAAATTATTAGAAATTATTATTCTGCAAGCAATCGGCCAAGGCGGTTATCCTTACTTCGTACGCCACCGGCAGCAGGATCTGCTGGAAGATGGCCATGTAGTCGTTGTCACCCAGGCCGGTTTTATTCAGCGGCACGTTGATGTTGTAACCGGCTGCCTCGTTGTCCCCGATAAAATCAAAGTTACTTTCCAATAAATTCGGCCAAAATTCGCCCTCTTCGTAGCGGTGAATTGAAAAGTACAAAACTCTAAAATTATACATGAATGTAGAACGGTGGCTGCAGGCACCATCGACCAGATCTTCACGCTCTACGCGCTGACTTACCGTTTATCATCATAGAATATTCTTTGCGTTCCTACAAAGAAAAAATCACAAAATATAACAAATATTTTTTAACTATTTTTTGCAGAATTCTGTAAGCATCTCCCTAAAATATAGGAAATACATATTAGGAAACCGGATAAAATTAAAGAAATACAAAATAAAAAGATGGGAATATACGATTATTAATTAAACTGTTATAAAATCAAGGAATGATCGTAATGACGTGGAAAATTAACGAACAGTAGAGTAGCGCCAAGCGCAGCAGTGTACCTTGCCCATGATGAATATCCCAGTCAACGATGAGAATCCTGCAACAAATCCGCGACGTCGATAAGAGAAAATTGTATTTTTACTTAGTTTTTAGATAATAGTGTACGGTAAGAAATACACCGTTGAATTCGGTAGCTTTTACCGTTGCAATCCGTGTTTCTCCATGGCATATTTAGCACCAATAGCTACGTTGTTAAATAAGCAAAACCCGTTACATTCCGCGGTGGAGGCATGATGGCCGGGCGGTCTGCAACACGGCAAAAATGCACAAACTTAACTGCAACACGGTACAGAAATGAAAAAATACTGAAAATAACAAGAACAAGAAAATAACAAGATAACAAGAACTAATAATAATAAAACTTTCTAGTATTTAAAGAAGCCATAAAAACGGGCAATACGGTGACTCTTACGGGGTCACTCTGATTTGGACCATAATCTGTAATCCTTTAAAATTTCATTAATAATTTACACAGTTTAGCCATGAAGTAAAAATAAATACAACAAAAATTTATTCGTTCATTCATGTTATGATGCCAATTAAAAACAACGAGCACACATGGAACAATATTTTTATGTTTTGAAAACCCGACTCAGGTAGCCTACCTGACCAGAGCAAGGCCGTTGCGTGCACTTCCGTTGGCGACATGTTCGATAAGTTCCAGGGTCGAGCCAGCGGCGATCAGCGCGCACTCATAAGATTTCTGCAAAATTCGACAAATTCAGCATTATTTAAAATAAACCATGAGAGAAACCGTATTGAAACCGAAACCCCGTCGAAAAAACAGGCGCACGAATACAACGAAAATAATACATTATTCGCGAGTTATTTAGGTGGTTTCGCTTCTGTTCACGAACTAAACAGAATAGACAACGGATAGATAAGGATTAACAGACAGCAGATAAAGAGTCAAAAGATAAAATAATACAACTAGTGAATTTTTCCAAAAATAATTATACCGTATACGGTACATTATTTTATTTTATACCATCATTATCTGTATTTGGATTACAAATTACAATCACTACATATTACAGTTAGAAGTATTAATTTTATTAATCCAGTATAACCGAAAGTTAAAAAAATGCATATGAGCGATAATTCCAACAAACTTACAATCGAATTAGAAAAGAAAATCCAGTAGTCATGTCCATTTCGCCTTATGTTCGCAAACAATGCAATAAATTTTGAAAATCGCAAGTTTGAATGACGGATTTTATTTTGATCATCCTGAAACCAGCGAGGCGAGTTGGTTTTATGTTTTAACAAACGAATTTTCCATTGTGGCATCGTTAGAAAAAACACCCCGTATTAACTAAAAAATATCTAAGTAAAAACTAAAAATCTTAATTATATTTTGCAAAATTATGTTCAAGTGGATTACAGTAAATTGGATTTCCGGTGAATTATATCCCGTGTTGTGTTTAACAGACCCATCGTGTTCAATATTATGAGACTGACCACATTAGCGGCAACAGCGGTTTTAAATGACTCAACATTATTTTCTTAACCGACGCGAGTACAAACTAAACCTATCAAACCCCCAAGTGCACCTTTCACCGGCTGACGAAAGTGCAGGCAGAGTGTAAATAAGCCCTATATCAACAAAATAACTACCGGCACACAACTGCATTAGCCTTCCTTCCATCTGCATTCTGCAAATGCAACGTACAGCGCCGACTTTACAGTTTACACTCGTATGTAAATTTAGTCGATTCTATCGTCATCCACGTCTGTGCTACAGTGGAAAGTGGGCGACGCTTACACCAACTCAAGTCTCATCTGGCTGAGTGAGAATAGCACTACTTCGTACACCGGTTACAGCTTAAAAGCTTTAGCTAGGAAAATCCAGTTCCCCGATAACTTGATTTTCGCCAAAGTTTTCTAAGCAAAAAAACCATGCCGCTGCCGTTTCTGAATAATCTGGACAGCCTGGCCACTCTGGGCACCGGCATCTTCGCCGGCACGGCCTTCTACATGACCAGCCAGGAGGTGCCGGCGCTGCGCGATCTCGGCCTGGATGAGCACTGGAGGTTCTTCCCCCACATGTACCATCGGGCCTTCGCCTACCAAGGTAAACCATAATTTTTCTTGGTTTCTTGCAACTGATAAGCTAAGATGCGACTTCTCATAGGAAATTCCGCAATAACCGCTTTTTTTTGCCACCGTATAAGCCGCTACTAGCCTGTACTATTATCCAAAAGTGAATTTTGTAGTGCAACGGTTTTAACAGCTCTTCGGAAACTTGCAGAACGAAAGTAAAAAGGCTGATCAGCATAATGCGTACTGAAACTCGGCAACTGTTACTTTAGATTTACAAGTGTTTTTTATCCTTAGCAGATTTTTCCGAAAGCGATCTCCAGGGTGCACTAAATCGTCTGCAGTATTTCATAAAAAATTTAACACAGTTAACGCAATCATAAAACTTTTTTTTTAAACAGGACAGTGTAAAACGAGAGTAATGTCGTATGTTTTGGAAAATCCGCTCGTCAAATATCATCATTTTGGAAAAAAATTGAAATACATCATTCTGTAGAAATTCCAGTTGAACCGTGCGCCGTTCCTCAAGAGACTGACGCTTTTAGGATTAACAGCCGGTGCACTACAAAGATCAGCATCCAATAACAAATACGCCAGTCTGAGTCCTGGTGCTTAAATCTCGTTATTAGCGTGCTGGTTTAATTACACTGATTGCTAACTGCGTTCGGCAACATAGAGCGTTCCCAGTCACCGCTTCCATTCTAACTTTAAAACTTATGAAAATATATTTAAATACAGATTTTAGCATAAAACTATTATTTTATCCAAAAGTATACGTGTACAGGTATAATACATTTTATTTTACACGAGCACTATCTAAAATACAATAATTTGTTATAATTAATAGACAAAAATTAATTTTCAGAAGGTGCCCAGAACAAAGTCTGAAACTAGCAAAAAATGAGTACGCACACAGCCGCGTATAAACGTAGTACGAGTACATTATGACCACACAACTGAACCAAAGGAACCCAGATTAAAGAACCAACTCTGCCGCATGCTCTTTGTTTCACAATATCGCTATTTTCCTGCTCTAGTTTTTTCTACAACGACGCAACATAATTTACAAATGAATTAAAACTTTTTTCTTCTACTCCAAGGCCTGGTTAACGGAGCCGCCAGCGTGGCGGCCATCGTGCACGGCCTGCGCATCACCAACTCGGATTTCGACCGGAAGTTGTGGATCGGCGCCGGGGCGGCCTTCCTGGCCCTGTGGCCCTACACGCTCCTGGTGATGGTGCCGACCAACAACCAGATCGTCGACGACAACAAGAAAATGACGCAGGGCGTGCCGTCCAGCGTGGAGCCGGCGCGTCGCAAAGAGATGCTGGAGAAGTGGAACTGCATGCACGCCGTGCGCACGGCCGTCGGGATGGGAGCGTTCGGCCTGATGATCTACGGATTGGCGCGTCATGCTTCCCTCGTGTTCAAGCAGTAGCAAGCAATCAACGGATATCTACTTTCGTCATTTTAATTTTCCATTTCACGCAGCTATTGGTTTGATTTCTCTAGCGTTTTCGGGCGATGATTTATTTTTTCAACGATTAACAAGCAGTTTGCTGTGAAAACCAAATGAAATCGTCGCAAAATGTTTTAGCAAAGCCAACTTGTTTCTCTGGAGATTTCGGTGAAGGACTTTCGTAATAATTTTCTTGACAATAAAAGCCTGCGTCTGTATCTTTCTCCGGGTCGGAGAAGCGCATAAAACGAAATAAAAAATAACAAAAAAATCTGAACAGGCATAAACAATACGCAATACGTCGGCAATTTTCATTTAACGATATTTATTCTATATTCTATAAGGCAATCTCTCAGAAACTCAAGATATAAATTCTGAATTTTTACACCACGAAAACAAGTGATTAGATTTCCGTTTGACACAAAGAACAACAAGTGAGAAAATATAAGACAATCTTATCTCACCTTCAAAGCAGATAAATCGTTAATAGTAGTAAATTATTAAATTAATAACAATGTACCTATTGACCTTCCAGCAATTCACACCAATTACTAAATTCGGTTTCTACTCGTACACACAATAAACAACACCCAACACGGTGTGCAAGACTACTGCAATGTTGCAGATGTTCCTCAGGAATCGACAGAATCGCAAAAACAGACAAAGTCTTCTTAGAGATTCCTGAAAACTACGGTACACGGTTCATAAGTTTTCCACACAAAATCTCAAGTTGTGCGCGACTATAATTTCCTATCAGGACGATCTGTCGATCTTCACGCAGCGAATGACATGTTCTGCGAAAAAAGTCAATCGTTTGATATTCGTATCAAATTACCAACTCATTTCTAAGCATACGTTGCTGCAACTTAAGACCGTACAGACCAAAGAAACAGAGCATCTGAACCTCTATTCTATGATTAATCACCATAAACTTTCACTATTTTCGTAGTCTCGACTCTCCGTTAAAATATTCCTTTCACTTTTCAGCGCGCTAATAGTGCACGATTTACTGTGAATGTCCGAAACCTCTGGGCTAACCGGTCAACAGTGACAATTTTCTCAAAATTATTCTTTGAAGTTACCGATGTTAAAAAAACATCCGCTTTTCACAAATTCTAATGTAATATACCTTCCATCTTCGTTTAGCAATTGTGAACTCGAGTTCAGGACATTGCTATAGCAGCCCTTATTCTACTGCATTCGACCACTATACGTAGAGAAAAACTCGGCAGTTGTTTTCTATTTGTAGCTATGAAATCACGATACACTATAAATATCAGCGTACTTCACAAGATGTAAAAATTCGCGCGAGAGTTTGCACTTTTGATAGCAAATCCAATAAGTACTTGTATCGAAAAAGGTCGGAATCACCACAGAACCACGTAGAGAAGCCAAGGGTTTTCTGTGCAAAATACCCATCGCTGATCGTGATAAGTCTTACCTCATTGATGTAGACATCGTTGAAGACTTCGGAGAATTTCTTGAGATGCGCCTGATTGGGCAGAGGTCTGGCGGTGCAATGCGATGCCACCGTGTCCACCAATTCTTTCGCGTGCGCTAACTGCAGTTCCCGGCGTGTGGCCGGTCGCGACTACAGAGAACAATCATGAACAGAAACCGGACAAGGAAAAATTAACAGCAAAAACTTTTCAAAAACACGAACCATCTGAAATATTGCTAAGGAAACACCGTTGTGCAGAAAAACTGATTAAGCAACATTTGAGAGATATCATTAAAACCAAAAAATAAAACTAAATCACAAATTAAACTTAAAATAAAACAAAAAATACAACCCAGAAATCAAGAGCTAAGAAAGTCGGAACGCATCGCTTTTATTTCATTTATTCAACGCAGAGTATAAACCAATTTTATCATTTTTTATGTACTTAAATAATTTATTAATTATTTTCTTATTAACACTGACCAAAAAGAAATATTTTCATTTGTTTCGTTAATAAATAATTTGTCTGTAATAAACGGTAATAGTTAAACCGCAATACAGTATGTTCGTTGACATATTATTCACTTCGTACCATATTATTTCGTGATTTATCCGTGAAGAAACTTCAATACAGAAAAGAGATTTTCCGGATTTTAATAATTTTAAATTCATATTTTTTTGCAAAATTTTTGCAAGGCATTTTTATTTTCGATTTTCTTACCTCCAACACCATGCACTGCTTGGTCAAATTCACTGCAATAAAAAAGCCCGAAATTAGATGACGAAGATTATGCAAGCAGTGGAATAAATACAGCACGACTGTAAGTGAGCAACGATGAGAAACACGCGACGTCGCTCATTTAATTGGCGATTTCCTGTTATTTCCTTTGCGTATACCTCCCAGATGAAAGAGCCGTTTGATGATGGACTGGGTGCGCTCGGGACGTTCTGCATGCAGGGGATCCCAGGGACAGAAATGATTTTCCATGTCCTTGTCATAGATAAACGCGGTCTTCCTGTAGAAACGTAAGAAAATCAGAAAGCTACAACAGTGCATCCGTCGATGATAGAAGTTTTCCGTTGTCAACGGAATGGCAACTCAACGAAAACAGGCACTCTATCCGTCTATATGACTATCTGGCAACTCGACGAAAAGAGGTACAGCCACAGGAAAGGTATATCTTACTGGTCGGTTAGCACGTCCTCGGCCATTTCCACACTCCAGAACACTTCAGCAGCGAAAGGGAAAATGAGCGAAAATTGTACAAGTAGTAAACTGTCAACCAGTCAAAGAGTCAATAACCAAAAGCACATGCAGCTTCAGAAGATTCTGATATTTCTGTCGTCACCGTTCCACTTGCGATAGAAGTATGCATGCAGTTGATGCAGAATTACATGTGCATATCAAATCTGAATGATAACTGCATTGTAAAATAATTAAAAACTGCGAATTTGCTCTACATCTGCGAAGGAAGCTGCAGAAATCCTGGATGAGAGAACCAAAAGTAAAGGACCAAAAACCTGCACGGATTTTCAGGTTCTACTGTTTTTGAGAATGAACATGGCGTGCAAAACAACAAGAGTAGCGCAGCACTGACAACGGCAGAGAGTTATCAGTACTACACTTCCTCCGTGGGCGGTAGCTTGTTGCGACAGCAGTTGCACGCTCGAGATTAAGCACTGCATACTCAGCTTACAATACCATCTTTGCAAAATTTGAAATTAAAAGTTTTGGTCATTTCACCCATTTGCAAGGTGTCTGGAAATTAAATTGACTTAAACATAAATTAAATTGACTTAAACATAAATAAAATCCCAAATTAAAAAAATTATGTACCAAAACGTAACCTCAATTTTGTTTTATAAATAAAAAGTTGAATGCAATATTAAAGGTTACTTTACTGATAATATTACGTTATTTTCAGTACTCGTAGCCTCGATTATATTTTAAAAAAACTGTATTTAACCTGATTAATTTTTCCATCAAAAACTACTTCAACAATGATTCTAAAAATTCAGTTTGTCATTTCAAACCGCTTAAAATGCTCTATGCCTATGCTGGTCTTTAAAGGATTTTGAAATGATTTGATTTAAAAACCTGGAAGGCGAAACATTGATTTGAAATTGTAGATTTCGACCCTGCCTTTAGCATCACTAGCTGCAACTTTGCATCATAAAGCCTTTAATAATATGAGCTGCGACTGCAAAAAAAAATTTCGTATGTTAAATGTCACAAATATGAAGTTATTGCGCAAATTTTAAGCTCGCAGATTGGACGTCTATCGGTTAGTTCTGTAGTCACTACACTACAACTGCGCTGATTTTACCATTTTCTTAATCTCGAACGATGTTCTATCGTCAGTTTTTAATCAATCCATAATCACCACTATTAACAGGATGAATGAACGGGCATGCCGCCACGACTAAACCGCACCCTATTCACAGCTGATGCCCCCGACAACTGCGGGGGGAGAAGCAAGAAAACAAGAATAAATCACACACATAAATCCCAGCCACTGCTAGTATACACCATCCAACCAAACACCATACTTCGCAAGAAGAGAAAAAATTCTGTGAAATAAAACTCTCTGAACACCAGCCGCAACAGGAACGCCAACATATATCGCAAGGTCACGCGCACAATTCGGGCACCACTATCGGAATAATAATTATCGAATAATAATATCGAAGAATCCGCGCATTGTGAGCAGGGAGGCCAAAGGGAATCGGCGGGCGCAATTCCGGTCAACGCAGAATAATTATAACACTTCATTCATTGATCACAAAGCAATCCAAAAGACGGTCAGGACAAGAGAGGCGCAGGGTGTGTGTATAATATTATACAGTGTGCTGCAGGCGGTTTCCTCCAGTTCCTCAGTAGAAACTCCACGCCTCCACCATCTTCACCTGGAAATCCCCGCAGGGACACAGGGGCTCGTTGTCGAAGGTGGTGCACTCCTGGGTGCGACCGTGGAAGAAATCACTGTCCAACCACAGACCGAAGGTCCCACTGCAATGACAAACAGTAATCAAACAGTGGATTTGATTAACTGTATTATTGTATTGGTAAATCCGGCTACAGAATCTCATGTTCTCGAAGGTGCGTGAATTTCTTATTCTGTTATAAACAATAATTATTTGACTGGTTCGAAATTTGAAGACAAAAATGGTCACAGGATGAACGCTACGAGTGAGTAGCTAACGATAAGTACAATAAAACATTATACGTATACAACGGTATATTTTGATCTTTTAACTGTTTCAGATAAACAGGTGCTAACTAACTGCCTTTGCATGGGTGTTGTAGAGTAGTTGCTCTGCCCAAAACTCGAAAAAGACTACGGCCCATTGGGAAAAGTTATCTACAGTTCAATCTCAATAAAACAAAAAAATAAAAATTTTAAAATAAAATAACTTTTGCTGTGGGGATTGTTTGGTGTTCATGTAAAAGCCAATAAATTCTGCAGACACTTGAAAACGCAAAAAAAAAAACAGATGTATTATCCAGTGAAAATTTATCAAGTCCACTAGTGAAATGTTAAAACTGACAATCAGTGCCCTTTTCCAGCGAATCGCATTTAAAAACTTTTATGGACCCGGTTAATGGCGAAACACATTTATGCTTGATGGATAAGAAAATCATTCGCCACCTAATCCGATATTCTCCACCAAACGACTAGCAGCACCATAAACGCTTATCAAATTTCCAGTTGGTTTGTACAGTAAATCCCAGTACTGCATAATCCATACATTTTGCGATGAATTTCACGATCACACAAAATTTCAGTAAATTTTTACTGGTGCCAAGGTTCCATTTATTTTTGGATACTGCGCAACCAGCCGAAAAATAAGATGTCTTCCTCCACGTAAGTTTGGGTAACTTACCAGCTAGGTAAATGTAAGGGCGAATTACGTCTATCGTTCACGTACCTTCCTGATCCAATGGCAATACTTTCCGGTTGTCCACGGACAATGTACTGATTGTCACCATTCCAGTTGTACACCTGCAGACAAACAATTTTTAGCAATACCATTTCCAACCAAACGGGGATCAACACATGAAGGTAAATTCGTTCTCTCATATCACACAACAAGCGTAGTGTAGTGCATGGGTTGCTGGAGTCAAGTTCGCGAAATCAATTGACCAATGCAAACTTGACCTAAATCAAAGAGAAGCAAAATAATTTTTTCAGAAACAAAAGCAAAATGTAACAGCAATCATCACTTACAAAGTAACGGAAACTGGACCGTAACTTATTTAAGCAAAAAACTTCAAAACCTAAAAAGGCTGCGAAAAACAAAGGACCCGCTATAAATAAAAAATAAATTATTATTCAGATGTACCAACTTTAATTCAAAAAGTACATTTTAATCGCAAAATGCACAGACATTTCAGATAATTTCTTACAGAATTACACCGTGGGAGAAACGATAGGATGGTAATATTGTCCGATATTTATCGTTAACGGTTCATATTCGCCACAGCCTACCTTGAACTCGGGCACAAATGTGAAGAGCAAACTCTCGCCGGTCCCATAGAAATGTTCGGCCACTTTCAGTCCGCAGGAGATGATGGCACCGAAGACGTGTTCGTGGATGTCCTGAATCAGGAACAGCGAGGGCGCATCGATATCCTGCATCCGCCGGTACAGCGACTTGAGACTGAAGCCGTGGGCGCTGGTGCTGTAGACCAGATGCCAGGGATAGCCCTGGGCGCGGGCCGGCAGATGCGGCACCAGCGACTGGCACATGCTGTCCGTCAGGATGTCGCTCTTCCCGCCGCGCATCTCCGGCAGCGGGATGCTCTCTTCGCGGTCCAGGAAGAAGGCGCGCCGACGGGCCTCATCGAAGGCGATCACTTCCCATTCTTTGGCCATACCTGTATTCAGGAAAGAACAGAATATTATCCAACAAAACCGGAAAGAAACAAATTATTTAACAAAGGGCTTGTACGAGAACAACCACAAATATCAGCACTTAAAAAACAAACAGAAACAGTACGGAAAAGCATTATGCTTGGTTATTTCTTAAAAAAAACGTAAACCATCTCCGATTTCACAAAGCACACTACACTGGACGTTGCAGCAACCGAATTCCATAATTCTCGCGCTCAATTACTTGTTTGCTGCCCAGGCACTACGTTTAACACTCCAATATTATCACTTCAATTAGATACGTTCAAGTCTGTCGTACCTGAATTAGATACGTAATTTAATAGTGCTACTGAAAATTGTGTTAGTTAATATTTGGTTGAACAGGAGTCTGTCGATGTAACAATTCCCAAATATTCGCATACTGGATCGCTCTTAGTTAATTTTCGATTCTACTTTACACAGCAGTAAAGAATAATAAATCAATGATTTCTAAACGATTTGCCAGTTTTACCGAAAACATTTTTTTAAAGCATATTAATCAATTTACCCAGGAAACCGATTCTCCATAATTCACTGCCTGAATAGGCGCCATAATATTCCACTCGAAAGTGAAAACCCATCGTGAAATAACTATAACCTCACGTTCACTAAAAATTAAACAGTAAAAACTTAAAATAGCACGGCGTTTAGTCTATGCAATATTCAACGCGAACTGATGCGAACTAAACCCGAAATTTCCCCTCAGCATTTCAAAAGCGCCTTAACTTCGGTTAGCAATTATTATCGCTTTTAATAACCATCTACCATGAAATTGATAAAAGCTACCGAAAATCGATACTTCAAAAGTTCGAACACATCAGGATGACGGTGCAGACTGCAGTGTACCGAACTGACACGACAGAAAAGGCGCCTTTTCAGCAGACTCGTGTACACACGGTATTCAGCATTCCTGAAAGTCGCTCTACTTTTAGACTGACAAAACATTATGTTTACTTATTAATGCATTAATTTTTTACAAAAGCATCCATAAAATTTGCAACCAAACACAAGTGCGCTGCAAACTCCATTAAGTTTGCAAAAGACGAAAACCTGACGGAATAAGCAGTCACAACACCGGAAAAAATTTCGACAAGAAAAAGAAACAATCTAAAAACTACGCTGATACTACATACAAGCAATATGCAGGTTCCAGTAATAACGCATCAGAAAAAATAAACAAAGCGAATCAAGTACAAATAAAAAAGGCGCTTTCAAAAACATCAGCACTTCCCCGCAAAACAAGTACTCGACGAGAAACAATCTGTTTAGATAGTTCGGAAAAATATAACTTTACATTTCAGGGATTCTCACTGAACGACATTTATCCGTAGAGATTTATTTTTTCTGTTCATACACTACATTCTTCATACCGTTCTTCATCAAGAAAAAAATGCATTTCAAAATGTACCAAAAATATGCTAGATCTAAATTAAAGCCATTGAAAGGTCAGCGTTATATCTTACTGTAGAATAATGATCAGAAAGGTATTTACGGAGAAAACGTGGTCTATTTAACAAAACGATATTCTCAACTATAATTCTCACCTCGTAAATCCTTGGCGAAATGCTCGTGCATCTCCTCATCCGGCTCATCGAACAACATAAACCCGAGTTCCGCCGGGTCCATCATCTCCGTGCCGTACGCCTCCGGCTTCCAGTGCACGAGAAATCCGTAAAACTTCTCGGCCTTGTCGCGCTCAATGGCGAACCAGTATTCCGGTTTGAGCTTCTTCTTCCCGTAGGCCTCCACCGGGCCGTGGATGGCCTTGGGGCTCTTGTTGACAGGGGCGCCCACCCGGACGCACAGGTACAGCGGTTTCCCGGTGGCGGCCGTCTGCTGCACATGCAGATGCGGCAGCATATCTTCAACGGTGCGAAACAGCTCCGGCCGGTCGTCCATCGTGATCAGGGAGCGATAGCCGAATTTCTGCCGGCGGACGGAGGCATGCTGCAGGAGGTCCTCGCGGGACAGGCCGCGCCGCAGTTGCCACGTGGTGAAAGACTCGCCTGCGACATTTCAACAAAAATTATCCTAAGCGAATCTTCCATTTGGCAAACTTCTTTAATCACGTGCAACATACAAACCCATGTGCGTTAGTAAAAGTCAGTACACTTTAATCAGCATACGTTAGTATATTTGAGTAAAAAAACTTATAATTTCACATTTAAATACAGAGATTCAAAATTCAAAATTTACTGAGATTCAAAATTTACCGACTTTTGTCACAGAAGCTATACGACTGCATTAACCTACTAGCCAGCCAGTCTTCTACGTTCATCTCCAGATCTTATAACAATTCACGCCAAAGGAGCAACTCTGTACAATATACAATTTACAGTATGGCATCGCTTACGAGGTACGATCGTCAGTCGTTAAGGAATTAGCGTAAATAAATTGTCTGATCGTTAAATTAAAACACACGTCGTGTTCCCGTTTACAGATCTCATATAGTATGTTATTATCATTATCATTGTTATTTCAGCTCAACACAAAAATGTACAACCACAATCATTCAACGAGCGTTCTCTCGATTTCTCTGTTTCTCGTTAACTGCCAACCGTTTAAACAGAAGGTAAGCGCACACTGCCGCTAACAATTCCAACAACAGGAAGGTTTCCCAGGATTCACTCCAATTGTATCGTACGCGGAAGACAGCAGTGGAGAACTAGACGTTAACATGCGCATTAAACCGGGATCGTGTAATGACATGTTCTAACCACATTTCAGGCTACCGCTCTCTCTCTCTCATCTCCCTAAATGCACAGCCTGGAAATGGGGAATAAAAAACGCCAACAAACCACAGGGAGAGCATTAAGCATGACAACGACATCCATTACGAGCGGGGCCGGCATGGATGATGCCGCGGCCCCAACGACACGGCTCCCATCACCAGAATTAACCCCATTCCATCACGCAATCACGTCTGCCTCCAGGTGGCTATTAGGCACACAATTATTCCCTTACTCTCCGCACGAGAACCAACATTTTACACCCCCGACCTTCCCACCACACATCACGCGATCCGCGCCGGCCTACAAGGCAGGTTTTCATTTCCGACCACATTTTTATTAAGTACACCCACATAGGCAAATCCTAACAGCGACGCCGCTACGCATTTTATTTTCATACTAATTTTCTTGAATAAAACATGGTACAACAATTGTAGCGTGAAGCGGAGTGCTTTAGTAACACCGGAAAATACCGCAGATGTATCAATCTAATCAAGAAATTTTAGTGCATTCAGCAGTTTCCGATTAAACTGGCAACTCTTCTAGATTTCTTCAGTCTGCTATCTCGTGAGTCGGATATTATTGCCGAATAATAAAATTGCTACTCGTAAACGAAGTGAAAAAGCATAATTTGTGGGGCCCTAAAAACGCAGTTTTATCCGCACTCATAAATTTACAAATAAAGCTGCTAAGATAGGTACGCTTACGTCTCAGATTAACTGTTTTCAGATCAAATGGATATGCCACAAGTCCCACAACACTACGACTATCGGCCAGATGGCTGCACAATTTGCTTTCATCAGCCTGGAGACATTATATTAATTTTGCAAATTTGAATTTTTGTAACCCGACATTTTAATGTCAATTTTCACTCAGTAGGTAGTGTTCTCTGAACAAATTACACCAATGATAGAATGCAATATTTAACAAGGGCACTAAAAATATAGTAAGAGATTTAAATAATATATATACATGATGATGATGATATATATGATATTATCAATGATGAAATACAATATTTAATAAGGACACTAAACTTTAAAAAAAATAAACAGTTAATATCAAAACAGACAGATTTGAAACAGTTAATATCAAAATATAATGCACTCTACACTTTTCTACCTCAGAAAATAAATCTGCAAAGACAGCGCAATGGATCGGCATGAATCAGCCGGAGTGCTTTAAAAAGCGCCGGCAGCTACACAGCACTACTTATCCCAATGCAACACTCATGAACAACCTGGCACACACTAATTACTCAGCCACTTCACTGCACCCACCTGGAAGCGGTGACGCGGCCTCCTCCGGATTGATGGACGGCGTCTCCTTGACCGTATCATCAGCATTATCACCGGGATTGAACAGGCCGCTGGAGTAGTCGACGAAGGATTTGATCTTGGGCGAGATGGTGCCGCGCAGCGAGCCGGTACGCTGGAAGATGTTGTCCATCGGGCCGCTGCTGTTCGGGCCGGGTGTACTCAATGTGCTCTCCGCATCCGAATCCGACGGCCGCTTCCCGCCCATCATCAGCGTCCGCGATAATTTCCGCAGCGGCGCCAGTGCGCCTTTCTTTGTGCGTGTCCCATCGCTGCCTGTGTACGAACATTGCTCACACTGTACATGCATGCATATACCACAATTATATCAACACATGCAATAGTTGTCTTCGACCTTACCAAGCAGGAAATCAATGCGAAACGAATATTTTCTGCATTTTTATTATTTTATTATTACAGAGCATTATTTCTTCAGACATACAAATTGTCGATAACCATCCAACTTCATACAAAGCGCAAAGTAATTTTAAATCAGAAAAGTATGGATCATTTTAAGGACGCCAACAATTTCAAAGAATACAGTACAGTACTAGTAAAATTAATACGAGTGTAAATTTCAGCCAGGATCAATCTCCATAATGTAGAGTTCACTACGCTGTTCTTCGTACTGTACTACGATTTTCTCGCTGAAACTACTTAAGAATGTTTATCAGATTACGAATCTGTCATATTTCGTTCACGGAAAATACAAAAAAATATGCAGAATAGTAAACTCATAACGACATCAAAGTATAATCACCTCATACGTTAAGCAACAGCCGTCAAAATATGAATAGTTACAACTTCCCTTTAAGAATACCCAAGTATTAATACCAGCAAATTAATGCAAATATTAGAAAAAATTAAACAATCGAAGAATGTGTAGCGCTCATTTATATGCAGAACGAAACACGTATCTGTTAGGAAGGTATTTCTTATTAAACGAAACCATTGTACTACGATAATCCTAATTACCAATACACCTATTGACCCGCCAAACATTCACCAAGTTACAAAAAATGGAGAAAAAAACAATCACATCCCGAGATTAATACGACAACATCCTTACACGCACTTACTTTGCTCCTCCTCGCCACCCGACACCGACGACCGCTCACTGGAGGGCTTGCGACTGCGGAACGGCGACAACTTCCGTACCCGGGCCATCCCGGTCTCCTTTTCCGGGGCACTGACGGTGTGAGCAACCTGCAATCGGCGGGCCTCTCGTCGCTCTTCCTCCCCGTCCGCCTTTCCATCCTTCAACAGCTCCCCTTCGGGATTCTCATGGCTAATGGTCGGCAACTCCTCTTTAATATTGCTCATCTCCTCGCGTTTCTCCCCTTCACCACTATCTCCATTTTTCTGCTCCTCCGGCCTCAGTTCACCGCTCTTTTTCCTTTCCGCCTGAATAGCACCATTTTTCGCCGGTTCTTCGGGGGATTTTACACCATCCGTTTTTTCACTCTCCTTTTTCTCCTCAGCGTCCGTTTTCTCATGTTCCCCATTTTTCACAACATCCGCTTTGTCGATAGTCTTCTCATCTTCCTCCGGAGTGTCGGGCATGGTTTCGGCATTCTCCAGGTGCGTCGGCAGGGACAGGACGCCCTGCAGCGCCTGGTAGGAGATGGATCCCGCCCGGGAATCCTTGCGGACCTTCTTGGGAATGATTTCGGAGTAGATGGCGGCGGAGAGGATGTTCTCCATGGGGATGATGATCCCGTACTTCTCCGTGCCGTTCTTCACCACCAACGGATCCGACACGTTGGGATCGAACATGATGGCGTTGGGGGTAACGAGCAGGACACCGGAAACGTTGCCCGCGTCGGTGATCTGCACATCTTCCACGATCAATGAGGCGTTGATCTTCAGGAAGCGCGCATAACATTCTTCATCCAATTTGCCGCCTTCGGGCCTGTGGAGAAACAATACACCTTACAAAGACCGTACTCCAGTATAAATCTATCAACTTCAGTAAAACAGCATCCTCACTTCTCCGATTTCACAGCACGAGCATTTTGAAGAAAAGGAAAAATCTACGCTGTGTACGAAAGCAGTGTATTATTGCTCACCGTAATAATTAATACTGATAACTAGTGATAAGCAACTGAAAATGTAAGTATTTTTTTTGCTCAGAATACGTGCAGGTTGTCAAGCTTAATTCGCTGCTTTCCAGTTGCACTGCCCAGACACTACGTTTGCACTACCACTCGACACCCGAATTAACAAAATCCGGTCGCCACTGCCTTACGGTTTCAATGATATTAATTAATAAAAAAAATAAAATACCGAATACGCACGAATTTTACAACACGTTTAACAGGTAAGACCGGAAAACAAACCATTATCGGGCATGAATGTGTTTTAAACCAGCCCAATTACAGTAAATCAAACAGTCCATTTAAAAAAATATCTTTTATAGTACTACTATTATTATAGATACGCAATTTGGGCGCTTCTGGTAAAATGCCTCTTCCCGGTGTTTCATTTATGAGAAAATCCCGAAGAAACGATCATCACGTTGGCTTAACAAGTAAACCAGTTAACGATGCAGTCCAGCAGCGCTTTCTGCGCCTGAAGAGGAAGGGACTGGGAGCGCTGTACATAGACTGGCTACAAATGACTGCCACTTCCGGGAACATGCGTTATCCCGTTATCGTCTTAGCCGTGGTAAGCGGCGCATACGTAATCAGTTGGGCATACAATGCTGCATATATAGATATACTGCGCTTTTGTCAGTAAACGGGGCTGCTTTACAAGCGCACTGGGCCGACTGCCAAGGAGCTGCAGCTGACGATGTTAGGCCGGTTAGAGGCATTTCATGCAGGACTACACATCCGCCCCGCGATACTATCCACACGGCCCGGACCCGCGTCTCCCCCGAGACACCGCCACAATGATCCACTCGTACAATGCCCAGCAAATGATCACATTTAATTGCATTAAAACAGGATTTTCCCTTCTCCCGGCCACTATTCACCATGCATCTACGGGCGCACAAATGTCACTATGCATTTGAAAGAAGGTTTTTTGCATGCGCAAAAAATATTGACAGAAACCAGATAGTTTTCTTTCTACGTTCTAGACAAAACACAGTGCAGGCTCAAAATTTGCAAGAGTAAAAGAAAATTTCAACTGCTCAGGTATATTACCCTGTATCACCAAAACACTTATTCACGCAGGTCAAAATAGGGTTTTTTCTAGCATAAAGAGAACTCTATAAAACCGCTACACTACATTTTTCTGTACAGTTAACTGCAAAAGTTGGATTTCTATTTTCTACGCATAACAGCAACGCATAACACTCTCCAAAATGCAACTTTCATTTTTAAAAATATATTTTAAAAATATATGATTTCCATTCGCGCTTCTTAATTTCTCAAATTACCTACCGATTTGCTGACATTTAAAAAAAGCACGAATAATCTTTTTAAAAATATTTAAACAAATTGATTATCAGCGAACACTAAACCCGGACGTTAATAATCTTTTTTTTCTGAGGCAAAATTCGTCAGTGGAAAAACGATACAAAAAGGTAACAAAAATTTCCCCGGCATGCCTATCGACAAGATAAACATTTGCGGCGCATGCCAGTTGGTCATTTGAGACATGTCATCTCGAAAAACAGTTTAGCACTTTAGTAAAAGAGGGACCCTTACAAGACAAAACCACTTGTAAACCAAACACAAACCGAATAGCGGGCCGTGTTTTTTTGCTGATGGATTTCTCATGCCAAGACGGTTCTGTGTGTTCGCCACAACTCAATACACCGAGCGCAACAATGTCGCAGCGAAACAAAAACAGATAACTGTAGCGGTTGCATTTTCCCACTTGACAGCCAGTTAACAACTCGTGCCTGCATGAAAAGAAATCGCGACAAGAAATCTTCGAATGTGCCGGGTGCGCCGTGCGGTATACAGTATTCGACGAAAATTACCATGACAGAAACCTGTTCATCGCACAATGACGCAATAATTTGCGCTGGGACTTTTTGGCTAGCGGGGGATAATTATTTACACCATAATCTCGCCGGATGTTCGAATTGCAAACCTACAATTACAGCGGCATTGCAGAAATCTCAGCTTGTAAGATGATAATCACCGTTTTCGAAATTTCCCTCGCGGTGCCCGATAATGACCGATTACCTGAACCCTACACCGGAACCCTTATAAATGGCGTATGCACAATTTCTTAAACACAGCACTGATAAAATGATGCAGAAAACTTGCGTATAATCTTTCGTTGTTGCGCTCTAATCAGTAAAATAATCGAACCGATTTCAAAATATAAAAATCCACAACAAACAGTCTCCTCAATTGCATAATTAATACCTATAGATGTTTTACCTACTTCCATAAAATCTGCCAAGAAAACTAATTTTTTAACAAATCTAACAATTGCAAAGAGGATGCCAACTAGGGATAAACATGTACTGTACTATAATTTGTAAATTTATTTGTATGCATTTTTTGCGCTATGCAATCAGCTGTGCAATAAATAAAATTCCTAAAATTCCAATGAAATATTTCGTCAATTACTGCAGTCCACCAATTTACACCTGACCAAGTAGTTCCTAAGCGTGCGAAAAAACAAATAAATCCAATGTACGCCCTGTCTCGAACAAATATCAACAAAGCTGATATTCAATAGTTAATTTTGTAGTAATAAATTAATAATCAAAAAATACAAATTAATTACGGCTTTACGAAAGCAAGAGTTTTAGTGTTTTAGCCGTTTAGCGTCACTAAATATTATTCAGAGAAAATAGCTTAAGAGAAGAGGACTCGTTTCAGCTTAGTAGAAAGCAAGCGAACGACACTTACTCTGGTGTTTCGGCGATATCGTCAATCGGGGGGATTTTCTCCTCGCCAGCTTTTCCATCCGCCACAATAACAGGCTCAATATGTCCGGGAAACTGGATCTGCTCGCTGCTGGACTTCTTCTTGAATAACTCCGCGGAACTGCTGCGCCGCGCGGCCGTCGTCGCGGGCGCGGTCGTTGTCGGAGGAGGATGCACCCCACCCTCCTTCTCCTCCTTGACAAACTCCCGATCCGGGATGAAGATGCGCTGCCCCGGGAAGACCATGCGCAGCGCCAGCTTATTGATGCGCACCAGCTCTGACGGCGTCGTATCGAACTTGGCCGAGATGCTCTCCAGCGTCTCCGAGCCGGCCACCAGGTGCTCGATGGTACCCACGGGCGGTGCGGATTTGCTCTTGATGACGGGCAGATGCTGCTCATCCTTATCCGGGGTGGACTGGGGCGATCCCGTCGACCCCATGGACGTGCTGGTCGACGAGGAGGACGCGGAGGAAGCGCGCCGCGTGGCCATCTTCATCACCACATGCTGCTAATAAAAAAAAACGGGACAAGATCAGGGAATGCGGGGATAAGCGCGGGAGCACGCTAGGGGCCAGTGGCGCACCCTGGTAGTTGGGCACGCAACGCCACAGTATCACGCAACACAGCACAGCCAGCAAGTTATGGAATTCATATTTTATTCCCGTTAATACACAGGCACACACACGCCACCAGCCACCTGAAGCCAGAATAGACTGATGTGTCAATAAAACTGATATCCAACGTTTACGATGTGACTTTATATCGGCTGAATGGTCGGCATTAAAACCTTGATGCCAGAGCTACACACTGGAGGAAAATCAGTGTTTGGGCAAATATCGAAATATGGATTTTTTGCCCGCTGCAAGAAGCATGCAAGGAGCAGCAGCAACAGCAGCTGAAACGTCGTAATCGTGCATTTGTCAACAGGGAAACATCCCATTACGGCCGTGTTCGATCCATCAATTACGCTAATTTATTTAGCAGACCATCTCGACACCCGTTGTCAGCGGGAAATCCCCTGACTGCGTCCCGCGATTTTCAGATAATATATTCCCGAATCGTGTGTAGAAAATAAGTGCCATATATGTCGCACTCGATTTGATTATGCTAACAAAAAAGATTTAATGCAATTCCACCGAACGGCACAGGAGAACAGAACGGTGAACAGGGCCATACAGTGAAGTGGTCAGATGCGCTGGCTCAATGGATTTGGCGCGTGCCTTGATCCGTTATCGATTTCGGGCAAATGGCCCGCACACACAACACACAGCAGCGTTCCGGAGGAAAACTGTGGCTGGGTGATAATAAAAATCACTTAGCATAATCTCGGTACTTATTCAATCTGGGAATTCCTCTATGCCCATATTATATCCCCGGCATTTTTATTTGCCCTTCTATCAGGGGCCAAGCAGGGCGCAGGGAAAAATGAATGAGGGTATAAAAGTGCTTCCGGTGAAATTAAAAACCAATAATGTCGTGTCGCGGGGTTATTTTACTGTACAAATACACGACGCCTGCCAGCTACCGGAACAGGGAAGCCGACTAATATCGGTGTGTACTAATTTATGCCGTTTTAACGACGGTTATGATTTCTGTGTTGCGGCTCGCGCATCCACCGATCACAGTAAGAAAAAAACACACATAATGTGGTGTCAACATTCTTACGGCAACACCCGCAACCGGTTCCCGCTGTATAAGATTCATCAGGTTTTTTTGTTGACACCTGCTTAGCGTATTAAAGCGTATTCACATGGATAAAAGATTCCTATTAATCAATGGAGAAACAGCACGTGATACAGTCGCGGCTTGTTTTTTTCGCGAAGAATGCCAACGCGTATAGTCATATCCTGTTTCGCAACTGGAATGCGCGATGGAAACGGGATATCTACCATGTGCGCATTGTTTACCGATAACTCGCAAAGTGAATCGAGCTGATTATAAAACTACTAGTACTAAATCACCGCATCTTGTAATGAAAAAAATTTAGCGCAGATATTAAAAAAAAATTTATTTGCTTGAATCGACAGTAAAAAATTTGTACAGAGTATGTAAACATGCACGATGCAGTAACCAAAAGACACGAAAAATAAACTTAATTAAATCTAAATTTTCGTCGCTAATTTTTTTCAGAAAGAAACTATGCATTTTATTTTTAGCGAATTGATTTATTTTTCAGCACGTAATTTTTATTCGATTTTATCGCAAACTGAGGGATTTCAATTTAATAATAATGTGCAATGCGGACAAAATATAGTAAGTGTACATTCACCGCGCTTTTACCGGTCGATATAACCTTTCCGCCTTCTGAAATTCCGCACACACCCCATCACAACCCTGTTCATCTCGCTCTCAAGATCATTATGCGGAAGGTGTTTCTGCCCCCGTCAGCATAATTTAACGAGCTGGCGCTCATATTACCACGATTCCCGAAGAAAAATCTCCCTGTGCCACTTGGATTTACGCTCGCGCAGCCGCTTCTCATGCAACTTACTTGATCAAATTACAGATTCCGTCGGTTAATGATAAAAATCTCCGCGTTGCCGTGTACACGTAACAGCACAGCAGGGATTTACGATCAGGGCTTATCCGGTTTGACTGGCGTACAGGATTGACAAGCGCATGGTGGAGATAACGCGTGTAGAATGGCAGTGAAAAAAACCAGTCTCTCGTACTCTTTAAGCATCCAGTGTTACACTTATGTCAAAACTATTGCCATCTGAAGCAGCTGGCTTGATTGTACAATGCGCCGAGGGAAGCCCAGCTGCCAGGCGAAAAACGCGCGCCTAATATCGAACAACACAAAAAGTCCCCTTTCGACCCTGTGTACGAGTGATCGAGCCTGGTGCAGTCTCGAGCGCTGTTGTTGGTAATGCCGCGGTTATATTGATTTTGAGAGGAGAGGCTACGAAAATCCCTATTTAAGAATCCCCAACCCCGTCGTGTGCTGCCGGAGTGCTGCGACAAGGGGAATATGATCCGTTCAGGCTATAACCGCATTATTGTCCATGTCGCGACCGTCGCTGTCAATCAACATCATCCACTTAACCGTCATCACCTTGCAATACCCGACGCAGCGGACACTTTCCTGTTTTTGCGTACTAGATATTGCCGTTGTCTTACCGGTTTCACGCTTGTCGAGTCCTGTTGTAAAAAGGGCAAAGGCTATGTACGCGAAACACTACTGCAGCTCTACGTTTTCCGTAGGACTTAGGAGGAAGTACGATCTACGTAGGTGTTGCACCTGAGTGACTGCTTTAGCATAGAACCGTTGGCCGCCAGTTTTACGAATGATTATAATCATAACTGAAATCGGGTGAATTTGCATGCGTCAAGGATGAAATTCTGATGATATACATAATCGTCATTATTGACTCATAACTACGTTTGAGCGCGTTAATTATTCTCTGGCGGCCAAAATTTCTTTAATTACAGATTGCTGCTAAGAAGCAAAAATGTATGCCTATAAAATTCAAATTATGCATAAAGTAAAATTGTAGCTACCGAATTAATGAAACATAATAACTGTATTTTATTGATCTCCAACATTATAATTATTGGTTAATAAGATTAAGGATCAGGTACAGTATAGAAGTACCGGATAATCTGTACATTGCATATATGATTATTGCATCCTATTGCAGTACTTACACAAATTGCCAGGTAATTTCCGGCGCGTGACAGTGCTGATGCTGGTAATTATTCAACGGAGCATCCCGCGATTTACTGCAGTAATTTCACTAATTTACGGTCATATACCGCGGGTGTGAGAAATGACATAATAATAAGAATTATTATTGCGTTTTGCTGTTATATAGACCATTAAATTACTGATTACTTTATTGTACGTGTAAAAATCGATCAGCGCAAATTTACCGGTTGGCGATTAAAAGCGCGCGCGCATACTTAAGTACGCCGTATACGCGCTATATGCAATTGTTCACACGGAGGATGCCAGCTGGGAAGAGCCATCAAATTGTCACGATTATGGGCGCATGGTTGACATTCACTGCTGGATCGGTTAAACGGGAGCCGGCGACAATTTAAAGGCTAATCGCTGGGCACACTAAAGCGTTTTGTTTGCTTTAATGTAAAAATGTAACCGGTGCGGGAAATTTCCAGTTTATCCTCGGCTTTACGGCAGTACGTTTATTATGTATGTACAATTAGTACGTATTTTTTAATTGATCTAAACTATTAAAAAACGTGCTAAATTTAGGAAAACTCAAAACAGTTAATATTTAACTGTATGTTGCAACTTGCACATGGTAACATGGGGTTTTATGTATCGTAATGCATACAGCTTGTGGAAGTTAAATAAAAAGTTAAGAAAAATAGGAAGGTTATTGTGGAATTACAAGTACAGACGATGTACTAACATTCCTCCTATATCTATATAAAAAGTAATTATAGATAAGAGACTGTAGAATGTGTTAAAAAAATTGTTGCTCATAACGCGATCTTCTTTAAACTTTGCTGCAAAAGACACATGGCAATAAAGTCGAAAGTGAACCAATTTCAGGTTCATAGCACTTTCCCATAATTTTAAAATGAATTTTAAAATTTTTGAAATTCATTTAAAATCGGAAAAAAATGCTGTTGATCTGATATTGGTTCACTTTTGGGCTAGGTATGTACCTAATTCTCGTAACGGTCCTCATACTCATAATCCTACTCCTAATTCAGATTTCACCTTCATATCGGCTCTCATGATCATAATCATACTTTCGTCCTACCGGTCATCATACTTTTGTTCATAACCATAATTCATACCTTTGCCACTACTCATACCAGTGTAGATGCATTATATTTCTTGATAAATACCGTAATTATTAATAAAGTAAAAGTCTGTGTTAACTCTACGGCTTCCTCTCTTGCTTGATGTTGCTAACCGCGACCTTTCGCTAACATATAGTCAGCTGGAATCTGTGTAGTCAGCCCAGTTACATGGTTTTCAGATATTTGTATCATGTATCGTTTCAACTTACACCAGTTTAAAAAATGGACGAAAGTGGACAATGGTATGTTTTTGTACTCAGTCCGTATTCTCAGTTTTTGCGGGTCTATGTCAAAACGACGGCAGAATTCTGCTGACGGAAATTTTGTGTGGTCAAAATGCCGGCGGAATTTCCTGAACATGCATTTTTTTACGGAAATCACGAATTGATACGAAACCGGCTAATTGGTAAACTTATTGGTACAATAAACTGACAATGGCTTTTTACCGGTTTCCATTCCTTGAGCTAGCTTGCGAACTGGCAAGCCGCAATGGAGATGATGCTGGAAGTACTTCCATCGGCCAAAAGCGATCGCAACGCTACTGATCAACAGCATTTGAATGTTGCCTTTCTTCCGATTCCGCAGATTTCAACCAGCAAGCTAGAACAAGCAATGGAAACCGGTAAAAAGCCATTGTCAGTTTATTGTACCAATAAGTTTACCAATTAGCCGGTTTCGTATCAATTCGTGATTTCCGTAAAAAAATGCATGTTCAGGAAATTCCGCCGGCATTTTGACTACGAGAATTTCCGCCAGCGTTTTTACCATACAAAATTGAAAATTCCGCCGCCATTTTGACCACACAAAATTTCCGCCGGCAGAAAAATCCGCTGTCGTTTTGACATTGGCCGTTTTTTATCATTTCGCTTTCATTATCCAGTTTAAGTTTACTGAATTCATTTTGTAGTGCAGTCATTTTCTGATAAAGTGATTTTCTGCTTCAATTTCGGATGAAATAATTTTTACAAGTAGACGATTGAGTAGACTATCGTGGCTTTGATCGAATATAGTAAATATGCTAGTACTGTACAAATAATATTTTTGACACGCTAGTGAGCAGTATGCGTAATGGCAGAGGTATGAGCTATGATTATGAACTGAACAAAAGTATGATGACCGGTAGGATGAAAGTATGATTATGATTATGAGAGCAAATATGAGTATGATTTTTGAATTAGGAGTAGGATTATGAGTATGAGGACCGTTATATATGATCGTGAGTATTAGGTACATACCTAGCCTCACTTTTGACTTTATGGTTATGTGTCTTTTACAGCAAAGTTTCAAAAAGATCTGGTAATAACCAGACTTTTGGTACACAACAATGCATTTTAAACTTTTCACCCATTTTAGTACGCTATATCTCGACAACCGGATGTTGCGCGCGCAAAATGTTTTCAGAACAATGTATACGAATCATTTATCGTTAGCTTAGTTTTAGCATATGTATCCCATTTTTGACGCTATTTACCGGGCCATTTTCCTTAAGAGGCAAGCTGGTACATATGCGTACCATATAATTAATAGTACCCAAACGATACGAATTGTACTTGTAGAGATTTTGCTGTAATAACACAAGAGCGTATACGAATGTACGTAGTGCCGGTGAAGTACCTATTACCTTATCAAATTCCATCAAAACGCTGGATGATGCGGACCACGTTTTCAGAACAGTAAAAATAAATTTTATACCAACCAGAATTTAATATCAGTTGTTTCATGTTCCTTTGATTGTTGCAAATATTTACCCCTTTAATTATTTGTGTGCTTGCATATTGTTCAAGCAGTTGTGGAAGGGATGATCCGCACATACAGTACAACTTGTAGTTGCACATTATAGTTGTTCCGTAGAAATAATTTATTATATGCGCGCCAAATTAAAATCAATTTGAAAGCCTACCCTTTATTTGGAACGCCGGTGTATGCAAAACTCCCGAAGTAATCAGTTTCTTAAGGGTGGATTTTTGAGTAGGCTGATGTAGTATATCGCAGTTGCTAACATGTACAATTATTATTATTATTATTATTATTATTATTATTACGGCACAAGAGCAGACAACCCCAAGGGGACTTCAAGTCTGGTCGAACAAAAAACAATTTTAAATACAAGTAAAGAACTAAGACAGATCCACAGATTTGAGTAGAAATTTAAAGGCAGGTACAGAACTGGCATTGAAATTTTAGAGTTAACAGCAAGAATTTTATCGAAAAGACGCCTTATACGCATTTCCAAAGTCTTCTCTCCGATTACTCTCTTTGCCCGTGCAACCTCGATCCGTGCCGGCTTCCGCAGGTTATAGCTCATGGTGTTATCTTTTACTTGGACCATATCCAGAAGATAGACCGGAAGCGGGAATTGATCTTTGTTCCAGATCTTGAAAAGCCACACCGCATCGCTCTGACGCCATTGGTCGAATATGTGAAGAATACCCAACTTCCTAAACAGTTCCGGAGTAACCGGCATCTTGTAATCGGTGATGGTTTTCAGAGCTTTACGTTGCAGTCCGGCTAGCTTGTCGCGCTCAGTCGAAGACGCTGCAGACCATACCGGCGACTGGTGTGCGATATGGCAACCAAAGCAGGCGTGATAAAGACCTTTGCGCTGTGACATGCTGAGCCCTTGTTGTGCTCGCTTAATCATGGCAATGCCAAAATTCCCTTTCCGTTGTACCTTTCTGAACTGGTCGCTCCACTTCAAGTGGTTATCAATCTCAACGCCGAGATACCGGACACAATTTGAAATGTTGACAACCCATCCATTGATAACGACTTCTGGGTCCGGTTGTGTGTTTCGATCAGAACATATATACATCGCTTGGCACTTCTTTCCGTTAACGTGTAGTAGATTCTCTTCCACAATGTAAGCCTCCTTCGGCAATCTGCATTTTCCACCCACTTAGCCGATGAACATAACCTCAAACATAATGAACATAACATTTTCCCAAAGAGGACCTATCAGCGCACAGTTCCTGTGAATTCTGTACGCGCTAATGTACGAGTACGCGATGATGTTTCATAACCTGACCGGTGAGCTCCGTTGATTTATCCAGCTCGAACATATTAGAAAAAGTAGTAAAAGAATGAGAGAAATAAATGCGTGCGATTATCTACTTGTGAATAATTGTTGAGGTATTTCGACCTGTTATCTCTTGACCAGGGAGTCAGTAAAAGTAATAAGTAAAAACCGGGACTTCCGGACTAAATGGGTTAATAATACATCAAGATTAATACGATATCTTCGGCTGTGCATTGCGCAGCTTTCTCGATTAACGATAACTCAAAGGTGGCAGTTACCTTAGCAAGAATCAATAACTTGGCCGGTACACGTCATTTTTGTCGCTGGTTGGTGTTTTGTTAACTTCCCAGGCAGTGTGACGACTGACGAGGAGGAAACTTGAAATATTCAGTTGTTATTTTTAAAGTTAAACTAGTGTTGTAAAGTTTTCACCGAGTATTCTACTGGAACCTCCACGTTTTTGCTGGAGGCGAATAGGGCTTTGTGCGCGATACAGTGCGTTTCCCAAAGAGGACCTAACAGCGCACAGTTCCTCTGGATTCTGTACGCGCCAGCAGTACGATTCTTCTGCGATCAAAGTCATCAAACTCCTTACTTTGGATAGTCTGGATCTGCGAGATTTTGGTGTTGTTGTGTTGTGTGGTTTTATCTTCCCTGCAGTTCTCTATAAAGACAATTTGTATCGTGATTGCAAAGTGTCAGAATCTGACGGGAATTCGCCTCGACTTTAGTCGACTACCTTCCCTTTTGACCGTCCAAATCGCGATTTGGCTGTCATCATGGTCAGTGCAAGAAGACGTTTTGGTTGAGTCGTGCATCGTGATGTTCTCATCTTCGGCGTGTATTGTACTTCTTAACATGGTGGCTCGCTGCCCAGAGACGAAATGTGATGGAAGCAGTTTCGTTGCGAGTTCATATTTCTCACGAAAACTTGGAAGATTCTCTCAGAGTTTTAATTATTTTGGAAGTGTGATCTTTTTTTGCAGGAAATTAGAAATACAGCCAACGTTGTAAACGTTGATCGTGTGGTCTTCAGATTAGATCATTAGAATATTTATCAGCTAGGGAATATTAAATTCAAAATGCATAATAAATTCCACGATGTCGTTGTCGCGGGCTTTTAACGTTGTCACCGTCTTGTGTTCTTTGCAGAGCCAGATTCAGGTTCTTGGACGAGTGAATTCCGGACACGCTGATCTTGTGGTAAAGAGTAAAGACTTACCGTTCCAATAGAAATCTAAGAATAGGGAGAAATACTTAATACCCCAGTATTTTAAGGATTTTTACACGTCTTTCAAGTTTTCTTCGAATTCCGGAAGACCAGTGTAAACACTTTTTCCTTTTATCATGATATATTTTAATATTTATTTAATAATAACTAATAAGGACGTGGCTAATTTTAATTTGAGAATGCGTTTCAAAACTGTAGAAAACGTTTCAAAACTGTGTCTTCTTATGGTAAAATATTTGGGAATATTAATTGTTATTTTGAGTTTTATATGTAGAAAATTACTTGTATTCTACAGTATTTTCTAGGAGTTTTTTCAGCGGGTCTAAATGGTCTTTCAAGTTTCCTTCAGATTCTGGAAGACAAATTTGGAAGCACTTTTTCTTTTTATCGTGGTGTTTTTTAAAATTAGTTTACTATTGGCTACCAGACTATAATTTGGGGAATATGTTTAATTGGAGAATGTCTAGGCGGCATACAAGCCTTTAGAAATTACGTGGTGTTTTTATGGTACTATTGGATTTACTACTTACGGGTAAAAGTGTTAAGAAATATTGATTATCCTCCAAAGTGTTCCCTCTGCTCTCGATAGCACGACGTGAAGTTCGACCACTTCGGGACGTCGCTGGCCACATGCTCGTCGGATCGCGTGGTGAAGATCTTCCATGTGGAGAAAGACGACACCGGCGGTCAGAATATCGTCCACGCTGCCGATCTCAAAGGGTAAGGAAGAATGTATGGGGCTGTTGCAGTGAACAGTCATTGCGTTGTTGGCGCCTTCCGACGGCAGGGGCTTTTTCTTTCGTGGTTTTTCTCGGTAATTTTGGGAAGGCCCACGGCGTCGGCGCCAGGCGTTACTTTAATTGTCACATGACAGATTTCATATGACTGATCGGTATTTAAATTTACCTTGAATTTAAGTTACAGTTTCTCGTACAATTTAAACTGAATTTGAATTAATTTAATTTGTAAATTTCACGTTTATTCATAGAAGTATTTATTTGATTGTCCCTTTTATTCCTCATCTTTACAGACTTTACTTTCTGCTTTAATTTTCGTTTTAATGTGTTTTGTTGTGGGTTTTGAAAAGAAAATATCTTGATGACTGCGGTCTAAACTGCGGTTGTGGCCTACGCCGACTGCGGTAAAAGCGCGGTAAATGGCTAAATATTGTGAAAAAATTTTAAAAATCGCTAGTACGTTGTACATGTCTCTGAAACTGTCTGTACTCTGCTGCTATTTCCAGGCACGATGATGCCGTGTGGCAGGTCAGCTGGGCGAATCCGCTGTACGGAACGGTGCTGGCGTCCTGTGGGTATGATAAGAAGGTGATTATCTGGCGCCAGGAAGCCGGTCACTGGAATCAGCTGCACGAATACGTCCACGATAGTTCAGGTGATTTTTGAATGTTGCTATGTGTACATATAAGTAAACGGTAATATAATGTATTTTTGAATTTGGTTACTTACCCGTATTCTGTACGAGATACGTAAACGGTAATTTTAATTGGTAATTTTTCGAAGTTAGTATTATCCATGTCACTTGTATCGGAGATTGTATGTAGCTAAGTAATATGAGCACCCTGGGTTTCTATCGAATTTCTACATAATTGAATAATTTTGAAAAACGTTTTTGCTGCTTTCTCCGGGTTTTGGCTGGAATAGTTTATCTAGAGTTGATTTTATTTTATAAATTTGGGTGTTTGTTCGATTTGAAGCAAATGTTGATTACCGGTGTCAGTTTACACGTCATGTGGTTATTAGTGAATTGTTTGGCCTTTGCTCCGTTTGATTTGGGCCGTCTGATGCTGGCATGCGGTGCGAGCGACGGAAACATCATCATTTTATCCTATCAAGGTGGGTGTATTTGGTAAAATCTTGGTAAGATTTTTGCTGGATCCTGAATCAGGTTCGGTTTTTTGACGCTGCCGTTATAATTTTTTCCCTTTTTGCTGATGTGAATTTTTTTCTCTGATGACAAACTTCATGAACCGGGTGTTTTTGCAGATGATGGCAGTTGGAAACCAGTGAAAATCCCTAACGCTCATCCCGTAAATAATTTGCTTGATTTTCGATGGCGACAGCACTGTCTAACATGATGGCTTTGTTTAACAGTTGGGAGTGTTGGCGGTCAGTTGGGGCGATCCGTTCTTCATGCCGATCAACGGGAAACGCGGAGAAACCGTGACGGCACGGCTGGCCACGGGTGGCTGCGATAATATGGTCAAGATTTGGCGGTACGTCTTTTTCTGCTGTGGATTCTTATTAAATCAGCATGGCCGCTTAGTATATTTGGAATCGTTGCTCTATTGATTAATCATCAGCATAATTGAAAATTTCGAGAAAAGCGGGATAAGAAGCTTCAAAAGTATTGTACCGATAAATTGTGAATGATTGCGGTCATCGCATTAAAATATCCTTCAGAAGTATAAAAGGTTTTCAAAAATTATACAACTGTTTTAAACCGTTTTAAGAATTATTCACCTGTTCAGTTTAAGATCGGTAGCCATTATATTTATTAGCTTCGTGCATATTACGTTTGTGCCCTTGTACTGCGTTGTCGTTCTTTCCATCAGTAACAAGGAGTATTTACCGTAGTTTTACCGAGCACAAAATGCAGCAGGAGTCCAATCAGAAATTCAAGAAAAATAGTGTGAAATAATTTGTTACCTATATTATTGGTAATTGCTGTATTTTATGAAATATTTTTGATATTGTGTTTGCTCACAATTCAGTGCGATTTTTCAAGCAACAGATTGGACCCTTTCTGTAGCGAGATAAAGCGAATATCTACCGGAGAAAATATTGTCGAATTAAGAGCTTACAGCCAGAATGATTTTTATATATATACAAATACGTGATTTTTGCAGTGAAAACGGCGATTCGGGTCCCTGGAGTGAGGAGGTCCGTCTGGACAAGCACACGGAGTGGGTGCGCGATGTGGCCTGGCGCATTAACCGGTTATTCGAGCACACCACCATCGCCAGCGCCTCGCAGGATCGCACGGTGCTCATCTGGAAGCACGACGGCCATTCCGGGTGGACGTATGAACTGCTGAAGCATTTTGAGGATGTTCCCTGGACGCTGAGCTTCAATCCCACCGGCAGCTCGCTGGGCGTCTTCTGGGGCATGAATTCGGTATGCGCACAAGAAAGTTTGCTTAAATATTGTAGATATAAGTGCTTTTCCAATAATATATTCGCTTGAATAAATGCGTATTAATTTCTGAACTGAGCGATGGTATACATTTTCAATTGTCAGTTTTGTTCTTCTTGTGTTGGTCCAAAATAAGCGCCGTCGTACATATTGCCATACTATACCTGAGAGTACTGTTCAATTTCAACATTATGTAGTACGCACCTTTCAGATTTTTTCTGTAGGATGGATGTTTGTTTGAAACTTTTGAACTGAGCTTCAATGAAATAGTTTTTCGATGAAATCGCGTTTAAGTAAAGTAGGAAAAGGCCTCTTAAAAAGTTCTAACCGTAAGTATTATGTGGGGCTGTCAATGTAGTGCAATGGCGCATTTTGCTGTCCAAGAATTTGTTATCGCTATATCGCATTCTGTATTACTAAAAATTGCTTTATTTAACGTTCCTGATTTTCGCTTTTTGTGCACAGATGACGATCTTTCGTGACACCAATGGGAAATGGCAGCCGATAACCGAAGCGCCGTCTGAAGAGGAGGATGGGCCACGGAATGAAGAAGGCGATGGGAAGCAGGCCGACAGCCGTCCCTACGAAGGCTACGATGCCACTCAAGTCCATTAAATCATACCGTTTTCCTTTTTTCTCTTCTGGACCAGTTAACATTTGTGTTGGTAACGTTTTGCGTATTTGAATGGAATTTGTCTGGCACAATTATAGTTTTTCTACAATATAATGAGATTCCGCTGCTCACCGTGGGCTTCTGGATGAATAAGAGAATGTAAACTGGGAATCCAAATTAGTAGTGAATAGTGACAAATAATTAATTGTTCCTGACGAGTTGCAGGTGCAACGACCATTTCCACCAGTCTAAAATAGCCAAAACGCAAACTCATCCCGAAATTTCGATCACTTTTTGATGTCTCATCCGTGATATTATTACCCTCACTCGTCTAGTGACAAATAATCAAAACCGCCGCTATACTTGCGAAAAATGCGATACACGCGAAATCGCGAACCGTTCCCATTCCTCCTACGCAGCCTTCACCGGCGCGTTTTCCTTTTGTCCACAGAATTTTTTAAAAAATTGTCTGCACTTGACTGACTGAATAATCATCTGTACATATCTTCGCATGCTTGTCACTGCTTCACAAGCATCTCCTGTTTCAAATTACGTAAGTAAAAGAGCCAAAACAATAACCAGCAAAATTTATTCAAATTATTGTACAAGAGTTCCAGAATTTCCAAAGCAGTCAAAGCTGAAAAATAGAAAATCCACCGCACTCTACTGACACGGGAACAATTTGTACGAGTACCGAGTACGTACCCAAAAGCCAACCTTTCCTAGTCAGATCCAACAGCAAATTTTACCATAAATATTGGTCCGCAAAAACAATGAATTTCCTTCTCACAAAAAATCACAACGCCAGCGCAGGAAAAATAAATAACTACCGCCGAGCTGAGACAAAAAATCCTCCCAAAATCTTGCACATCCAACAAAAAAGTGACTCCTGGTCCACATCGCTCACAGGTCAATCAACAAATTCTCATTATCACTTCCCACACTGCCGTTACGACTGGCCGCCGGTCTGGCAACCGGTCCGCTGGGGCGCGTGTCAGCCTGTAAAAAATAACAAATTTAATAATATTGTGACGAGAAAAAATAACAATTAACTGCACAAACATATGACGCAAATTTAACATCGTTCCCAGCTGTAGCTCGTACCGTATTCACCGATTTTCGTTAATTTCTTTCAATTGTGAATTCCACTAATTAAGCAGCTGACTTATCAGGTCACTCATAAATTTTTAAAAATTTACTGTTAATTCTTTATTAGCCTTATTTATTTTGGCATGAGTTACGTTATAATTTATTCAATTATCATAACGTCTAATTTTTTAATATAATTTTTGGATTACTTACTGTTGTAATTTAAGTCTGCTTTGACAAGGAGGAAAACAACAATTAAATGCGCAAACAAAAGGAAAACAATCCGACACAGTTCTCATTGCCAGCCGAGTTATTGTTCACTGACTTTGGCATTTTTTTTCGATACTATATCTCCAGTCATTATTCCGTATTCGACTAATTTATCAAGTCATTTATAATGTTTTAAAATCTATTTATAAATGTGGACAAACGGGTTAAACTATTTAAATCGAGCAGCCGACAAGTCGATCGGTCACCAGCGGGCGCAATGTGTCATGAAGAGCGGCCTATCAGGCGCATAAATCCATATCAAATACACCTGCTTGTTGTTACGCCGCCTTGCACCGCTGACTGACTGACCGACGCCGGCCCCCGGAGAAAATATATTATTTATGGCCATTAAATATGACCATCTCCCGGTCGTAATAAATTTTGTCACCTAACGACTCTCTCCACGCTATTTTCCATATTTCCATGCTAATCGGTTCAAGTGTCAATATTCAATTTATCCGCAAACAAACCACCGCTTTTGTCTTTTACCCGCGACCGCCTGACAACTTGACCTCCAAGCCCACTCATTACACAGCCAACGTCTCAAATCAAATCTGAAACGACGCCGACCACTAATATTTCTATTATTTCAATCAAAAACAAAAGCATTAAATTCTGTCAATATTTAATTCCAGTTATTAAAACTCATAACTCGCCAGTAAATTCGGTTCAACGAATAAAGCGTTTAACGTTTAAAGCAGCCGAAAATTTAACCAGATCAACGCCGATATAAAATACCAACTTGTAAAACGAAAAAGTACCCAAAACATTCCAGACGAAATTATTTAATAAGAAAATCGGTAATGAGAGAAAAGGAATCTTTGATATTATTAATAATTCTAGCTTCATAAAAAATACAAGGAAATTCCATCATCCAGGATCCACAAGCGGCATATCAACAGCCAATATCCGAAAAACATCACATTAAACTTGCCTCGTCGGCGTTTCACACACCAAGACAAGCTTGACAATATTTATTGCATCATAAAGTGGGTCGGTGCGCTAATTCACAATTCCGTTGAGCAAAAAATAAAGAAAAGAACAGCTGGCTGTTATCCAATGCCAACCGCAACTGTTCGATAGATAAACATCAATTTCACTGGTGATTAAAAGGAACGAACAGGAAAGAAAACGATCATTCTCCTTGTGTCAATTTCTAACTATTGACTACCGAGCAGAAAACTGGCAATTACTTCAAGACCACTAAACGGCGACTGACGATACCAAATCTGAATCCATCAACAACTGATTGCAAAAATTTGCATTTTTTACTATCCTTGAAAATAACATTTAGATAAATATATCAAGTTACAATTAAATTTTTTCAAAAACGAATTGCCATGCGTAAGACCTAAAAATCTAAGTCTAAGACGAAACCTAAAAATAACATAAGCAAACAAACAATTATTGTAAAAAGGCGGTTATCGCATAAAATTGTATCCAAATAACACCAAAAATAGTATTTAACGATAAACAGTAGTATATACTATATACCGGTTATATTATAAAATCTGGTAATCTCCGCGGATGAACCTGACATTTCTCGGGAAGTTTGCTTCGGAATTCAATTTGCAACCCGAATAAATTAGCATTTCTTCTACAAATTTCCCCCGCAAAACCGTTATAGTATGCGTAAACTAATGACCGCAATGTTTCGCTTGACTAAACGACCTGCATTACCGAAAAAACCCTACGCTCACCCACCTTCGCCCCATTCCATCGATACGGCAGATTCTCCGTTAGCGCCACCGTCGGCTTCAAGCTCAACCGTCCGGCCGGCACCCGCCCCGCACTGGCCGTCACCTTCGCCCCGCTCCACCGGTCGCCGTCGACGGCATAAACGATAAACGCCGCTTCGTCGCGCTGTTCTCCTTCTTGGGCGGCGACGGGGTCTTGGCGCGCAGCAGACTGCCAAAATCCAGCGGACTGACCGGTTTCTCTTCCGGTGAGGTCTTAGGCGACGGCTTCTTCGGCGTGGACAAGCGGGCCACGGATTCCGCCAACGCCGGGGTCAAGGTGAAGCGACCGGGGATTTTCTTATCATGCACGGCTTTCAAGGGCTCCGCGGCGGTCTTCTCCGTTTTCTTCGTGTTATATGTGCCCTTCTGCGCGGAATCCCGGAAGCTCATGCGGGCAACACCCTTGACAATGTTCTCCGCCGGCAGTTTGGGCATGCGAAGTGATCGACTGCACACGGCACTTCGTGCCGGCCAGTTCAACGGATTTTCCGGCAGCTTGGCGATTTTGGCCGGAACCTCCGCCGGTTTTGCCATCTTCGGCAGGCTTTCCATAGATTTTGCAATTTTTCCAACCGCAACATTGGGCAAGGATAATTTCTTAACTAAAGGAACAATCTTCCCGCTTTTCCCAGCATCTGAGCTAATCGATCCGGTTCTGGGAACTCCCATGAGTGATTTTCCTACAACTTCCGGTTCAATCTGCGATTTCTCCGTGGCTACACTCGATTCAGCTGAAGTTTCTGCATTTGTGATGTGATTAGCGGGAATGGACGGACTGGGATTGAGAACAGTTGGGAACGGAGCGAAATTCACATGAGCCACGCCTTTGGGAGAACTCTTCAGTGCGGATTTGGGCGGGGAGGGGATTTTGCTGGGAGGTGGAATGAAAGATTGCTTTGGAGCAGCGATAGGCATTTCCGGACTCGATCCAAAAACCAGTCTCGACGGAATCTGGAGTGAAACGATCAAGAACGTCAGATACAGGCAGTTGTAAAAATCTGAGTGAAAGACTTCTAAATTATTAATAAATCAGCTTTAAAAATTCATACAATTTTTACGGCATCAGTTACTACTGGTCCACAGGCACTCATAAAAAATATTTCTGATGAAAATACGGCTTGCCGGATACGCACGCTTAGCTGGTGTGGTTAATACGCATTCGTAGTATAATGGCTGCACGATCCTTAAAGATCTAAGAGTTTACATCGCAGGTCTTTTACATATAAGTGTGTATACCGCACTATCCTTACCTCCCCATATTTTTAACCTCTGCATATCGAATGTCAAACTGCTTTATAAACACTTTTTGTGTAGTAACTATTCAATGAAAACCCAGTATACTTTATTTTAGTTACTAAAAGCACAAAAACTGAATAATTATCACAAGGAAATTTCAATGCATGTCTTTTTGGGAGTCAGATTATTAACTTTTTCTTATAAAACAAGGAAGGCAAGTGAGAAATTAAATTCCTCTAGCTATATCTGCTAACAACTTAATTACGCGCATGATCTTTTAATTAAGTACTCCGAGTTGTGACAAGCAGACCTACTTCGTTGAACTGCCATGTTTATGGCACCCAGTAGACAAAACATGCTGCTGAATAATTGTAGATTTTTGACTGAGAGATGATCAGGCTGATTGCGGGTAGTTCGTGATTTATTAGTGGAAAATTATAGTGGTAATTTCATCAATCGACTCAACCTAAATCCACTCTGAGACACCCACACACAATTACAGCCACGAACATCGTCTTAGCGTGACAATCACGAAATCAATCCAATAATCGCCGCAAAAGTAAGCCAACGGAAAAATTATAAAACCAATCAGGCAAAAATTTTTAAACAATTAAATTTTATGCTTCCTGATAAAAATTTATTTTGAAGGAGCTTGTACTTCAAAATTCTAGCTCAGCGACGTTAACGGTAATTTTAATAGCCGCTGCAATGTGAATCAGTTTTTACAGTTTTTTTAAACTTTTTTCTGCCCTTTTTGGATAAATAAATCAAACTTGAAGTACTGAAATGTCGTAGGCGAATGTTTTATTTGCTCTTATAGTGCAAAATATGTTAATTGTTAAATTGTCAAACATCGTCGACAACGTGTCTGTTGGGAGACCCATTCAGAACGGCACTGAAAAATATTATGCTAACGATAACCCAAGCTAATTTACATAGCAAACAACGGCAGGAAAATCAATATAAATGTACACTAATAATGATTTCTAAACTGCATCACAAAGCAAACGCATGTCCAATCCTATTAAAATTTTACATGAATTATTCAACAATTCCAACAATGCTTCATGCCGACAGATCCGCATCGTCAAGGCATTCATGTGCAAACATACTGAACCAACACTGCGGCGCCAAACATTGCATCGTATTTTATATATACCGCCAAAGGTACAAATAAACCAATTTATCCGTGAATGTTTAGCTTGAGCAACCACCTTTGTAAATAAATGCCAAAGAAAAAAACAACTTAAGTCGCCGCGGTAAATTTGCTCATGTCACTAAAGCACCATGTTTCGACAGAATTAAAAAAGAAATAATTTTCCAAAAGACAAATAAACAATTAAATATAAAAAGCAAAAAGCAACTCGAAACACAAAAACCCAAAATAATTTCTGATTCAATATATGTCTAAGAAATGCAAGAGAATAAAATATTATAATGGGAAGGCATAGTAGCTGATAATCGAAGAAATAAAAAAGCACAAATAAAATGGCTAGGCAAATTATACAAGTAAGCGGATAAAAAAATTTCTGCAATATAACAAAAACTGTGCTGACTGAACTCGGGAGAAGTTAAACGAAAATGCGAAAACAACTACTAGCGCGAAACTCCAGCTGTAAGACACTCAGAAAACATGGTCCACGTGAAGAGCGTGTTTTTCTGTAGTGCAAGAGGAGTGTCTTAAATCGGTCGAGTGCTTTCTCAAGTTGCTTCTCGCACACGTAACCCAATCCCCCCTCGAACATCACCTTCCCACTCGGGCGCCGTGTCCGCTATTGTCTCCCGCCGTACAATTGCCCACCCCCGTACACTCATCCTGCGCATACTGCGCTCATACACGCATAATACAGACAGCGAAGTCAAACAAGCATAATTCCGGCTTTTACACCCATTCACCGCACGACCACTTCACACCCAGTAAACCGCATCGTTAAAATCACACCACCACAAAACCATCACATGTGCAGCCCGCCAAACCGGTGAAAACTCCGACATTCGCCCTCGCAGTTCTACTTCCTTATTATTCACGAAATTTTGTCACCCACCAACCTCTTTAGCGTATAAACAGCATTTATGCCGAAGCGAAATGTTAGGAAAAACAAACGATGTCTAAATCAGAAGTTTAAAAAAACTAACCGCAACATCTTTTTGTGAATTTATGGACGCAAATCGCATTTCATTTTAACAAGAAAAAACAGGATTTATTTTTAGAATCTGGGAAATCCGTACTTGTTAGGAAAATCGAAATTATGTATTAAATCGGAATTTTTTTGGCAACAAAACACCATTTAAAAATTTACAAAAGCTAAACTAATTTAATGATTAAAATTTAAAAGGATTATCTAAATGAAGGATTAAAACTGATGCTGAAAAATCACTGAAAATGATCCTGCTCAGCTAAATATAAATTCTAACTTACCGTTGGCGACGCGACGGTACCATCATCCCCAACCACACTCTTCTCTCCCTCCAAACACGGCGTACTGGGTGAACTGCGTCGCTCCTTAATCTTCCGCATCAGCTCCCGTCCAGCCTCCAACATTTCCCGTTCCTGTGCCTGGGCGCGACGGGCAATCTCCGCCAACGCTCCCGAACCCAACTCTTCCGGTTTGCGGCGCAACAGCGAATTCTGACGGTTGAGATTGTATTCCGAATGGGCACTGCTCGGGCTGGATGATGCCAAATCCAGCAGCACCACCGAATCGGGAGATCGCGAGGAGATACCGGAGGAACTGGTCGAACGGGTCATGGACTGCGGTGTGGGAATGATCAGTTTGAGGAAATCATCCATCTCCTTGGACGCACTGTTCTCGTAATCCCGAAAGCGTTCGCGCGCGGCGATAACGCGCTGCTTAAAGGTCAGCGGGCTATCCAGCAGTGTTTTCACCGGCACATCTTCCGAATCCGACCTAATACGTACAAGTTTTGATTGACGATAACTTTTACATTTTTGAAGTAGCCAATTTACAAAGTGCAGCCTTGTTTTTCGTGTAAAAATCCGAATGAGGTTAATGCAAGCTTGATTTTCAGATATTTTATAGAAACCGGGTAATAACGAAAATATTTTACTGCCAAAAACCCGAAAAAATAAATATTCGTTTAGAAATAGCTTATTGTTAAGCGGCGCTTCAATTTTCCATTTTTTTATTAAACTTTTTTATTTGCTAATGTGACTCTGCCTCCCAAAGCCAGCGTACCACAGTACACGTCTAGGCCACTTTATTATGAGCACATACTTTAAACAATAAATAAACCAACTTTACACAGTTTACAGCCCTATCAACACACTGGCCCAGTGCGTCCAATTAAACCTATCAAGGCCGTCATCACAGCAGCTCAAAAGCAGATTAAAGCAGCCACAACATCACCGCATCTAATCAAGAAATCGATTAAAAACGTGTTATACCATTTATCAGTTATCAACCAGCAATCGGCCTAATTCACTCGCGAATTAGCGCCAAATCCGAACGATTCAGCTGTCAAATCTGCCACAGCGCAGTGCATTTAGCAAATGAGGATTTAATCAACTAGATAATCATTTTATAAACCTAAAAAAACCAATTTCCTCACATCCGGCACTATTTTCTACCGAGATTTATAACCCAAAAAATAAAAATCAAACAAAATGCGCATTAAAAGCAACAGTCATCAATAAAATCAAAAATTCACACAAAAAAAATAAACCAACTGAATTATCGATATTTCAATATTGTCAGAAAATATCACAAACCATACCGAAAATTCCTTTTCAAAATTACCATCAATGGCGCTATTTGCAAGGCAGAAAAGATGGATTTGTTTGAGCGCATCGAATAGCCGGAAAGAACTGTCAGAGCCGTCTTACCTTTTATGATAATGCCTTATTCAATAAAAGCCGCACATTAAATACGGTGATTTTAATCATAAAAGCCATACGAGTATTCACTATTCCATATCCACACACTCACATGGCCTCCGGTGTGCGAATTTCACAGTCAAATCGTTCATCAAATAAATCATCCGGATCATCACGCAGCTCCATAATCCCGCCACTAAACGGTGAACAGCCATTCCGCGCCGGCGTTCTCGACAATAAACTCATATCTTTACGTTCCATACTGATGACCACATCCACATTGCCACATACCGACGGTGTTTGCATAAGCGATTCTAAACCAATTGTACCGAAATTTAGTTGGCAAAATCACCGTTGCACCGTGAAGCGCCAAGCAAATGCCATAAAACTGTACAGCATTTTATTCACCTGCGCAGTAATTAAATTAAACTACATAATATATTCGAATAAATCGAACCGTAATAAAACTATGTATGACATCATGGTGCAATGATTATGAAGCGCCGAAAAATACGCAGCTACGCCGCATTTAAAATCAAACAGATTTTAAACTCTTTCAGAATCCGGCTACCTTGCATCCCAGTGAATAATTTGGCACGTATTATCCATCAAATAGAAACTTACCCTGTTGCGTAATATCCTTCAAAGCGATTAAATCACACTCTCCGTCATCAAGGCATATTAGATCGGTGCCGGCCGTTGAAATATTGTCAACCACTGCAAAAAAACCACATTCATCTCCAATGCAGCCGACAATTTACAGCGCATTACAAGCTGTTTTTAAAAGCAATTGTACGCCAACCGCGTTTACTGCGGTAGGTCGAGGAATGGGCCAGTGTGCTTGTGTACTGTGAGTGTTTATCGGTGATTGGCATACTTGAGCAAAGAGAGACGACTAGACGATGATAGCCTTGAACAGCAACAGCTTCGATTAGCCAGATCACGTTTACATGCAACTGGCCGCGGCCTGTCGCTCTTTTTCTTAAATTGCCGTTCTTGTTTTTTGGGGTGGGGAAAAACAGATCCGGAACGACAAGAAAAATGCTATACGATAATAAATCACCGCTGCCGAATGGACTGTACCGGCGGATGGACCACTGATGGTAGGGGCTATTTACATTTTTTGAACATAAATACACGACAAATCGTTTTGTCATGCGCCGTGATAAGTGCCTTCAAATGGACCACCATTATCGTAATAGCTACCGAAAGGTTATCGCCAATTATATATTGCAACGATCAGACGGCCATTTTTTGTCAACAACAAAAAATTAATAATATCATCACAACTCCTATAATCCCATCGATTCGAATCAGTAGCCGAGCTTTGGCAGGAAAAATAAAATTGATCAAACATTTTCAGCTAGAAATTTTAGCTATACTTTATTGTAAGTATGATAACGGGTGTACATAAGAAAATAAAGTTAATAACAAACAATAATGCAGTAAAAATGAAAAATAAATAAAATTATTTTAAAAACCCATTAGAAAATTCAATAAAGCTCTGCTCGAATTCTTTTTTGAATTAAACATTAAAAATGCCATTTTAATTTTTTGTCTTTCACTTCAATCCGTTCCGGCGCTTTGGAACCGGATGGTAATTGTCAGTTTAAAGCGAGTTAGATTTCACTTACAACTTACTGGATAATTTTACGAATTTTTTAATTTTGATAATCAATGAATGTTCTCTAACGTTCAAGCACCGAAGCAGGCACACAAATGCTGAAAGTTTACACAGGGTTTTATTGGTGCATTAGCTTTTCACACGGCGGTTGTCCATAAACAGGTCAGCAGGAAAACGGAATCCACACGCAAACAAAGGAAGAAAAGAGGTCCCGGGGTTACATATTTCTAATCGATTACACACATCCCGTGAAACCACCTGGATTTGCTATCATATCACAGGATCTACTCACTTTCGCTGATCCCGGCGATAAATGAAACCGGGCCGGTTTGCATTGTGGGCCGCTGGCCCGACAGAAATTGGCGGCCTCCTTCTCCGATTCATCAAAATTACTCATGCTGGGCAAACCGGTCAGCCAGGTCGTAAGATAATTTTGAAAAATTAAACAGTAAAAACAAAAATCGAAATTAAGGGAAAGGTTTCCTACATTTTAGAATATTTTTTTAACTGGGCGATCGCAAATCTCGGGCACCAGTCAACTGCGACAGGAACTAAAAACCAGTATCAAATACTACATGTATTAACTTTCAACAATAATTTCACAATAGTTTGTTCTTTAAGGTCGCTGTAAAAATTCAAAACAAGGTTATTTACTTACTTTCAAAGTATGCTCAGAAAACGTACAATGCGACATACGCTTTAAAGTTTAAACTGCACTTTTCATAATAATTTTATATATTTACGATTAATACGCCAACAATTTTAAAATTCCAAAATAAAAATATTTAACACTGCACGAACAAGATATTAACCAAAACATCTAAAATAATTAACTGGAAACGGGCGGCGCCCGGGCGTTGATAACGGTCGCGTAATGGCTTACGTTCGCTTGTCGCGGCTGCCAACTTTGCCGGTGCCTGGCTACACCCGTTCGACGTCAGGATCGCGCCTAAACAGCGCCCGTTTTTCACGTTTCAACGCTTGGGTTTCCCGCTCAAAGGCCACGTCAAATAACGATGGAAATAATCAAATGCGAAGAGAATTAAGCGAGACAGTTCAGCTTTCTAGAAAGCCCATCAGATTTTTTCCTTTTAAAGATGCGACCTCGACGCATCACGCCAAAGAAGCCAATCGTTGCAAAAAAACCAGAACCCAGACCGCCGTTATAAACTTTGACAATTTCGACAAAATTACCGCTCCAACTACGTTCTCATACGTAAACTTTTATGGTTTTATGGTGATAAATGCTTTTACAATCATCGGTTACGGTTAAATGAGCGCCTAGTTGATAAATTATCAAGAAAAAATCATCCGAACGAGAGCCCACCTGTGGAGCGCCGCATTGCTGCAAAGGCAGTCGAATTACTTGCACTTCACTTCACTCCGGATTAACAATAACAAAATACAGCAGAATTATGCTGCCCAATAAGCATAACACTGGAATAAAACCAACAAAAGATTCCTTTCAGTTTTCAGAGGACCGCGCGCTGTACGGCCGGAATTCCAAACAAATCTCTGCGCTTTTACGCCAACTCAAAAGGCTGGCCTTGTCCACGAAACGTGACTAAACATAATAAATATTTGCACTGCCGAATATTTTAACGGCAAAACAGCCCAAGAGAGAAAAAGCGTCCAAATTGGGAATTTGCAAGGCAAATAGCGAAACCTGACTGTTTTCGCTTGACAGGTTTTGCGAAAACGCTCTGACTGAAAATGAGACAGCCGACTGACAACGGCTGCGGAACGGATTTTAAGACTGAAATGCCCATTGGTCCATTTGCGCAGCGCGCCGTGCAGCACGCGCAATGCACGCGCACGAAAAATACTGCAGCCACCATGGGGCGCAGTCTGTTCACTGCGATACAGACAACACGTGCTGGCTGCATGCACACATCCGTCTGGCGTTGACGTCATACGCTCGAAAACAGTTAAAACGGGGAAATGCCTGTTTGTTCGTACAAAAAAACGATTTTTAAACCAGAATAATTCTGGAGATTCTCCTTGGGATAATCTGATTGTTGTTTCATTTCTTCTATGTTTTTCAACGATTCTTTATTCAAGGAACTTCTCTGTTTTTGTGTTTGAACGATAGAAAACATCGACGGAAGCCTGGAGGCGCTTGCTGTCACAACATCACGGCATTGCTGCCATTGCACAATCGCTGCATATTGTTATATTTTTTATTTTCGTTTGGCGATCTTCTACGAACCATTCATTCAGTGGAAATTTACCATTAAACCTCCATGATGAAGATCGTTTCCTCTTTGTGTCAATCCTTTCCCAAAGTGCGACGGCACTGGCGGAGGCGATCCACGGGTTCGCTGTCGATTTATCCTGGTTTGTGGTGATTTTGACGTTTCTCCACTGATTTCTTAGGTCGGGCATCACGGTCTGTTTGTTTTCCAGTTAGCGCTTTCACCTCCCCGGCATCCCCGTTCCACAGCGCCACCCACGGCTCCAGCCTCCCCCAGGAGGACGCCCTCCCCGGGACCCTCCACGGGAAACTGCACCAGCTGAAGGAGCGCACTCCACAGCGTCCGCCGCTCCCAAAGCGCAACCCAAAGATAAATTCATCGACACCGTGGCCCTCATCGCCGGCTGGGGGGTGGTGGTGTTGGGGTTGGGGCTGTCGCTGCACGGATCGCGGTCCATGATCGACTGCCACAATGAGCTGATGCAGCGAAGGAAGAGTGAAACTCTGCCTGTTGTGGAGATCCGGGATGTGGCGACGATCGGGGAGACGGATGTGAGGTACACGTAGGGATGGAGTGTGCTTCTGGAGGAGGAGCGAAAATGTGTGGTGTGGATTTTTGTTGTATATAAATTACTTTGGAGTGTTTTTTGATTTGAAAAATTCTGTGTGGAAATTGATTTGTTTTTGTGTGGTGGAGAATTACCGTGCGTAGTGAGGTGTTTAGATGATTGTTAGAAATTTAGATGTTGGTGTTTGCTTCTTTGGTACTGGTGTTGTTGGGGAAGAATCCATTCGTGCGAATGTGATTATTTATTGGTGGCTGGCTTCGATTATTTATTAAAAAAATTCTGGAGATGGTTTTACTGCGGGTTGAGCGTGTAAAATTTCAAAGGTTTTGTACATGTAATTGTTTGTATTTGGTAAGATTTTGTATGGTACTTTTTGAAAGCAAGATATTCTCCGGTGTGTAGAATGGTAATGTAGCAGTTGGAGATTACAGTTAATTAATTAATTAATTTTAATGTGACGGCAACCTACTGAATTATGAATAAATATTTGCGTACGAGTTTATGAATGTTTGCGCATGCCGGTTTTTACAACAAACTAATGAAATCCAAAAGAAATTATTTTTTACAACAAGTAAACAAAATTAATACAAAATAAACTCTCGTGCGCGTACGCAGCGTAGCCATTTCGTTGATTTTACCGGCGGTACTGACTAGTACTACACACGTGTTGCTTGCATTCTTCCCTTTTAAAATGTATTAATTATTTAAAAATAAATTGGTATTCGTTAAAATTGAGAAAGGATGCATATACTGTATTGTACATAGTCATGTTTGTGATATTGTACTGTACACGCCTAGCAAACTTCAAACAGATAAAGCCGTTGCAAGTGTTACTAATTTTTGATATACGGCTTTCACTTCCGGCTGCAGTTCTCACCGTTGAACAAAACAAATAGCTTACGATTTGTGCAGATACTAAATATTATATGTGCAGATCTGTGTATGTAGATACCAAAACGTAGCAGCAGTGATTATGTTTTTATTAATTTACATGTGCGTACTGTAACTGAAAATGATTTCATGTACTTAAACAATAATAATTATTATGTTTTATGTCAGAAATCAGGTTTTAATAGTACTGTACTGGATAAAATTAATAAGCATTATAGCCGACCGATCAAATTGCACCACAGGTACTGTGTACATTGTACAGAGTGTACTTCTGATGGTGAGTTCTGTTTGATGCAGAATTACAATCAAAAATTGATTGTACATCTTCACTACAGTCTGTTTTTAATAATTATACAGATACTCGTACTAAAAATGACGTCTAAACGTGTGTTTGTACGAGTGCAATCATTGATCACACGGTGCAGACGGTGATGAGGAAGCAATTACTCAGTAACGTACAGTAGCATATGCAATGATTGATTTTTGAAGTTCTTATCAAACATCAAACAGAAGCCTGTTCACCGTACGGCAATCAGCAGTGAGCTTGGGTGATGATCTCATCGCACCGCATTTGTTCAAGGTTGCAGGGCAGGGATCAGACTAGCAGTTTATCTTAACACGAATGATATCATGGCTATTGCGGATTGATATCATTGACGGTTCTTCAGCGGAAAACTTCATTACGTATAGTAAATTTGTTTTGACCATATCCATTCGACGTTTAGTTGGAGTAGTACCGTATACTTCAGTTAAGGGCGCCATGATCAGCCGTGCGGAGAAGCCGGTGGCTACCAAATCATCGATTGTCGGATCCGAGAAAATACTGGAGAAGGATTGCCAGGACAAAATGCTGTCCCAGTACCGCGGCTGTCTGCTGGGTGCGCTGGTTGGGGACTGTTTGGGACGGGTGTTTGAGGGTGCTCGACCGCCGGTGCAGGTGTCGGAGATCGAAGCAGAAATCGCCGCACGAAAGGGAAGAAGTAAGCGGATGAAGCGAATGAATCCATATAGATATATTACCAAAAATGATATGTAATGTAATCTGGTTGTTGAAATTATTCGCGGAACGCTTCAAAAATATAATACCTTATATCAATAGTAATAAAAATGATAAAAACTAACAAATACATGTTAATAACTAAATAAATAATAACAATAATAAATATTCGCTTAAAATTTATAATGTCAAATTGCCGATGCCGAAATTCTCATATTATACTGGCAAAAGTAACTGCATGAATAAATATTGGTAACAGGGACATTTTTGTTTGCGGACAATATTCGCATTTTTATTTTTTCTGTTTTTTATTAAATTTCGTATTTTTCAGAATTTCCACTGCCATACACGGACGATACGGCAATGTGTCATGCGCTGGCCGCATCGCTGATTCGGAGCGGAAGTTTCGACGCTCGCGATATGGCCAAATCGTAAGCCGCACTTTCCTAGTTATATATTGTCGTAAAAACCGAATTTTTGGGTGTATGAGCTCAGAGCTGATGGAAATTTTGTGGATTTTGGCAGATTCGCTGACAAGTACGACGCGGAACCGACCAAGAAGCACATGTACGCTGCCGTGAAGATCATCTTCTCCGTCTGGCAGGATACCAATTTCACCGGCGATATTTTTGCTCCGGCTCGGAAGCAGTTTAACGGTCAGGGATCGTTCGGGAACGGCGGAGGCATGCGGATCGCCAGTGTGCCGCTGTTCTGTGGAAATCAACTGGAAAAGACTGTCGAGGTTCGCTGTACGATGCGGCATTTTACGAGTAATATCCAGACATTCCGTACATATACAGTACTGTTATTTCTCTGCTTATTTTACGTATTATTATTCATTTCATTTATTTATTTTCTATAGTCATTTATTCAGTACATTAATGCAAAATAGTATATTTATATTCACAATAAAATAAGAAATTTATATTTAATTAGTCATTTTGACATTGCTGACATTTCGTGTAAAACTTCAGTACTTTTAATGCGAGAATAATATATTGAAAATGAAATTTACAATGGGCTAAGTAATATACAATATCTATCTATATTTTATATGCGAAAATAATGTATTTGTTTATAATTTTGTACATGACATGGCCGCGCTTAGTTTGTGTTGAATTCTTTAGTCATGGTTTTGCTGGAATTTTAGATCGCCCGGCTGAGCACGCAGTTAACGCACAATCACCCGCTCGGTTACAACGGAGCCATTCTGCAAGCGTTGGCTGTTCACCTGGCCCTGCATTCCGACACTCCTGATGCGGAATCTCTGCTGGATGCCCTCATCGACTTCGCACGAGACCGTTTAGAAAAGGAGTTCGTAGCGCTTTTTAATATTTCCGAAAAATGCTGTACACCTGGTGACTGGTGTTATTTCATGCTTTTTTTTGACAGTGAGGAGAGAAAGCCTTACACGGAGCGCCTAACCATAGCCAAAGCCTTGCTGAAGGACCCCCACGCTGCGCAGAACGAGGTGATTAAGAAAATGGAGCATTCCGTCAATATGGAGGCGCTGGACGCCATTCCCATGGCCATCTTCTGTGCCGCCCGCGCACTGCAACCGATTCCCGGCATTAATGTCAGTCCCCAACTTTTTTTTATTGATTTTATGTTTATTCTTATGAATTTTTTTGCAGACCGATAATCCTTTCGCACGTACTCTTCTCTACGCAATCTCGATGGGCGGTGACACAGATACGATCGCCACGATGGCTGGGGCCATTGCCGGGGCATGGCTGGGCGTCCACAGCATCCAGTGGGAGAGCTTCTGTGAAGCGCCGGAGGAAACTCTCAAGTTGGCTGATCGCTTACATGAATGTGCTCATAACAAAACGGGATAATGCGATTCACGGATTCCTCGACAGCGTGTCGATTACACGGTGTCATTCGTCATGTTTCTCGAAATTTTTTTGGTACAGCACTTCACATGCCATGATGCCGCTATCGACAACATATTAACGTTTCGTAACAATGAATGTTGTGGGAATTCTGTAGTGCAGTGGACAACACGCAAAAGGTCCTTGTTGATCTTTACTGATGCTTTCTACATCGTGGGCTGAATTGTAACCCATAAAGCTTTCGAAATGCTGCGTAGATCTTTGAGTTAAGTTTTTTAGTGAAGACGCTCAGAATACCTGTGCAGTACTTAATGATATAGTGCAATACTTATGGTTAGTACAGATGATGATGGTGCGAATAAGGGAACCACTATTCACTCTTAAAATTGTACATTATTTGCACATACGATAGTCAGTGGTTTAGTTTGCGTTAGTTTTGGAAGTAAATTCCGTGCATAATTAGTGTGACGCATTATCGAAAAAAAATTCATGATGGATCCGGATTTGCCTCGGGTTACATTTATTCTGATCACTCTGATGCAATCATTAAAAAAATTACTACAGCTAACTTCTTTGGCGACTCGAGTGTGTGATACACTTCTGTAGAATTACAGAATATAGATGTTGGTTTAACTGAATATTTTTGTACGTACTGTACGCTGTAATATAAACCTAGCATTACTTAATCGGAACGGGATGGGTTCTTCTTTGACTATGAGACCGGCACTAATTACGGCTGGTGCAGCTGCCATAAAAATGAGCACCGTCAGTTGCGGTAACCGTTCACACGCAATGCTAACCCGATCCCGCGGATGCTTCCATAGATCTAGAGCAGTTGCGGGCGGGTGTCGCGGACGGATGTTTGAGAATTCGCAACTGCCGCTGCTCTTGTCCGTCACCCGGATTGCGGCGGGTAGACAAACGAGAAAACGTACGTACAATTTCTATACGTCAATTCGTTATGAATAAGCGATCAAAAAATTCGAAAAGTTTCATGCGTATACATACTGCTTAGCTAGATCTTTGATACATTATAGCTGTTCTACCCTGTCAAAACTGTACTCAAGGGGTGCTAACCCCTTGAGTACAGTTTTGACCCTGTATAACTGTGCTGCAAAAAAGAAAAATGCCTGTGTCAGGAAGAGCGGAAACGGATTCTTTGGCATGGTCAGTAGGTGGTCTTTGTGGACCTGTGATCAGTGTGATTTAATTATTGCAGTTCCAATATGGTCTAGTTATGGCAAGCTAATGTACGGTATGCGAACCCACACGCACTACCTCGTTTTTATAGCTACTCTAGTACTTAGATTAAAGGTACCTTTTAGAACGCATAAAATTGATTGGTTTAATTAGCTGGTGAGCGAAACTACTCCGTCAATGAACTGTTGATCATGATTAATAACATTACAAAGGTCACTCTTAAAAATTGTTTTTTGTTGTTTGAAGTCGTACGCCAAGGTGATGAATTAAATTTTTTGCTGCCTTCATTTTGTAAACTTTCAAAGTACCTCAAACGAGAATCGAAACGGAAGAAAAGACGAATGAACATTTGACAGCCGTATTGCTTCAGGCAGCCTAACCACGATCATTCCCAGAAAATACCACCCGGCGACTGTCGTCGAGTCGTCGACTGTACGATCAGCCGCCATACCCAAGAAGGATTGTCAGGACCGAATGCTGTCCAAGTACCGCGGCTGCCTTTTGGGGGCCTTGGTTGGTGATTGTCTAGGACGAATGTTTGAAGGTGCTCGACCGCCATTGCAAGTGGCGGAGATAGAAGCAGCAATTGCCAAACAAAAGGGTGATAGAATAGATCTAGTTTGCGTTCAGATCTTTGTGTATATTATCGAATGTCAAATTCTGTAGAAAATCTAGCGATACACGACTGAAAAGCGTAAGGTGACGGGACGTTTCATTTAAGAAAAGCTTATATACTGTGTATACACGGTGTTCAGTTTGATTATAACAATCATATCTATATGCAACTGCTGCGCTGCAGTTTCATTAGCAAAATGTACAATACTTATATCACTTCCGATTTAACACCTGCATATAATCACGTAAAGTACCGTTGAAGTGATTGCAGTTATGTTGACATATTCGTACTTTTAGAGTTTTATTTTCTGATGGGCATGAAGCACTTTACTTTAATTACGTTTGCTTTAACTTCAACTGTTTACTTCCTTGTCTTCATGTCATTTACCAACTGGATTTCAGAACACTCATTACCATCCACGGATGACACGGCAATGTGTCACGCGATCGCCGAATCGCTGATTCGTTGCGGACACTTCGATGCTCGTAATATGGCCAAATCGTAAGCGTGAATTCACTTTACCTTGTCACAAAACTGAATTTCCTGAATGGTGCTAGTAGCCTGGTACTTATACTCGAATTTTTGCAGTTTTGTTGACAAGTATGAAGATGAGTGGACCAAGCAGTTCATGTACACCGTCGGCGTAAAGGTAATATTTGCCATCTGGCAAGCGAACCATTTCGCTGGCGATGTGTTTTCCCCTGCCCGGCAACAGTTTGACGGTCGGGGATCATTTTGCAACGGCGGGGGAGTACGGATCGCCAGTGTCCCTCTGTTTTGTGGAAACCGGCGGGAAGAGACCGTAGAGGTTCGTATTCTGACTCGGCATTAATGTACTGCATTAATTCATCGTCAGTACTCTCATCGTTATAGTAGTGTCGTGATATGCGCTTATTACGGGTACGTTTTTACCATCACACCATACACATGACTGCAGATTATCGCGCGTTTTATTGATGCACAGTACCTTTGTCGAAATACTCGTATGTAGTGAGTCAGATTTTGTTGTGTCAAAACAGTTTACCGGTATTTTTAACCTGCGACGTGATGCCTGCGACATTTATTATGTTTCACCTTTAATAATCACAGTTTGCGGCTCTGTACTTCAGATTGCCCGGCTCAGTACGCAGTTAACGCACAACCATCCGCTCGGTTACAACGGAGCCATTCTGCAAGCGTTGGCTGTGCACCTGGCCCTGCATTCCGACACTCCCGATGGTGAATCTTTACTGGATGCCCTCATCGACTTCGCAAGCGACAGTTTAGAAACCAAGTTCGTCAATATTCCTAAATGTCTTACGTTTGGAAACGGGTGTTTTTCCACATATTTTATGTTAACGTTAACAGTGAGAGGAAGAAGCTTTACACGAATCGCCTGCGCATAGCCAAAATGCTGCTGAATGACGCGAACGCTACGCAAAAAGATGTGATAGAGAAAATGGAGCATTCCGTAAATATGTTAGCGCTGGACGCCATTCCCATGGCTATCTTTTGCGCCGCTCGGGCACTGCGACCGATTACCGGCATTGAAGTAAGTCCCGTTACTTTTCTGTTTTTTTTGTTTTTAGACCTACTGTACTGTTCCTTTTTTCCAGACCGATAATCCTTTCGCACGTACCATTTTGTACGCAATCTCGATGGGCGGTGACACAGAAGCGATTGCCACAATGGCTGGGGCCATTTCCGGGGCGTGGCTGGGCGTCCAGAACATCCAGTGGGAAGACTTGTGTGAAGCGCCAGCGGAAACACTGAAGTTAGCTGATCGCTTACACGAATGTGCTTATACCACAATCGACTAACACAGTGCAATGATTTCTACTTTCTAGGCAAGGTTTCATGCGTGATGTTTCTTGGCATTAACTTGTAGTCACTTGAATTGCTATGCCAAGTTGCTATCGAGAACAGAAAAGGTGCCTGGTGCATATTCTATTGGAAATGTTGTAGTGCAGTGTTTATTATGTAAAAATGCGCTTTCTTACAAAAATTAATAATCCCACGACATGGGCTATTTGTATCGTCGATACAGAATAAGAATTGTGGCACGAAAACTTTTTGCTTAGTTTTTTACTTACTTGCCAAGCTAAGGACTCGTCACCAAATTTGTAACTGGTAAAAACTGTAAGTAGGTACTAGTACATACTTTCAGAAGTTACGTTGGAACACACGTATACGAAGTACGTTCAGAGCCTTACTACCGGATTATTGGTCTGACCGCAATGGCCACCTGCAGTCAATTAGTAATGATCTTCACCTTACCCTGGTTATTTTGTGAATTCGCTTGTGCAGTATTCCATCGATCTCTGTTATTGTCTGATGGAGTCTATATTTCCAGCAAAAATTCGTGTTCAGCTGACAGAATGAAATCGTCATACAAGCACTTGCTGCGGAAAACAAAACAACTTTAGGAAGTCGCTACGCTGTGCGTTTACACGTAATCCTCGAATGAAATGTAATTATGGATAGGTCACGGTTACATGTGATAATTCATGATTACCTTTTACGTATGCTTACATATTTATGATCATCATATGACGCAAACGCAAAAAACCCACGCAATAATCAATTCAGGACGGATCCGGATGTGCCTTGGGCTACGTCGATTTTATTGCAAGCCGTAACCGTACTAAAGCAACAGCATGTTTGTACACTTACGGTACAGTACAAGCACGGTATTTCGCGTCTCGCTTCACCGGAGATCCAGGTTTATCGGTAAAGAAAATTCTGCGTGTTATTTAGTCCTAATTGTTCGCTCTCCACACCAGTCCCTAAACGCGTAAACTGAATGAGAGCGGTTTCTTTATTGAAGATTGGAACCACTGGTGTAGCCGCTATGAAAACGGTCACAGCGAAAATCAAATTAAACACTCTGCTACCCAAACACCACGGATGTCTGTTTGACGCTTTGGCGGGCGAGAGTGCGAGACGATTGTCTGCGTATTCGCTACCGCTCCTGTCCGCCGCCGAGGTTCTAGTTGACAAACAAGCGGGAAGATGTATGTAAGCGCGTTGTGAAAGAAATCCCAAAAATACCGTGCTTGCCTAGAACAGCTAGAAGCAGTTTGCTAGTTAGAGCGATGTACCTATTACAAATAATTTACAGACGCAGTTACAGACGCAAACTATAAAACTGTCTAGAAGTCCTCCATGGCTATTTATTGTATATTATAATCAAGATTATTCTGCACTTGCGTACCGGTATCTCAGTATCTGTAAGCTAGTCCACCGAGCAGAAATCAATCAGGCTCAAAGAAAGCGTGGGCGAATGAAAAACTAATCGACTGCACGTCCTGCTTTAGGCAGCCTCAACATGCTCCATCCCAGAAAGTACTTTTCAATTGTCACCGTCTCGTCCACTGTAGGATCAACAATACTGACGAAGGAATGTCAGAACCGAATGCTGTCCAAGTACCGTGGTTGTCTTCTAGGGGCCTTGGTTGGAGATTGCCTGGGACGGTTGTTTGAGGGCGATCCACCGCCGGTCAAAGTATCGGAGATCGTAGCAACAATTGCCGAACAAAATAATAAACCGTAAAAGCACACATCATAATTATGTATTCTGCCGGATGTCACATTTTGCAGCGATACACGGCAAAAACAGCTGAAAAGTTCATGGTTATGTGTAGATATAAGAGAAACTGAGTACCGGTAATGTGCAAATATATTCGGACTTTCGTTTACTTTAATTCCTATGGTACTTTCACTTTAATCACTTTCACGGTAATTATATACTTTTCTTTCGTATTGGGAGAGTGTTTTAGAATTGCCATTGCCGTACACGGATGATACGGCCATCATCGGGCCATGTGTCACACGCTGGCCGAATCGTTGATTCGTTGCGGACGTTTCGACGCTCGCGATCTGGCCAAATCGTAAGCGTATTTTTTCCTTTCGCCGCTTCAACGTTGGGATTTATGTCGCGTTTCGGCAGTTTCAATGACAGGTATGAAGCACAGTGGACCAAGAAGCGCCTGTACGCGAGCAGCGTAAAGCACATCTTTTCCATCTGGGAGGACAATGACTTTGGAGGCGATATTTTTGAACCTGCGCGACAGCAGTTTAATGGTCGGGGATCGTTCGGGAACGGTGGGGAATGCGGGTCGCCAGTATCCCACTATTTTGTGGGAACCGTCTGGAAGAGACGTTAGAGGTTCGCATTCTGATTACTGTACTGGAAGGCAATGTGATGCAGTTCTTAAATTCATGGATGCAGCGATATACGGTACACAGTATCATCATATTGAATCATACAAACTTGTTTGCCTTTGAACACTGCGTTTTATGGATGACTGCATTACTCTGCCGACATTGAGCGTAGTGAGTCAAATACTGTTTCAGGAAAAACCATATACCGGTATTTCTAATCAACGCATGCGACGTGAATGTTTTATAGTGTTTGACCTTTAGTGTCAGTAGTTTTGGCTATTTCAGATTGCCCGCCTGAGCAAGCAGTTGACTCACAACCATCCACTTGGCTACAACCGAGCCATTCTACAGGCGTTGGCTGTTCACCTGGCCCTGCATTCCGACACTCCAGATGGTGAATCTTTGTTGGATGCTCTCATCAAATTTGCTAGTGACCGTTTAGATTTTGTGCTGTTCGCCATAAACAGCCACATGTTTAGCATCAGAAAGTTAAGAATTTTTTTTACACCTTTTGATTTGCAATTAGTATAGTTGCACTTCGATATTCACGGAGCGCGAGCGTCTGAAAGTAGCATGCAAAGAAAGTGAGAAAGCGTCCAAGTTTTACTGGTGGCGTGTCGTTGCGGGGTTACTTTTGAACCGCGGACCGACTGATCGGTTCAACCTCTTTTTGTCGTCCTTTGTATGTTTCTGCTACCTACAGTTCATGTGCTCGACGCTTTATTCGGCTTTAACATCGCGATGGAGAAAATATTTGGCTGTTGCACTACGAAATTGCGCTCTATATTCGGTAATCCATGATGCTTACTTATTTTGCTAGCATGCAGCATCGAAAGAACTGTACAGCAGCTGCCAAAATAAAGTTTTCTACTTTTTTGTTAGTTTTATCTGATTCGATCGGGAGGACCGGATTGTGAGCAGTAAAATAAATATTGTACGTGCCATTTATGCACTAACAGTAATTTTGTAATGCATGCCTTGTATTTTGCATCAAGGCATTTAATGATATCGCTGTACTGTACTGACATTGTCACATAACATTCGCAGCGTTCGCAAGCTACGAATGTTATGTGACAATGTAGGGAATGAACGAAAAATATTACCGTGTAATGACGCAGAAACCGCAAAAAAATAATGCGAATCTATTCCAAATTGTAATCCTTGTACATTTAGCTTATACACAACAGTTAACATCACAACGCAATACACTCAATCAGCAGAAAACAGCCTCGGGAGGTCTAAGAACAGAGAACAACTGATCTAAATTTGCTCCCGGTGGAGCTGTTCCCTGGACGGAGGCCGCGTTCCCGCGCTGGATTTCTATGCTGATACGCTGGCGCAGGTATTCCGGTGCTCTTGCCTCGCCAGTTTCATGCCGTACCCTTCTACCCACTTCCGTCAGCAGACGGGAAGCTTCCGGTCCGTTTGGTCCTAGCGTTTCAAAGCCCAAAGCGCGTTCCAAATTTTGCCTCAGGTAACACCGCAACAGACAGTTCAAGCATGCTTGTTCTGTGCTTATACTTGTACAACGTATGCTCGGGTAGGTACGATACGATATCACGTTTCAGTCACTTTTACTGGTACCTTACCGTACCGTACGGCTGCTGGATATTGTTGCAGTACTTATTTGGTTATGAGATGCAAAGTTAACACCGTATATTAGAAAATGGGTGCTTCACTTAGTCAGATATTGACGACAGGGACCACTGCAGCAGCCGCCAGAAATATGATCGCCGCGAAACATTGTCCAAATAGACTGCTATCCAAATAGCGGGGATGCCTGCTTGGCGCGTTGGTTGGCGACTGTCTGGGACGGATGTTTGAGAACTCGCCGCCACCAGTACGCGTGTCTGCCATCGAAGATGCGATTAACAAACGAACTAGAAAACGTAAGCTGCGTAGCCCAGCAAGAAAATAACGGGAGCAAGTGCCGGAAATTCTTGCAAAAGATACTCAAAACAGAATCTTGACAATTCATAAGAAAATCAAAATTTATTCCCATCATTTGTGTTAGCATGCCATGCAGCATGCATATCGTCAGTGTGCGGTGCGTGTCCTACCTACATGTGAATAATCGCTGGGACATGCATGTGTAAACTTCGGCAGATATACAGATCTGTAGCCGATTTGATTTATATCGATTATATTCTAGCATGGTCGCTTTTATTTCTTTTTTAAACTCTGCTTGCATTGATTGGTCCTTTATTTCCATTTAATTTCAATCCATTTGTAAGGATATCCGCTGCCATATACCGATGATACGGCAATGCATTGGCAGGATGGCTGATCCACTGTGGACATCTGGCCGCGCGCGATATGGCCAAATCGTATGCTATGTCTTTCCCAAATTAAATACGATATATTCGAAGCGTGTCCTTTTCTAAAAACTGACGCCAAAATGCCTGAGTTTTTGTCCAGGTTCGCTTTTAAGTATGACGCCGAACCGGGCACACATCACATGTATGCCACTGTGGCGGACATTTTCTCCGTCTGGCAAGCCATCGATTTCGAAGGGGATGTTTTTGGACCGGCCCGGCAGCAGTTTGGCGGTCAGGGATCGTTCGGGAATGGCGGAGGCATGCGGACTGCCAGTGCGCCGCTGTTCTGGAAATCGACTGAAGGAGACTGTCGAGGTTTGACCTTTAATTTACGTATTAGCTTTGGAAAATACAATACACGCGCAGTATGCATGCTGGTTGATTTTTTCCTGTCTTGTGTTATCGATACTAGAGAATTAAGTTTTTTCCGCATTTTTAAAATTCAGGAATACCGGTACGTATTTCACAGTATTCGTAAACGAAATCAAAGTGGATAGGGTCTTACCCTAAGGTGGACCACCTTGGCGAAATCATCGTCTTACGATTGTTTCAGATTGCCCGTCTGAGCACGCTGTTGACGCACAACCACGCACTGGGTTACAACGGAGCAATTCTACAAGCATTGGCTGTTCATCTAGCCCTTCGGCCCGACTCTCCAGATGGAGGAACCCTACTGGATGCCGTCATCGGCTTTGCACGTGACCGCCTAGAAAACGAGTTCGCAGACGTTTTCAGGTTTTCACGTTATAGGTACGCTTCGTTGCTGTCGTTTAATTACGTGCTTGCATGTTGGCAGCGAGGTGAAAAAACCATACACGGAGCGGCTGCTCACCGCCAAAGCGTTGCTGCATGACCCTCATGTCACGCAAAAAGAGGTGATAGAGAAAATGGAGCACTCCGTTAATATGGAGGCACTGGACGCCATACGATCTGTACCCGGCATCGAAGTCAGGGAATGTTGTCCCCGATTGATATTTATTATAGTTTTTAGATGTATATTGTTTTTTCAGACTGATAACCCTTTCGCACGAGCGATTTTATACGCGATTTCGATGGGCGGCGATTCGGATACGATCGCCACGATGGCTGGGGCCATTTTCGGGGCAAGGCTGGGCGTCCAGAGCATCCAATGGAAGCACCTATGCGAAGCGCCCAAGAAACTGTACAGCTGGCTGACCGCCTGTACGCGTGTGCGTAAGGAATAAGAGATCTGGATTTCCTAGGGGACTTTCTTGTCCGTGATGTTTCTCGAAACTGTAACATGTAGAAACTATCAGAATTTTATTGTCTCGTGTGTTTTTGAAATACGCTCCATCGTATGCTGCGTAAAAACAGTCTGTAATGCGCAATAGTCTGTAATGCACATTACACAGAGGAGATATTTGCCAATGTCAGATAGAATTTTATGCCTGTTTCCCTTATTATTTACTTACTAGCTTCCGTCTGCTGTGCGCTCAATGGTATTAAAATCTATTTTTGTTGTGATATCGTAGTACAGTGGCTGTCAATCCACTATGTACATGGCTGTGTTAAGTCTACGTAACTGACCGACAGAACGAAGAATTTAGCACTACTGAGAAATTAAGTTTTTTGGGCCTTTAATTTATGGCATAAAAATATTGCTCTTTGGATTACATTTTGTATCTCGAAAGTTAAAACCATGTATGAAAACATTTACTACCGTCCAGTGCGCGGGTTCTCTGACAACCCTATTTCTTCCAGACCTTCCGGGAAGGGTGATTCATGGTACCTATATTGCAAGGGTTTGGAGCCATAGCATCGGTAATCCTCAAGTATGTATTTTTTATTGTTTCGTCAGCTTAATAAATTAAATTTACACAGTAATTACTTATTACTGTTTGTGCTACGCGAATCGTGATACGTCTGCACGGTATTACGTATCGCGCCTAACACACTTCGAAGGCCGTGCTGACGTTTCGAATGACGTTGTTGGTTTTCAACCAGCAACATTTGCGCAGATGCAAGCCGTAGGTTATTAACAAAATTTCTAACTTATGATTTATTCATGTTCACTGCTTTCACAGTCGATAAAACTTAGCCAGAAACACATTTACCCGCTATTGTCCTCACCGTATTGAGATCTATTACGAGGTGTCCTATGTCTTTTTTAGCATGGCTGTCTGCAAGAGGAATCTGCCGTCGATCGTGCTGCGAGCTCTGGTTCTCACGATAGCGAGTGAGTGGTGGGAAAGGGCGTGGAGTGCCCCCGTGGCTCCTCTGGATCCCGCGCTAATGGCCAGCAGCGCCGCCATGAACCGTATCGTCATCTTTCCCCGAAAGGTCGACAATGTTTTGACGTGCGACAAGAATCTGCTGCGGGAGATTGAACAGTATTGTGTGGTTCACTTCGATATTGATATGAGCATGTACCGTAACAAGGAGTACGAGAGCCTCGTCAATCGCTTCCAACAGCGAAACGCCTTCAATGATCGCCAGAAACGATCCAGCAACGGCACCGCCGCCAGTATGTTGACAAATTTAATTGCAAAAATAAATATTAAATATGTTGCTAGCATTGATCAGGATAATACGATTTCCCGAATTATATTAATTTTGACTGTCACTTTGCTACTGACATAACACCTCCAAAGGGCACAGCTTCACAACGCAGTTTTTTGTTATTATTCCTTTAAATCTGGCTTATCTTATTTTGAATTGTGATTTTAGAATTCTATATTGAAAAATAAATGATTTGGCTAACGAATTGGACAGGAGGCTCCTATGTGAAATAAACAGAATGTAGTACAATGGCTTTATGCAGGATAATGTAGGAAGTTACCGCCCCTGCAAAGGCATCGTCTAAATTAGTGCAAGTTGTTCCGTGTGTACTCCGTATTATTTTTTTCGATTTCAGATACTCAAACACAAACGCGTGCATTATAAATTTGCTGCGCTTTCTCTTTTTTTATTTTGCTTTTTTTCAGTTTGCTCCCATATAATTCGATAATTATTTTTGTCTTTTGATTTTAACTTTAATAAAGCACATGTTGTAAAAGGATAACTGCTGTAAGCTTATTTTCGTACAAGTGAATAAAATTATGATATTATGCGTTATGATTAATTTGTTCTTTAGGTCCATTTGCACGAAGCATTGCGCAACCGCAAGCTCGACAGAAGCAACGAATATTGGTGAAATGTTGCCAAGTTGGATGCACTCATCTCGAGGTGAAACATATTTAAATAAAGTCGATAAGCACATTTTGTAGTTTTTCATTTGGTTGCATATTTGGTCATTTTGATGCTTTTAGATGAGCAAAATTTGCCATTAATCCAAAAGTCCCAGCTGACGTAAAATTTGAAACCGATGCCTTTACTCGATTATCCATTATGTCCATTCAGTTGCTAACTTGTGTTGACTGAAAATTTAAGTATTATTGTTGCGGCAATGTTGTCTTTGTTTCTCTTCTTACGCTTGCAGTGTATATGCATTCACTACATTAATTTAATAAAATCTGATTATCACGATTACAGAAATCTTTACGTTTATTTTTGATATCTGCCACGCATTCTACGCATTTTCTGAATCGATGACAATTGACAATCACAAACACATTGCCACAAAAATCTCATCCCGGCCCGACCAAAACTACGGTAAAGGTCATACCATAGTGAAATACGCTACTTGATTTCTCTCTGCGCATAATCACTTTTAGTTCTTATTATTACCGCGGGATGAAATTTGCACATTACAAGTAAATCTTGCACGGTGTACGTTAATTAGCGAAGCACCGGCTATGAAGTGTTTTGATTGGCGATAAGTCTAACCTTGGAAAATACGGCGCCGGACGGTCAGTTCTGAGCTGAGGTGCAATCTAATTAACCCAGAAATCGTTATCTGCAAGGATGAACAGCAACTTCAAAACGGCTGTGCGGGAACGACTCAACAAGGCAAAGTGCATAATTACATATCAGCATCTTCTTGGACAATGATGTCTCCATCGTCGATGTAAAATGACTAAGAGCAGGCAGTGGGCAGCGCTGGACAAAAGCAAAAGCACCAAAGGAACGCTTCCTTTGCACCATGACAAAACCAGCTAGACGGACAAGAGCACGCATTCCGCTGCATATAAAGAGGTCTGTCCATGCCCGAAATCACTTTCACTTTCGACATTTGAAATTACGGAATGCAATCTGCGATTTGTTTTGCTGCCGTAGAACATCGACATTTACCGCAACAACTGGGCGAATTCGACTGCAGTTCTAGTAATATAAAGTAGTTTATAACAGTCTGCTAAACATAAACATATCAAAAATGAAGAGCTTTTTTTCAACATCAGTTTCTATAATTTCCTTACTTCCTTTACTGCTGTTCTCCAGAGGTAAGAATGGGCACTTTTATGATAAATATGTGCTGTTAATCAGCAGTAAATTGTGCATTTAAATAATTTATATTAATAACTGCACCGCCATTAGTAATCGTAGTAATTTTTATTGTTGAGAAAATAAAATTTGGCGCAATACGCTATGTATAAGAATTTGCTAATTATAAATAATCTGTCAATAATTGTTTCAAGAATAATATTTTGGGTGAGAACCTTGGATTTTGTGTGGTATCACAATGCAACTGTTGTTTGGGTTTACTCCAGAATACTTTAAGCGTAAAACTGAACGGTTCGATAATCGTATTAGTTTTTAGTTTTTCCAAAAGTAAGAAGCTTATTATGTATAAATTACGTACAATATATTACTTGCATTCGTGTTGCATTTTCTTAATAAAATTTTATTGAAAATACGAGTTTATACAAAGTACTCCTACACATACGTACGTATACGATGTTGCCAATATAATCGCGGGTTAATTATGCGCTTAAATAGGAACTTCCGCTGGCCGCGTAATAGTGGCAGCGCCATCGAACAACACCGGCATTCCGGTGGCGGTCGGCACCCCGGTGCTGGCGCCCAGCGGCCACTTCGACGTGGACCCGTCGACCACCACCACCGGCAACACCCGCATTACCACCACGGTACCCACGACCACCATCTCCCCACACACCGTCAGCACTTCCTTTCCCCACAAGGCCACCCAGCCGAAGACGGACAAAACCGGTAAATCCACCGGCTTCGTCACGGCGGCGCCGGCCATTATCAAGGCACGCGGGACAAAGGTCACCGGCACCTCATCGCCATCGGATGCCGGTCTGAAGCGTAACCGCCGGTGGTTCGGCGGTTTGGGTTATGGGTTGCCGTACGGAGGATTCGGCTACGGGGGACTGGGCTACGGCGGATTAGGGTTCGGCGGTCTGGGATTCGGTGGACTGGGTCTCGGCGGTCTGGGTTTCGGAGGACTGGGCTACGGCGGCCTCGGGTTCGGCGGGTTGGGATTCGGCGGCGGGCTGGGATTGGGCGGTGGGATAGTGGATAGCGTCAGTGTAACGGATATGATTATTTAAATCTATCTGGTGTTGTGTTCATTATGCTAATCACTGCGGCTGTGCATGATGTCTACTCGTAGAAAATATATAATGGCTAAGTGACCTTTGGTAAATGCCCCTCTTTAATGCAGACTGATTTCGCATGAAAAAATCTAATAAGAAACCCGTATTGCCGTCTGTACTAATATGGTAATAAAAAGTAGCAAAGCTTAAACATTTTCTGGAACGGAAAATGGTTTTATTAGCTATAAATTCTGAAGCAGTTAGATTTTCATATTAATCGTATAACCGCTTTAATGCTGATAAGTAATTACAATAACAGAGTGTTTGTAAAATGAAAACTCACAAATTCATGATCGTCTGCGCAGCGCAGTCGAAGTGAAGCGTCGCATGCAGTATGTAAAGCATAAAGCTCCCGCTCCGCTTAAGTGGGTACAGTCGGTACCGATATTTACAGTTAAGTCGATTGAATAGAAGCTGTAAATGTTTTGTTTTTAAAACTGCATGGCAAAGAAAGCCACCAAAATAAGACAATTATTTTTAACAATATTAATGAGATAACAGCCATTAAAATTTTCTTCTTGGACTTTAAAATCGCGAGTGTTATTAATTTGCAATGTTTTCAATATGAATATGTTTGGCTAGCTTGATATTATCAAATGTCTAAAGAAAGGAAGACAACAATTATGGAATTTACCGCAGCCAGCTGCATCGTGGAAAATTAAACTAATTACATTTTTCTAATTATTCAAACAATATCACTTGACCTCATTCCGAAGCATTGTCAATAATTTGTTCTTATCAGAAGTAATTAATTCTGCAGACAATTACTTCTCAGTTCCTAATTCTGCCGATTGGTTTAGGCCGGACACAGGCACGAATTTCGTAATAATAGGTATTGAACTAGAAACTCTTATGCAGTATAATTTCCACCAGTCAACTGTAAATCAGGTTTGCACTTTGTCGTAATTTCACCACGTATATATATGTGCAGATACCATACATAACTCACAATCAGTAACCGAGCAGTGTTATTAGAATATGCGGCATGCAGATGCAAATTTTAATACAAACTTCTGCGAAGTAGTCGTGAGAAAGAATAACAATGAACTTAATGCAGACATCACTGCGTTTTACAAACGCACCCCCTTCTAATAACATTCGCAAGGCATTTATCGCAGAATTAAGTACAAGTTATAACGGATTCAGAATCTGTACGGGTATAACAAATGACTAATACTACGATTTGTTTGGAATATACCAGAACTTTCGTTCTGAATAATCAGATACAACCGGTTTGTTAAGACGTATATGTTTTTGTTGCAGCAGACTAAACAGAGCGCATACTATTAATTTTATAATACGAGTTGCTTACTGTTGCTCACTTCAAACTGCGGCAACGGTAATGCGCGCATTGCTCCCGTAGAGCTCCTCCACAGTTGAGAAATCACAGCAATGACACATCTTTTTTTGGATCATCAACCAGCTATTTTTTTCCTGCTGTTTAATCAAAAACGTTTCAACAGTCGTATATTAATTATGTAAGCAGAGTTAACAATAATGCCGGTTTCCGGTTCAAATTCCGCCAATAGCGGGCTGTTCGGCATACCGGCAAATCTCTCGCCGGATCTGTTACATGCGATGGCGTCTATGGAAGAAGGCGACGAAATCGGTACCAGTAATTAACGTCAGCGTGAATTTTTGGATCGTACTTACTGTTTGATCTTTGTTGCTTGTATAGTGTTGGCGGACTCATTCTTCCCTGTTTCTTCCGTATGTACACAATACGGACCGAAGGCGATTTCCGCTAGCACTTCCGGTATTCCGGATTTACTCGCATCGATTCTCAAGTTGTTCCCAATTAGAAATCATCCCAGTACACTGGAAGCTTTGCAATCTGGACGCTGGATCAGGTTGAAAGTTGTGAATTAAGCTGAGTACAATGCGTGTTAATATTGTAGTGCCATGTCAATCATATGCTTGTTACTGTAATTTTGGCTTTCTCAGGTCATCGCCAGTATACATGATGTACAGTTTCGAGAACGACAGTAAACCGCACTTGTCCAATATGATCTGGCGACAATATCAGACCGTCTTGGACGGTTTCGGCATTTCGGGAGAGTCAGTTACGAAGATCTGCCGGGAAGATTTCCTCGGGAAGGCTCGAACAGCGTACGCTGTGGTCACGACGAAGGATACATTTTACGGATGTCTGATATTAAAGAAAGGGCGATTGCACTCTGCACGCGATGTGCCGCATACGCATTCTTCAGCTGTTGTGTCGTTCTAGGTGAACTCGCATTCGGTGATTGATTTATGTATTTAATTGCGGCAGCTCTTTCCAAACAACTTTATTTTAAATTTCAGCCAATTTTTTATAATTTAACAAGTTACCAGCTGATTAAAAGTTATTACGTAAAAGAAATCGAATTATTTACTGTGGAATGTCATAAAAATGCCGAAAAGCACTCGGGAGTGTGCGAAAGTTTAATTCATGTACATGTTTTTGATATAATGTACCGGGTCGCTTTCCTTAAAAAAATAATAAAAACCTGTTTCTAAGAATCCAGTTTACAAAATGTTGAGTCAACGATGATATAGTTCCAGTGAAAATTTCGAGGCGCGTGACAACTGCGAAAATTTCGAAGCATCGTGATGTGCAAAACGGAAAAGATTATTAAACAACTCCTTCTGTTATTGTCGACAATGCGCAGTTGCATCCGATTGCCCTTTCTCGGCAGGGTTTGGAATTGCCGAGGTTCGTTACTGTGCACCAGAACCGTTCTGTGCATTTATGCCGGCAACTCCAATCTACAAGATTTTATATGTGAACATTAAAAATTGTGGCTTCAACAAAATTTTAAAGCTGAAATACGGTTAAGCATTCGTTATTTCCGAACAAAATCGTACTTACCAATTGAATGAAGGCCTTTCAAGAAATCTCCCAGCAGGTTTTCTTGGCCGTTGGCTGGTGGCTGAGCTTGTCGTACCGGGACTGCACATTAAGATACTACTTAAGTTTGTATAATAACGAATGACTACGTTATTTGCACAATGGAGTCACAGTTACCGATAGTACTAGTAACAGCTGGCGGTACCGATGTTACAGCAGGCTGTTTTGTATAACGATTGGTTTGCGGGATCACAACAGTTGCTTTTGGTGTGCTTCGAGACTGCTTTTGTACTCTACCAGTAGAGGTTGCCTGCGTGGTGCGGTTTCCGATATTTGCGATTTCTTCGCAAGACATTGGTGCTTTCAGAGTCACTTTTTCGAAGTTCTCATCAATACATCCATATGCCATTTGCAGTTTAGTGACATCCATAGTGCTTAGCCATTTACGCTGTCCCATTCTCACGGGCGAGCGAATCTTCGGAATGATCGCCGGTTTGTCGCGGCTCTTGGCGAAATCCCATGCTGCATAATGTAGAATGGATTCGTAGTCGTACTGCAGTCCATGCGTGGGCATATGGGGCAGAACTGCGTAATTGGCATCGTACATGTCTGCTTTGATGTTTTCTGGAAATACTTGAACGAACTCATCGCGGTCCGGGCGGTTTTGTTCGTGGTAGAAACCCAGCGCGTGTAACAGTTCGTGCAATATTATACCATCCTTGATGCATTCGCTTCCCAGCCGAATTTCGGTGACTCGTCCGGGAAATCGGCCGACGTGTGCCATGCAACTAATTGTATAATTGTACGCAGATGAAAATGTAACCATTGTGATCTAGCAAAACTATTCTGTTATTATGCAGACCCTCGTCCAGCGGGAATTATCGAGATGTATTCCTCTTCGTTGGTCCGTGATTTAAAGGTCAAACAGTTGTCGGTACGTCGCTCAATCGTCCGCAAAACGTTCAGGATGCGTTGTCGAGAGGGGTTGTCTGGAAAATAATGGCTTATGAAATTCTGTGTATTTACATAGACGATTCCTCATTCGACGTGTTAACAATCTAGAGTAGATGGTGGCTATACAGCCTCGCCAAAGTACAGTATAAGTTAAATTTTCGGCACTATCTATCTGTATCTTGTTGCGACCAGCAACTTCATATACATTTCCGAAAATAGAAAGCCCAGAAGTGGATATTTTAATATGTTTTTTCGTTTGACAGTTTCAGTGTAATCTACCTGTATTTGTAACGCACTGTGCCTATTTAGGCGTATTTTGCCAATATCGCGTTGATAACTTTTAGTACTGTAGCTTTCAGTATTTAGTTGTCAATTTAAATAAATAAAACGACTGACAGTCTTTAAAACGACTGATCACAAGAGTGTCAGTCGGAGGAGTTTACCAAGCGACGGGTGAAGAGAGTAGGGTATACATTGTCCGTTATTCGGCCAGTACTTGTCGTTTGATATGTCCGGAGTACTTTGGGAATCCTCGTGCTGCAGCACCATGTACGGCTTTTGTCCCTCCCAATTCAGAATATCGCCCGTGGTGAGCGATTCTTCGGATTGGTTCAAGGATGCATGGATTCTGCTTCTCCAGTCTGCATGGAAAAATGATTTTTTCGGCATACAAATTGGCAAGCTGCATATACAACTGCCAAAATCAGAAGGTACCTATATACAAAGGGGATACCAAAAGTTTTTTTCCCTATTTTTTATCTTCCCCCACAAACTCACTGTACTCTTTCCACCCATATTTTTACTGATGTCATTCATTAACTAATTATTGAAAATTGTAATCTAGGTTTTGCTCAATCCGGCTGGGGAATTCGCCACAAAGACTGTTGGCGGCTTCTGGCAGCCTAATTTCTGGTCTTCCCGCAGCATTGTACTGTTATTAAAATTCTCCTCGTTTATTCTCCGAGCAGCACAAAACGCTTTTATGTTCAGAACTCTTCGCTCTTGCAATGTAAATCAAGAACGAAAAAAGGCAGCCCCTACTAGTTTTAAAAAAGAATTAAAACTGTTAGTGACCAGTTGTCAAAAAACGAAACCTGTCGGTCTCCACAGGGCAAAAATATGGAAAATCTAGAAAAAAAATTTGCGGTTAACCAACTGGCAATAAATTTGATCATGGCTAGTATGCGCTGGAGTGGGTCAAGGGTAAAGTTTTTGTTGAGGAAACGGCTCCGAAGTTCGGAATAGCAGAAAAGAGGAAAACCAAAAAAAATTGATGGCTTTTAGAAATAAAATTATTATGCTAATGTGTGAAAGTTTAGAAACGTTTCGTCATCATGATAACAGCTAAGGCATGGTAAGCTTGTAGTATTAGAAATTACAGATAAAAAGGTTGAGAGGAAGAGAAGTGGCAATAAAACAACTGAATTTTGGGAAAGGGAGTGGTTAGGCTGCCCAAAGCATCACCGGCTAAATATTTTTTCGTCTGGTTCGTTCTTCTTCGACAGTTAGAATTATTTTTTTCTTCGATAGGTAAGAGATTAGGTTACGCGCAACAAAAAATATATCGCTGATGAATCACATCAACTGGAAACCTGGCAAAATAGGGAAAAAAACTTTTGGTATCCCCTTTGTATAAAAGTGCCTCTTACAGTTGTTAGCTAAGGTCATAAGCATTTTTGGGGTAGAAGAATAATGTATTTAAAAATTAGCAGATTTATAGGCAAACCTGGTGGTAACTCTGCACTCTCAGCGAGTTGCAAGTGGATAAACCAATGCACAACACAACAAACAACCGGTAACGTATTTATTAACATTGTTATAATTTTGTAATAAAATTAGCTTGCCCTGATGGTTTATGTAATGGCATGGTAACTTGTAGAAAATCGACAGGTTCGACAAGAAAAGAGTCTTCGACTGGTACTACAAAGTGCTGAATCACAGCAAATAAAAGGTAATGCAGTAAATGTACTATTACGGCGAAAAGTTAAAAAAGCCTGACTTGTAGGCGTCCATTTGATCACAGGAAGCGATTATCACTAATCGACATACTTCCACACATCTGATAATGCTCAGCATACAAGCTATACAAACACTGCATCCCCGCAAAGTTAATAAGAATTATTATAACACGTTTCGCCAGATTCTGAAGAACAGCACTCGTACCATGACTGCAAACAAAACGAACTGGGAAAGCTTCAATGCTCCCAATCCGTACACCATGGTGGAATGCGAGAAATCCCGCAAAGAGCATCAAAAATAGCAATAATTATTGGGCGCAGTAACAGCCGACAATGGGTACACAGACTCGACTACCGAATACCCTGCCATCCTCTCTTGTTGCTGCGGGTAACCTATAACTCTTTCAAACTTTTCCTGTCTAGTCTTTTAGTTTTCTTAGGTTTCTTATTTTCATGTTTCTTAGGTTTCTTAGGTTTTAGAAAATCTCATCCTAAATTAAACCGTTCTTGTATCACGGGTTTGTTTGCACCACCCCGCAAAGCATCCGGGGGCATGTGATAAAGGGTTATAGCGCATTCAGTGGGTAAGTGCCATACTTTCGTCGTGATCGCCGCTGGAGACCGGTAATTATGTCTGCGGTGCGATTTCTGGTTTTTCGTGCATTTGCGCAAGCGGCTCCATGCAAGATCCGTACTGAAATGAAACGAAATATTAATCAATACTGAAATAAAAATAAAATAGTTAGGGTAGGTGAAATGTGAAAATTAACGTTTATGGTCATTATGACCGATAGCATGCCGTCATCGAATCTGGCCTTATTTGTATAGCCAAAAGTTAATTAACAAAACTAAATGCAAAAACCGTTAAGTTTTCGGTATTTTGATGCAGCAGAGTATAACCAGAACCACCTTTCTGGTTGCGAGGTAAACTGGGCAATCTGTTTTAACAATTTTCAAAGGAATATCCCGGGCATCCGGATGGAAACGACGGATGCCTGGGATGTTTCATTGAAAAGAGCCCTTTGTCGACGCTTGTTGAATACACAGTCTGCGAAAAAATACAACTATGTGGTAATAATACTCACAATAAAGAACGATTCTGTATTGGATAAAAACAGCTATGTACTACTTCGCGGTCGAATTATCGATAAAGTTCCAACAGAAGCCAGATACAACGACAAAAGCCGCGAGCCCGATTTCGGAAATTGACCTCAGCGGACTATGTGGCCTTTATCGATAAGGGTCACATATTCGCATTCCGGTCTTTTACCTGTCCGTCTTTTCCACGTGATGCTCCGCGTTGACCGGGGTATCCTTGTATTTTCGAGCTTAGGTCTTCCTCCGACGGAGGGCCGCCGTCGAATGGTAAAGAGGACGTTCTGGTAAGAAGTCCACGTAGTCGTATCACTACAGTCTTACCAGAAAGTCCACTTTACCACGGCACTCGACAACACCCGCGTACTACTCGAGAAGACATCGGGCCAGCCGAACGCTCTCGCGATAATGATGGCAGACACGGTAATGGAAAAAGATGAAGATCACCATTTCCATTTATGGAAATGAAGATCTTTATCTTTTTCATTGATTCAGGTGTGCCACCGCATCGCGCAAGTACCCATGTGAGGGCCGCCGCCGGTATCGACCGCTGCAAAAGCAAACTGGTAAACTGGGACCTTCATTCCTGCTATGGTAAAGGTCACAAACTGACGATCAAAGCTGTAAGTAATATCACCTGCGCGATGCGGTGGCATAACTGACATGAGCGCACAGCGGTTTTATCAAAGTCTCGGCAACGGCAGACTAAAGACTCAAGCTGTGTTAGAGGATGTTGAGAACACGAGTTTACAATAATTAATGCCGTATGTCCCTGGCTTCTCTGCAAACATACAGGGCGCACCCTCAATGCTGTGATTTGCACATGCGCACGAATCTGCTGTTTCTGTTTCGCTCGCAATTCAGACAGTCGATAATAAACAGGCGTTGGATTTTATGCATATAATTGCATAATCGCATACAAACCAGCCAGGAGAAAGAAGTTAATGTGGACGAGCAGTTCGTTTGCACTGTGCCTTATTATACGCAATGAGAATATCGCTCGCGAACATCACTTATACTGTGGGTTATTCGCTATTCTGTTCACTGGGTGTTTCTTATGACATTCTGTAGCGATATTAATTTCGCGCAAGGCAATCATTCTTTCATTAGATTATGTTCAGTGCCGGAATACCACAGAAATTAGTCCCTATGATGCAACCTTTTAGCTCATATTTTTGGTGGGTACGCAGCGGAAGTAGGATCCTTGTCCTGGTTATCGAGGCGATTGTGACACAACTCATGCAACCTGAATTCAAGACACAAAATGGCAACTGTCCAGAAGGTCTGCGGCTCAAAAATTTAGCATTAAAATTAACACAAAACGCGCAGGAGGAGCACATCGATTGCGCGTAACTATTGAATTGAATCGAATGTATTTTTTGATTAGCCAAGCCCGTAAACGGTCACTCTCACTGTCCCATACGTATCCTGTCCGTTGAAGAACATCACGTATCCTGTCCGTTGAAGAATATGCCTGATATTTTATTGGGTACATTTAGCTTATACACAACAGTTAACATCACAACGCAGTACACTCAATCAGCAGAAAACAGCCTCGGAGGTCTAAGAACAGAGAACAACTGATCTAAATTTGCTCCCGGTGGAGCTGTTCCTGAACGGAGGCCGCGTTCCCGCGCTGGATTTCTATGCTGATACGCTGGCGCAGGTATTCCGGTGCTCTTGCCTCGCCAGTTTCTTGCCGTACCCTTCTACCCACTTCCGTCAGCAGACGGGAAGCTTCCGGTCCGTTTGGTCCTAGTGTTTCAAAGCCCAGAGCGCTGAACAGGTAGTCCGGGGTGATGTTCTGGTACTTGGTTACCTTATCCTGTTCAGCCTTTGCCGCCGCTGCACCAGCTCGCTCGGATGTTGCCACGATATGCGATAATGCCACCGTACAGACGCAGGTGACATCCCACGTCAGCATTCTTCCTCTTTCCCACGGTGCTAACGTAACGCCATCCGGGCGTTGGCCATTCGTTCGACATAAGCCCACTGGTTCAAGCTCTGTTTCAATTCCGGCTGATGCGAATGCTCGTTTACAGACAGCATTCAAGCTGCTGTGTCTGGGCTTTCTGCCTCGACTTTTCTTGCAGCTGAGGCCATGGTAGCCTCGGGCGTCCACCCAGTCCCCGCAGATGCAACGGTGCGGAGTGACGATAGCAGCTCCAAGGCGTAGCCCAACAGCGATTCTCAGGGCAGAATCTGTCAGCATGTTTCCAAGTGATGCTGCCGGTAACGCCTCTAGCCAAGCCCCATTCTCTTTTGTTCTCACGCCGCGCAGCCGAGCTTGACTGGATAGGTCATCCTGGGCTTCAACCCGCAACATTTCCACAGCTTCCGCGATTAGAGGTTCATCCCACACTTTCTGTAGGTTGCGAATATTGACATCCGGCGCATCCCTTTTTGTAATTCCCTGCCATTGCTCTACTGCCGCGCTGCAGTACTCATCAGGGTGAAAGTCCGCAGTCTCGGATGCCAGCGTCGCGATTGAGTAAGCCGAGGCCAAAAAGGCCGGAAGGGCTAGCTTCTCAATGCTGCGAATTCCAAGACCGCCCTCGGAGATCGGCAGGGATGCCTGCGTCCACATTTGGTCCGTGATGGCAACGTTTAATCGTGCAAAGACTTTCCCGGATTACCGCGTCGAATGCTTGCAAAAGGCCGCTATGCATGTAGCATCGACCCGTACGTAGTTTATACGTCACCCTGACTGGTCCCATGCTGCATCTTAAGAGGTACAACGCCTGGTGTGCTGGTATCATTTGCAAGCGTTGCGTCATTTTTTCTGCAACCTCTGTCGCATTAACAATAGCTCCCGCCGTAGCATCGTCGTGTAGCGGTGCGCCCAGATAGTGTAGCTCGTGTAATTGGGGACACTGTAGATCAGGAAACACATCAAGGAATGCAGCTGTAACCTTTTCTTTGTCTTCTTCCGAACCTCCCAGAACGATTAGTTCGCATTTGCTGATGTTCAGCAGCAGTGCACAGTCCCGCAATGCATCCTTTAACGAACACAAATCATCAAAAACATCGTCCGGGTCGCCACCGAGTACATCATCATCAAGGAAACTGGATTTCAACTTAGACTTCAGATTCTTGTGTGGTTTTACCGTAGACAGGCAGTACAGTAGCGGGCCGAGCGGGTCTCCTTGCTGGATGCCCGCCCTGGAAAGGATTTGGTGGGATCCGTGCAACAACACTGATGGGGTTCCATAGCACTGCCACACGAAGTGGTAATACGCCGGCATATGTTCTTCCGCAGCTTTAAAATGCAATTTCGATCGAGGGAGTTAAATGCGTTTTTCACATCCAGCTTTAGAAAGACTTGTGGGGATTCCATTTGAAGAGCGTGCTCGATAAAATACCGTGCACCGTGGACTGCTGCTTCAACGCCGCCTTTGTCGCAAATCCTAACTGCACGGGCCGTAGCACGTCATTCAAGTGGGTACATCTGTATGACACGATGCGGCACACTATTCGCCGAAGACAAAATCCGACAGCTATAGGCCTGATGCCGCTGTCCTTTTTCTTGAAGGCAAAGAGGCTGGCACCATAGAAGACATCTGCAATTTCCTGGGAACTTTTCCTTTAGCATGATGTTCGCAACGGCAGCTAATAAATCAGCAAGCTTTTTGGATTGTTCGTTGTGCTTCATACCGATTAACTCTTTAAGGTATTGCGGCCTCATTCCATCGGGTCCTGCAGCAGAGCCGTTGGGGAAGGCACGAATGGCTTCGCATATCTCGGTAGGGGTAACTTCCGGGGGCAGTGGCGTTGCTGCACCCGGGGGCGGGCGGTTGATAGGCACGTTGGGTGGGTGTTTTTCCAACAGTGCTGCGAATGTCTGCTCTGTGGGAGGCATCACGGATTCTTCGCTGATCAGCTGCTTGACAGCGCCTGATACGTCTCCGTCCTGTAGCTTGCGGCTTACCAGTTTTCGTGTCCGGGATGGATCTTCGCGGGAGGTAGGCTGGGGCGGGTGGCGAGCCGGAGCTCCACAGTTCTGTTCTGGGGTGGTGGCGTTCAGCAGGTTGCGACGCACAATATTGGGAAAGGATAAAGGGGATCTTTCCCCTTTGGCTGCTTTTGGCTGCCTGAGCGCTGCATAGCTGAAGGTGAGGAGATCCGTCCAGGCCGAAACAGAGTTTTCACTGGATACCTTCTCCAGTACCTTAATCAGTGCATCTGCCACGATTGCACGGGTGCTCTTCGGTATGTGGTCAGGTAGGTGGACTGTTTTGCGCAGATCTGCAAGGCGGGATGCTAGATCGCGCTTAGGGGCTGAAACGGTGACGACAGGTGCCGATGATTGTGTTGGTTCCAAGCGTTGTTGACGTGCTTGGGCTTTTTTGCAGTACTGGGGCTGGTTCTCGAGGTGTTTTGTCAGATAATGTTCCGAGGTTAGAACAGTCCGACACTTTGGGCACTGCAGATTGTTAGGCATCGTCTTCCCTTTAAAAAAGAATATGCTAGGCTAGTCAAGTCACCACAACTCGTTAAACACCAGTAATACGTACGCTAGAGAAGCAACACGTCACAGAAATACACATACTTACTTATTTGTAAATTCAGGACTGGGTTCGAATAATGCAGTGCTTGTTTGTGCAGTATGCATTATGAATTAGATTTTTTAATAAATACACATAAGTGACATTAATTCACATAACGTAATACTTACAGATCGTGTGTATAACTTTTTCGTCCTACATTTTACGCTTCCGCTGACACTGCACGGTCTGTACCGAGACGTTTTACTTCCCTTTTACACCTGAAATACCTTCAGGCAGCTTCGTCTTCTTGTTGACATGACCACCCGTGTTCTCCTTTCGTGATATTTTGAAACGTTAAAGCTATCCCCTATTTCAATCAGGTATCCGTGCGCATATTTAAATACTTCTACTCCGAAAGCATTTCGGTCGTACGCTGCGCAATATGTTCAATACGCAAGGGCTGTGTGCAAGACAGATACTTTTCAAACACATACCAGATCTTTGCGCCATTGACATGATGTAGAGTGAAAGCGGTGCAAGAAAATCGGTAAATTATGTGTCGCACTTCCGAAGCCGGAAAAGTTCACCGAACACTGAACAGCTGCACCACTGTTCCACACCAGACGGTCATCAGAGTTTATCAAACTGAATTCGCTTAAATAATCATCAGCCAGAGTGCTAAGCTAGAAAACGTGACAAGTTTCAGTTTTACCAGAAACTCCGTAAAGAGAAAGAGCAAGTAACGGATCTGAGTTTACCTGTAGTGTACTCTGTATGTAGCAGTGTGTTCCTAACGATCACTAGGCAAACAGAAATAAAAGAGTTTATCGGTCTGAATTTTTAAAATTAGTGCAAAACCAATTACAATACACAGCAGTGAATGATGCTGTTCACAAACACCGTATCAATTTTTGAAAGGATTGCATTACGACCAAATATTTGTGCGTTGAAAATATAGGGGGAAATCGATTGCATATTATACACCTTCCCTGTACTGCTCCAGTCATCCGTATGGCTTGCCACGTTATGGCTGAACAGGGTTTTTCAAGGCGCTGCATTTATACCTGCACATTTACGCAGGTACATGTGAATACCATGTGAGACGTAGTGATAATCAAAGTGCTGCAGTCATTGCAGTGACAGTAGAATTTGCATTTTGTTGTGCATCGCGCAAGCAGAATCGTGGAAGTGTGCACAAATCTAGTTCAGAACAGCATATTTTACCACGTAGAATGATTCCCTTAATTTATTCTTCACTTTGCAACCGAAGTTGCGCAGAAGCGTCTTTTTCGCCCAAAAATCGAAAATCAAAAGGATGGACGATTTCGAAAACTCTCAAAATGCAAGCCAAATCACGGTGCCACACCGGGCGGTGCCACCTGCGTCACGCACCGGAAGTTCTTTAAATTCGTTTTTCTGTAACGCTTAGCTTTGAGGTCTTTATGAAATCTTCATGTAAAAAAAACAGGAAAAAGATTTCCCACGAATACAAGGCAGTTTGAAGGTAATCACTCATACTCATACCGAGATACGCTTGATAAAGCGATTTTGTAGCAATCAATGTCCAGGTATAAATGTAGCGCTTTTAAAAACCCCTGTTCACCCCTGACGTGAAAATCCATACGGATGACTGGAGCAGTACAGGGAAGGTGTATAATATGCAATCGATTTCCCCCTATATGTATTGCAGTTTTAGTAGCAAAAACCGCATCCTTACGCAGTGTGTTTTGGGCTGAGTGTACCGTTTGTGTTTGCAATCGAAATCACCCATCCTTGAAACGTTACAACGTTACTTGTTTTACGCATACAGAGTACCACCTGGTTTCGGATGTTTAAAGCGAACCAGAAATTAGTTTCGTTTCTTCTGCTTGTGAAATAGCTGGCAGTACGTACAATGCGCGGTTGCTCCATCAAGGCGCCTTGTTTGCAAGAGTTTCCTGAAACTTTTTGAGCTAATTTACTTTTTCCATGGTTTCAAATTACTCTTTAGGGCATGCAAGCTGTATTAAACTCCACTTATTATTATTACCTCTGTTTCCTCTTACAATTATCGATGGCTGTACCTTATTTTTGAATAATTAAAGAACTGTATTTGCTGAGCGAAGCTGGCTTTGTACTCGTACATATTGCGACATATTGGAGCTTAAATCAAGGAAAAAAACAAAGGATGTGTACGATGTACAGTAGTGTCTGCATGGACTACATAAAGTATGTCTGATTAACGCACATTCCAAACATCAGCCGACAGTACTTCAAATCTGTCCTCGTTCGATTTCCATTTCTGTATTCTTGATTCCAGTCTATGTGTCAGATCAGTGCAAGAATATGGTACGTGAATTCGCTGCCTGCACAAAAATAACCTTAAGCATTAACAGTGAGGTAGATTTCTTGCATCACCCATTCTTGGAAAAGATCGTCGATTTTAAACCAACACTGGTAGCTGCCAGAATCACTCTTCCTTAGGTCAAAAATCATCAAAGTCGAAAGGCATCTACACTTGAAATTTCGGTCGTTTTCGGTCAGGAAGACTGATCGCGATCCCTGCCGGGATTCCACTGTCGTTCCGAACGCGCTAATTCCCGGGGCGCTTATGAGATACTCTTCGTTCCTCCACATAAACCGTTTTGCCAGATCCCCTTGTAATGCCCAGAATTTGACGAAACACCGAAGGTGAACATTTTCACCAACTTTTTTTGTCACATTTCGCATCGGAGGCTGAAATATTTCTAATGGTGTCAGTTGCGGGCTAACTAAATACGTATGAGTCACTACCCACTGATCGTCCCGAAACCTGACGCATTCGTATTTCCCGCTGTGCATATGGAAGAAGTTGTCTAGTTCCACGGTGAATGAATTCGTAACAGGATTTTGCCTAACTCTCGTTCTCCGTGTAAGCTTTTTAGTGTCACAATGAGTCGCACAATCGCAGCAAATAAAATCATTCTCCAAATTTTCACGCTTTCGCCGGCGTTTCGTGGTAAAGTTGTATAAAAATTGGCCATTGTACATGAACTGGGATGATGACGGCTGTGGATTCGGAGAAAGGTTGAAATTGCTTCCGTTACACCGAAAAATGACTGTGCTTCCTGTTGGAGCCCTGATGACGCTTCCGATTGACAATTTTCTTAGCAAAGCGTTTTCGTCTTGCGAAAGATGTAAACAGTAAATGCCGTTAGTCCCGGTGGAAATGGACTGATCCAGCAAGTTGATGACTATGCAAAATAAAACATGGCTTTTATCTTTCTTTGGTTTACAACTTTACATTAGCATGTTCAGTACTACAGTCTGTAAATTAATAATAAATTCATTTTCTGAATATTTTCACTTTTATTTAGTGCTGTAAAATTCGATTATCTGAGCAATTTGTTATTTTAAAAGGCAGTAATACGTATGAAGAATAAAAATATAATAATACCCAACAAAATGTGCAAACGATTCGAAATTTTATGATTAAAGATGCAGGAACCTACTTGTATTTCGGGCGTGCCTACGCTCACTCTGTACGGAGCACGCACAAGAAAACTGAAACGTTATACAGAGGCAAGGGGCCAGTAAACTCGATAAGATATAGTAAGACACCATTTTAAATACGAACGATATTGATATCGATAGTTAGATAATAATCGTATAAACTATTAACCAAAATAACTGAAATAATAATTGTAATGCACCATAATTCACGGTAACGATTACTACTCCAGTTAAATCTGGATTATGACCACGTGGCTGCATAGTCACTACGTGCAGCCAGACCCCCTCCGGGAGGATGATTGGAGGAGTACAGGGAAGGTGTGTTGAACAATATCGTAAACCCCTTCTTTTCACAGTATATCGGGAAACAGAAATCTTGCTTCTGGACAATGTGAATCGCCTCCTTTTTTCAGTAACAGCAGGCATGGTAAACGGATAGTGTGAGCCGATTAAAGAGCAGGCATTGATAGCACTAATCAGTGGTCAGTGGGGTGTCTAAGGACTAAGGGTTGCCGTTGGATAAAAATTATATCGTCGGTATTTTGCCATTTTGGCCACATGACACTCCGGCTGCCTGACTCTTCGGGTGCGCGCCGCGCGGCTGATTCGAAAATATTATGCATTACGTACACTTGCGCAGCAGATTCGAAAATGAGCTATCATTTGTACGAGTATAATGTGCCTGTATGCATTACCGTGCATGGATTTGATTATAGCAGGATTATAGGTTTTATAGCTAAATCGAACACCGTTTTGTGGTCATTTCTCAGGTTTTTCTTAAGTTTTGTTTTCTTACGTTTCCTTCTGTTTTTTTTTCTTATGTTTTGTAATGTTTCCTTATTTTTTCTTACTCTGGCGGCCGAAGTGTCGGGTGGCCAAAGTGACGGGCTGCCGAAGTGCCAGGAAGCCATCTCAGTCTTGAACGCGTGATGACTGAGGATGCACACTTTGCACAGTACCCTGAGATGTCGTACCATCCGTTGTGCCATTGGCACCGAACAGTGGTATTATGATACACTAAAAACGCCGAACGGTGCACAGTGGTAAGCTGTACTGTACTGATCCCGCTCACTACAGACTGTATGTGCGTAACTGCGAATGTTGTCTTCGTAAATTACTCGTCAGTGCTAGCAGAGCAGGTTCGGTAATTTCCGTCCACTCAGCAGCCCGGATCTGTGATCCAGAACAGTGTCATATGGGTTGGCCAACGTTGATAAAAGTCAACACTGCAAAATTGCAAATACATATGAGCAAGCCCTAGTCGCATAAAGGCGCTAGATTACAATATTCTTGTGTGTTCGCTAAAAATACCGGTGTTTTAACATAAATGCTACCACTACAGCTGACTATTGTACCAGTAACGGTACCATTCTCGCTACCGCAGTACCAGTGACATCAACTAGTACTAACATTACGGACGTTGCCACAAAGCCCAATCGAAATTGATCGTGCATCCCAATCGAAATTGATCATCTTCAGCCAGACAAGAGCAGGAATAGCAAAAAGTTTCGATAGCAGGAACGGATACGCAGTTGTTAAACGAAAGTTTACCGCGACTTTCCGCCGCAGCTCTTTTCCCGAGTGCTTCGGTGGTTGTAACAGAATGGGATAATAAATACCTACGTTGCGTGACGCATCTGTTATCGTAATATTGTCGTACTATTGGTAGCCTGCACACGGAGGATACGGTACTTTCTCGAAATTATCAACCATAAGTAAATAGTTTTTAAAGCTGTCTCATTCTGGCTATTACCTGACCAGCACGCCTTGCTATCTTGTTTTTGCCGAATTGCGGTGCAGTAATATCGTCAGCTGCTCCACCTAATATGGCGAATCCGGACGGCAAATACAGATAGTGTAGAACCAGGACGGTGTTCTATAATCTACAAGAAACAGCCTCGGCTTCGCCTCCGCGTTTTTTGTGATCAACGGCCACTTTGTTTAGTTTTTAGTGAATATGTATTAGAATAACATTTATATTTCGTCGAAACATAATCGGTACATCGTATTAGCGCAAAAAAACGGATTTTACGAGGTATATAAAAACACGGGTTTTATTTTAATATCATTTTTTTAATCAGTTCATGATCTCTCAAATCACCATAAATTTTCACAACTGAATCCAGGAATCTGTGAATCTCAACCTGATGAATCTGAGTAGTGGAAGCTCTGTCACTCGTTCGTTTGACGGGATCTGTGCATTGGACAGTAGTGCAAGCTTGGTCCCCCGTTCACCTAACGGTCTCCGTAAACTGGCAAGTACCGGCAGTTTGGTCACTCCTTCACCTGACAGAATCCATGCACTGGACAGTACCGGTAGCTAGCTCGTTTGCCTAACGGGCTATTTGCGCTGGACAGTACCGGTAGCTCGGTCATCCGGTCACCTATCGGGTCCCGTTCACCGAACAATACCGGTAGCTTGGTCACTCGGTCGCCTCACCGGCTCTGTGCACTGGACAGTACCGGTAGCTCGGTCACCCGTTCACCTAACGGGTCCCGTACACTGGACAATACCGGTAGCTTGGTCATTCGTTCGTCTAACGGGCTCCCTGCACTGGACAATACCGGTCGCTCGGTCACCCGTTCACCTAACGGGTCCTGTACACTGGACAATACCAATAGCTTGGTCACTTGCTCTCCTATCGGGTCCTGTACACTGGACAATACCGCGATAACTTGGTCCCCTGCTCACCTATCGGGTCGATCCCGTACACTGGACAGTACCGGTAGCTTGGTCACTTGGTCGACCGGCACTCGTGCAGAAATTGTCTTCGATGACAACGTTCATATGTGGTCGTTCTTGTCGTAAAATTTAAACGGTCTGCTAATTAAATTCATTCTGATACTTTAAATACTGTACTAGTAGAAATGACTACAATTCTTTTACAAATGTAGCTATATTTTAGGTGGTTTACGTGGCAACATTGCCTGGTTAAAAATACCACGATGATAATAATTATTATTACAATAATTTAGTTGCATTTGGTGAAGATAGTCAAAACTCTCCCGTTTTGGCGTTCGAAGCGGGAGAGGTTTTGAAAGAAATGAATACTATCTGGCCGGGTTTTTCGAATACGGGCTTTCATGATATAATATTGGTTTTGGTCAGCCTTTTCTGGTTTGCCGGTTCTGGTGTATCCCATTCGTGGCAATATAGATCTGAATTAGGAGAATCAGGATAGTAAGGAAATAATAATAGACTTAATGCTTCCGTACTCCTAGACCGCAGTCCTGCAAAGCGAAGTCGAAATCTTACGCACTCCGTGCGCTGATACTATTGGGCAGGTCACAAGATATAAAATTCAGATCGTTCGTTCTTGCTGAATGTGTTCAGCGAACGCTTGTAGTTTCATTTCATCATCACGATTTAAACGGTTTGTGGTAAAAACCTCTAGCAGTATGCAGAATTTCGGGTAAAATACTCCTTCGTTCGTGCACCGGTACAATGCATACCCTTCCAGTTCCAGAAACTTTCCTAACTTGTTACTAGATCTAGAAAAGTATAAACTACTATGGTGTAATTAGTGCAGTATACCCGCTGGAGCTCGCCTAAGGGGAAGCCTAAATCCGCCAAAACGTCTGAATACTGGACGCTTTCGGCGGACGTTTTTTTAGAGATCTCTTTTTATCCTGTGCAGCACCGCTTACGACAGATATTTTATTATCCATAATTTAAAGGGGAGAGAAGAGAGTGTACCGACAGTGAGCAATTGTGCCTTAAGCTATGATTCTCGATCGGCTGCATCTGCGCACTTCCGGCCATGCCGACACGCTTCGAAACCTCAGTAATATATCGCACGGAAAGCCGGCTGTTTCCACTTTCCACCATATGATTCCGAGATGCAAAAACCAGCGTGCAATATAGTAATCGAAGTTAAGGGATTACTGTAAACCTGTCTGGGGGGCTGCACCGTAACTCAGTGTAAAGCACATGGAGCAGTAACCACACGCGCAAGCTAAAGATAAGGGACCAGGTCTGCCAAAATTTGGTTTGGTCAAAAACGCTAAACATTTTCACGGGTAGCAGTAATTACAGAGTCTGTTACGATTCGCGTGCGCTTGACCTGACTATGCTCTCACAAATTAATATACTTTATGATGTTTGATTATTCCTTAAATTGTATGGTTCCAGAGCCAGCTTTTGGCACTGGAAGGACATCTCAGATACTTTGGTATTTTAGCTGAAGTTAGCTCCCCATCATTTTATTTCGTAGCAAAATTTCGTTTAGGTATTCCGTATTTTATTTCGGTCAGATTTTGTTAGACTTTAAGTAGGAAAGATAGAGCTAAAAATTCTACACTCAAACATTGAGATTTAACCGAACAAAATATTTTTACACTTAATTTTTAAAATTTTTGAAATCTTGGAAGTCCCAAAAAGATCCAACTAGTGCTAGAACGGTTAAACACGATTGAAGAAATTAATAGTGGGTGTGTGGCCGGGGCAGGGGAAAATCGATGACTGCAGTGTGACTGCATCTTTGACTGGTAGATATTCTCGCTAGGACGAAGTGCTCGTCATATATCTGTACCGCAGCATCGCTGTTAGTACCTAGACTGACCCGAAACCAAGTAATATAAGTAAGCAGATACCGAGATATGCACTGTTATTTTTGTTAAATTAAATGCACATTCGACGCTTAAATAGCCGAATGAAATGAAGTAGATACTGCAGTTCTGCTGTTGTGTGAAATTCTAACGGGTACTTCGGCTTTTCTCAACAACCGCTCAGCTTTTACCATTCACAATTAATTGTCAGCAGTTTAAGCAGTAGCACATCCATTTTATGCGAGCTGCTGATAGAAGTACGTGCTGTACCGAATGCCGGGTAGGACCAATACGAGTATGGAATACTTCGGTACTAACGATAAATAAAAGGGGCTGACAGTTGCTTAGGCCAGCACTCCTTGTACTTGCTGCCGTCACCCGGCAGGTATTTTACGTAGTGGCTAAACACGGTGGTTACGTACCGCGCCAGATTTAACCGTATGCATTGCTGCAACGTCATATTCCGGCCGGGTGACGACAGCAAGCACAGTTTTTTCCTTGCTCTTTGACAGCTCTTTTATATTACAGTACATATACTCGTACAGTATACCAGTAAATACCAGAGGCCATTACATGCTTCCAGACACAATGCGACGTTCCAGGTTCCTTTGCGGTTTGCATCACGTAACCCTATGTCGTTTCTGTTCAAATAATATCGGCTCTGGTTGCATTTCTTATGATTCGCTTACGGGTGGGTGAATTTGATGTCGCCATTTTGTGCAGAGAAAACTGTAATTTTCTAGAAATCTCATTTGAAAAATGCCATCAACATTATGGCAATTCTTTGCAGCTGATTTCTTTAGTAGAAGTAACAGTACTTGCGTAAGTTTATTGAACACTGAACAGACAGCAACAGCAAAAAATTTAACTTGAACGTTGCGGTGAAAGCACGAAAAAGGGCAACTGCGCGATGTAACAAGCGCAGTACCGGCAAGTACAAGTTGCGTCCTGGCCTGACAATAGAGCAAGTTCATGGAGTGACTAGTAGCCTAACATGCAAGTACAGAGAGTACTCGTATTTCTTCAACGTATTTGCGTATCAGCCCATGTTCCATTTTAGTATTTGGCTGATTCGATATCTGCCGGTATTTGCAAAACCATGCACGCGGGTTACAAATACGTCCAACGTAATTTGAACCGTAAATACAGTATCTCCAGGTAGAGTAGGTTTCACAGATTATTTTTCAGTTTGGCCGACAAAAATGCTCCAGCAAAATTTTTTTCCATGTTTCGAGAACAGCCGAATGTTAATCTGCCTAGGATGTTTCACCGAGTAGTGGATTTTACTCCACAACTTCATAATCCATCCGTTTTACAAATTTCTGCTGCTAAGTATGTAGATAAAAACTAACTGTAAGGCTGACACTATATAGCAAATACCTAAGAATATTTTATATATTAATAGATTCATATATCCTTACGTCCTTATTTTTTGGAAATTATCTTCTAATTCGAGATTTAATTTGTGATACTTTCGATATTTTTATAAAGCCCAGCGTCTTTCAGAGTTTCCTACCTGTAGTTCGAAAAAAGCTTTTTTGTTTGCAGAACTTTTCTAAAAACGTTTCAAACTTTCAGTACTTAGGGTTTCAATAGATTCATATATCCCTACGTAATCATGTTTTGGAAAATGCCTCTTAATTCGAGATTCAATTTGGGAAGCTTTTGATAGTTCTATAAAATTCAGCATCTTCCAAAGCTTCCTACCTGTAGCTTGGAAAAAACTTTTGGTTTCCGGAACGTTTCCAAAAACGTTTCAAACTTTCAGTACTTAGCGTTTGAAGCTCTTAGAAATTTTCAGTAAATTCTGGAAAGGTCTCGAATGAGGAAAAAACAAAGTTTCGCAACTTAGCAACCTAAACAATAGTTATCGGTATCTCTTTGTGTTATTTAGATCTATGCGTGCAACAAATATTTATTAAAAATATTTAATTTAATACAGGACTACAGTATTCCCTAAGATGTTGGCAAAGTACAGATTACATATGCCTAACTTAAGTAGGCAGAAGGCAGTGCTACTACGCACTAGGCACAATTCATGACAAGCAGAATGCAAGAAAACTGTCCAACTTAAAACCATATTTTCACTTTTCGGATTCCTTGATTTCAGAAATTCAGAAGTATCAGATTGTCAGTCGAAAGATGTTGGTGGAATAGCGCCGAGAAAATTAAACGGATACTCTACTACAATACGTAACAATAGATAGCGTTGGTATGGTTGGGCATCCCCGGTAGAATCTTGGGAGGCGTGGAATTGGTAGAATACCGTTTGGTAAAAAGAAATAAGCACTTAAAACATCGCTCTATTTATTAAAGTATTTTACCAAGCAGATAAAAGAGAAATAAGAATGCTACCCCACAAGCGGGTTACACAATTTTAAATCTAGTGAGAGCGGATCGAGCCCGAGCCGACTCCGCATCTGTGTCGAACGTTATCTTTGTGCTGGGAAGTTAGTTGTTATCTATCTTTGGGAAGACATAAACTTCTAACGGTGATATAGAAACCGTCATGATAAACTACCGTTACGGTAATCGGCAAACCGTATCATACGATACTCTACTTACGGTATAAACCGTATAACTAGATTAGAGTTCTGCCTATGTTAGCAAAAAATAATCAGAGATCGCCCGGGTCTACTATAATTTTCGCAAGCCACGAGTTTCCATACAACCCCGCTCGACAACGTGCCCTGAACGTTATCGTACAAATGAACGACGTACCGACAACTGTTTGACCTTTAAAGCCCGGGCCAGCGAAGAAGATACATCTCGATGATTCCCACTGGAAAAGAATCTGCATAATAACAGAACGATTTGCAAATACTGAACGTAAACACTGACAAAAACACAATAGCTCAGTTCTTTTGATTTAGTTGTATTGCAAATGTCGGCCAATTTCCGGGGCGCGCGACCAAAATTCAAGTGGAAACTGGCTGCATGAAGGAGGGTATTACTGTAGCCGCTAGATGAAGTGAGACCACTGTTAGATCCGGGCGTTGCCTTCCACTCGTCGGGCATTGAGCACGAGTACTGTAATGCCCTTGCCAGGGCACCCCAAAAACCACAACAAATCAGATTTATAAACAGAAAACTATCAGATCTCTGATATTCTGCTCTTACAGTAATTATCTTTCGTTGCAAAGAATAAGAAAATAACCAAAAAAAACAGTAAAACATGTAAAATGTCGGTAGTAGCAGTGTAAAACAGTTTGATTTTTGCATGGAGCAAAGTGTGTATATTGGGCTTGCATTTTTCCGTACACCAGACTCTGTGGTCTCACTTCATCTAGCGGCTACAGTATATTGCACGAACTTTTGCATGCGCTGGGTAGCTATCACGGAAAAACTTCACCCGGACCGCGGTGAGTCCATCCAAGCGATTTCAGAAACATTATAGGAGACATGTACGACACCAACTACGCGATCCTACCGCATATGCCCACCCACGGAATTCCGTACGACTGCGAGTCTATCCTGCCCTATACAGCCTGGAACATAGTAAAGAGCCGCGACAAACCGATCATCATTCCCAAGATTCGCTACCCTTAAGAATAGATTAACGCAAATGGCTAAGCGCATTGGATGTCGCAAAGCTAAAGAAGACACGAGTGTATCGACGACTTTAAAAAATGGAGCGAGCACAGCCTTTGCATTGGAGTTATACCGCGTAAATGAGTACGACTGTACGAGTACTTGTACTCGCAATAACATGGTTTATCTTGACGTTATATAGTCTGGGCAAATTTTGCTCGTTTAATTGCGGTTTGTGTAAACAGCGTTTAAATTAAAACATTATGGAAAACATTGCTACAACCATTGTAACAGCAATCAACTTCTTTTAGATCTTCTTTAACGCGGTTACCATCGCTTTACACGATCTTCCAAAGGTCTACATGCACAGTGGCGAATCTAGGCGGGTTTGGACGGGGGGGGGGGGGGCTAGAGAACTTGCACCAAAGGGGGAGTATTCTCTCGCTTTTCGGCGACCTCCGGCGTAAAAAGTTCGCAACGTACCCCCTCTTGCGAATTTTTTACATCACGGGGAGGCAATAGCCCCGGGAGCCCCCTTAAATTCGCCGCTGTACATGCAAACAAACTGGTACAAAATAACCCATGTACTTCCGCTATGTTTTACAAAAATATATATTCCAGTACTGGAACGACTTATTCCGATCGCGAAGTGAATATACAGTCTGCACTAGATATATATATATATATATATATACTATATATATATATATATATATATTCATTCGCGATCGGAATAAGTCGTTTTGGTTCTGCCCTGCTTTATCGGAATGCAGAAAATTTGACGCTTTGTGGATTTATTTTTTTGCCAACAAATTTCAACTGTACAGCTAGATCTGGCCAGATTCGGTGAAGGCATGCTGCCGGAGTACCGGTTATAAAGAATATGAGCGTTAATTTCATATAATTATTCATTTCAGGTCAGTATTGATTGATATTTCATTATTTTAATATCAGTATTGATTCTATTGTACATGGAGCCGCCTGCGCAAATGAATGAAAAATCCGAAAGAGCACCACAGAGGTAGTTACCGATCTCCAACGGCGATCACGACGAAAGTACGGCACTTACTCACTGCATACGCCATAGCCGATTATCACATTTCCGGAAGAGCTATGCGGGGAGGCACGAAAAAACCGTGATACAAGAATGGTTTAATTTAGCCTGAAATTTTCTTGAGGTGTGGGATCAGGTCGAACAACAGCTTAAAGAATGAGTTTGACGCGTAGTGACAAGAAGTTACACCATAAATACACAGATAAAATATTTATTATTAGCTTATACGGTACATAATTAGTACAACACACTTTGCATATGCGGTCTATCTGTCTTCCAAAACTATTGGTATTATGAGTTAAATTGTAGGGATTATGATTTACCAGTCATCTATTAATTATTATAATAATGAATAATTTAGCAAATACAATTGATAATTATTTTCTGTTGTTGCTGTTATTTGCGACAAAAAGTCAGTTAGGCATAATTAATTAAAAACTGGCTACTTCCATATTGGAGAAGAAAAACATTCATTTCTTTTACACGTCCGTTGGAATTCCTTTCATGCGCATTCGATTTGCTGCTGGTTGACGTGCGTCTGGATGCAGTCGCCTTTTCTTTTTATGGCGACGGATACAACACGCCACAACTAGAAGGAAACCATTAAAAACAGGTTACATACCATAGTAAGCAGATCAAAAATGAGATTTCTCCAAATTTATCTGTTGTTACAAGAAGGATCGTATCAGCTAACAGTGGGAAATTGCGTTTCAGGACTACAGAGCTCTGTAAATTACCGAGGTAAATAGTAGGAGGTACTGTAGTGAAAAACGAAAAAATATTACTTAATCCAATTTTTTCGTCCAGCAAAGAAAGCAAGCTGGCAACAAAAAAATGTTAATTACTTTTTTAGTTCTGGATTGAACTTAATCTTTCTGTCTTACTGCCACTTAAACTGTGATTCAAACTAATGCATGCAGGAATGTATAAAGAAACGCTTTCTTCCGGACAGTAAATTTTTTCAGCGAGACCAACCGACAACCATGCACACAAGCAGATTATTGTTTCACACAACAGCCACCCGTGGAAAGGAGGTATCGTTTGCACAGTATGCGTGGTAAAGGCGACAGTCGTCCGTGGATGGCTGGCAGTTGCTTGCACTATATGCACGGTTGTCGGTTGGTCTGGCTGAAAAAATTTGCTGTCGGTTTGACTGCGTGTATCCTCGTATACTTTAACCGGTACTGCAGTAGCGTAATCGGCGTATGGAGTGTGGATTCTGTTCCCGAATTTACCTAATTCTACATTGGCAAAGTGATAATATGTACAAGAAACAGCCTCGGCTTCGCCTCAGCGTTTCTTGTGGTCCATGGCCATTTTATTTGAATTTGAATGAATATTTATTAGATTAACATCAGTGTATTCGTCGAAACATGATCGGTACATGCAATAGGGCAAACACGAATTTTCTATGAAAATCAGTTCATGATTCTCTCGACCTTGAAACCATTCCCTTTCGCTGTACATACAGATAATTTATGATATCCCCTACCCGAAAAGAAAGCCGAAATATCAGTCTATAAGGTGTGAAATTCGAAACAGTGATAGTGCACTAGATCACTAGTTCGGTAACTCATCACTTCACTGGCTCTTTTCACTGGAAGTTGGTGTGTGCCCAGCGGTGTATGTCCGGTCAGTAGTGGTGGCTCGATTACTTGCTTAGCTAACCGGTTCCGTTCGCCGGACAGTAGTGGTAGCTCGGTCACTCATGTACACTGTACAATAATGACAGCTCGGTCACCCGCTCACCACCCGGGCTTTCTGCGCCGGACAGCAGTGGTAGCTCGGTCACCCGCTCACCTAACGGACTTTGTACACTGCACAGTAGTGACAGCCGCCACTGACAGCTCGGTCACCCGCTCACCTCCCGGGCTTTCTGCGCCGGACAGCAGTGTTAGCTCGATCACCCGCTCACCTAACGGACTTTGTACACTGGCAGTAGTGAAAGCTCGGTCACTCGTATCACCTCCCGGGCTCTGTGCACGGACAGTAGTGGTAGCTCGGTCACTTGTTTCATCTCGGCTTCGCTTCCCGTTTCTTGAGTTCTACGACTGGTCTGTTCGAATTTTTATTTTAATCGTTTTTATTCGTATCTTTTGGCTCTGTAAACTGGACTGTAGTGGTGGACTGGTGGGGCTTTCTGCGCCGGACAGTAGTGGCTGCTCGGTCACTCGCTCACCTAACGGACTTTGTACACTGGACAGTAGCAACAGCTCGGTCACCCGCTTACCTTCCGGGATCTGTGCACGGACAATAGTGGCAGCTCAGCACTCTATCACCGAACGGGCTCTTTTGGCCGGACTGCAGTGGTAGCCCGGTCACCCGCTGACCTAGCGGACTTTCTGCGCCGGACAATAGTCACAGCGCGGTCACCCGCTCACCTAACGGGCTCCGTGCACCGGACAGTAGTGGTAAATCGGTCACTCGTTCCCTGACGGGCTTTGTACACTGGACAGTGGTGACAGCTCGGTCACCCGCTCACCTCCCGGGCTTTCTGCGCCGGACAGTAGTGGTTGCTCGGTCACTCGCTCACCTAACGGACTTTGTACACTGGACAGTAGCAACAGCTCGGTCACCCGCTTACCTTCCGGGATCTGTGCACGGACAATAGTGGCAGCTCAGCACTCTATCACCGAACGGGCTCTTTTCGCCGGACTGCAGTGGTAGCCCGGTCACCCGCTGACCTAGCGGACTTTCTGCGCCGGACAATAGTCACAGCGCGGTCACCCGCTCACCTAACGGGCTCCGTGCACCGGACAGTAGTGGTAACTCGGTCACGCGTTCCCTAACGGGCTTTGTACACTGGACAGTGGTGACAGCTTGGTCACCCGCTCACCTCCCGGGCTTTCTGCGCCGGACAGCAGTGGTAGCCCGGTCACCCGCTGACCTAGCGGACTTTCTGCGCCGGACATTAGTGACAGCGCGGTCACCCGCTCACCTAACGGGCTCCGTGAACCGGACAGTAGTGGTAACTCGGTCACTCGGTCACTCGGCATCGGACAGTAATGACAGCTCGGTCAACCGCTCACATAGCTATCCATAGTGGCAGTTCGGCCACTGGCTTAGCGGGCTATTTTAACTAGAATGTAGTGGTATTTGGGCTGGCTTAGCGGGCTATTTTAACTAGAATGTAGTGGACCTAGCGGACTTTCTGCGCCGGACATTAGTGACAGCGCGGTCACCCGCTCTCCTACCGGGCTCTGTGCACCGGACAGTAGTGGTAACTCGGTCACTCGTTCCCTAACGGGCTTTTTACACTGAAAAGTAGTGACAGCTCGGTCACTCGGTCACTCGGTCACTCGGCATCGGACAGTAATGACAGCTCGGTCAACCGCTCACATAGCTATCCATAGTGGCAGTTCGGCCACTGGCTTAGCGGGCTATTTTAACTAGAATGTAGTGGTATTTCGGTCAACTAACGGGCTTGTGCACTGAACAGTGGCGGTAGTTCTGTCTGTCGCTGCTTGGCCGGCACTGGTTTAGAATGGTCCTCGATGACAACGTTGGATATGTAGTCGTTCTTGTTGCAATAACGCCAACGCCCAACGGTCTGCTAATTAAATTGATTCTGATATTTTTAATTAGTGAAAGTATGAAAGTATTTAATTAGTGAAAATGAAAGTATGAAAGTATTTTCATACTTTCATTTTTTAACTATATTTTATTTGGTTTACGTGGCAACATTGCCTGGTTAAAAATACCACGATGATAATTATTATTATAATAATTTAGTTACATTTGGTGAAGGTAGTCAAACCTCTTCCGCTGTGGCGCTCGAAGCGGGAGAGGTTTTAAAAGAAATGAATACCATCTGGCCGGGTTTTCGACTACGGGCTTTCAGAATATAATATTGGTTTTGGTCAGTCTTTTCTGGTTTGCCGGCTCTGGTGTATCCCATTCGTGGCAATATAGATCTGAATCTTGATAATATAAAGAAGAAATCATTAGTTAATACACAAATTTAACAACAATAAAATTTTAGTATGAGCATGACCAGTGTATTGAAAAACCCTTACTGCCAACAAATTTTTACCGTATTTTAAACTTTAAGAATTAAGGCCTGTTTAAAATTTCCTATTTTTATTTCAGTAAAAATCGATTTTTTGAAATTCTTTTAGAAAAACTCTAAAGTATTATTTTTCAGTGCATCCTGTTTCAACGTTCAACTTTATATTTTACGGATACTAAAATAGTTATATCGATCTGTATATTTGTAGTAAATAATGACAGTTTTTTTTTTACACGACCCGTATATTTTTTCAGTGAAAATTGTTTGACAAAGCTGCAAGTTGTGACGATTCGAGCTCCCACAGTTCGCCCATCACGCACAAATTAAGCAGTTATGCCGCTGTGCGCTTATCCTGTTTTAGTCTCTCTCGTTAAGTTAATCGTAATCGGCTATCAATTAGGGTACTAGGATAGTAATAATGATTAATATTACTGTTCGCATATTTGCTGTTACTAACCCAAGCCGGTGATTGCGCAGCCAAAAGCGAATGCCACAACAACAAAGGCACCGACCTCGGCCAGTGTGTACGTCCGCTTTTCTTCGTTTCCAGTTGTTTTTCCTTGATCGGATGCCCCTCCGGCATCGTTCAGACTCCCCTTCTCCTCTGCGGTGTCATCCAGAAGTGTAATTTCCGTGGCCGGAGAAGAATCTCCGGCAGCCAAGGTGGGATTGGACGTCCGGCAGGGACACTTTGTCGTGGCTGCACAAGCAGGCTTAATAACAACAAATAATATAAGCAACGCGGTTGTTGCTACAATAACTGTCATGGTGACTCTTGACCAAAGCTATTTTTAAATCGTAAAATATAATGCTCCTCGTTTTCAGAATTTTGTGAGTATAACTGAATCTCGTATATCGCCGGCAAAATGGTTGGGAATTTAATAATGAAACTGTGATTGACGGTGCATTATGCATTTATGTTGTGAGCCGATTCACACTGCACAGTATTGATTTTATTGATCGCTATTTCGATACATTGCTGTTTCGATACTTTTCGATTGCTGTTTCGATACAACGCGAGTGCTATTGTACCAATACGTATGGCCTCTGCGCTGGTTCTAATCAGCTGCAACCAAATCGTCGCCGTGACCTTTCCTCACTCCTACTGTCTGAATTTTCCTCGTATCTGCCCTTGTTCCGTGTATTGGAACGGAGATAAGCGTTCATCTAATGTGCCTGTCAGATGGGACACGGAAGCAGAGCGAAAATATGGGGCAAATATCCCTTTATTGTGATAACAATAAAGCAACCACAAACAAACACAGAAATGCCAATGCGGCGTATGCTGTGAAAAGTAGCTGCGAGCGCGCAAGTCAGTAAAAATGTAATGATGCAGCGTGCTGCAGGTATGCAACAGCTGATGCCGTAAAGCATGGTATCGCTCGTAGGCGCTGGGCTACGCCCCCAAGAGTGCAGAAATGCGCTGATTGGTCAGCGTAGACAAAGTATACGCTGAGTGAGCAGCGTAATAGCGCGGCACGAATGGAGTAGCCGTGCGCGGGCGGGCGACAGAGCAAAGCCACAAGAGGTGTCTACCGCCTCGAGTGTGCGGTCTCTGACATGCCTCTGGGCGGGAGTGGGAGCTCCTGCGAGCACCTTCCGACTCTGCCCCTGGCCAACCCGGTAGGGTGCCAGGATCCGATACCCGGTAGGGCCGGATGCCACTTTGTCTCTAAACCCGGTAGGGTCGGTCGCTCCAGACCCGCGGTGCAGTGCACCGAACGGCCGAAATCTGGAGTGCACTCTGGTTGCTGGGGGTTCCAGTGTGGTTGAAGGCTTGCTTTGGTCGAACAAGTAAAAAAATAAAGGTTTATAAGGCTCATTGGTTAAACATCGAAATAGAAAAATCACAATTTCAGTGAGAATTAGAGTAAAGATCATAGTTAGAGATCCCAAAGCCAATTCCTTTGGTTAATGGCTAAATAAAAACATCAATTTCTTTGGTTAATAAGTCTAGAAAAACCAGGTATGGTTAAAAAACTAGACGAAAAATGGCTTATTCCGACTAGGTTTACCACAGGGCCATTTGAGTCCACAGGGGTCCTAGTCAACGGTCCGCTTTATCCGGTAGGATTGGTCTGGTCCTGTGAATCCGGGGCGACGGTTCCCAGAGATGTCCACAGGGGTCCAATGGAGTAAATCCAGCGGTGCGGTATATGGAAGGCACGGTTGCATGCGCAAGGACAAGTTGTCCCCTTCCTTGTTAATGTATGGTGGACCAAGCCCGGTTGGGCGGTCCATGATGGGCCAGAGTGATGCCTCTGGACAGGAGAGGTGCCTTTGTGACCAAATTAATGTGCTTGGACCAATTCCGTTAGGATGGCCATGCTTTGGTCCGGGATGCCTCTGTTGGACCTGACCCGTTAGGGTTGTCCCAGGTATGGCGGGAGTGGGAGTCCTGTCGGATTCCTTCTCGGTGGCCAAAATTGGTGCTTTGGACCAGTCCCGTTGAGGTGGTCCATTTTGGTCGGGTTTGGCCCTGCATGCTGGTTTGGTCATGCGCCTCGGGCCAAAAATCTTCTAAGTCCAGGAGGGCCACAATGGAAAAATTTTCTAAGTCCCAGGACCGAGGTGGTGTGATGGACCAAACCCGTTAGGGCGGTCCAAACTCGGTCTCTGACATGCTCTAGGCCGGGATACGAGGTCCCATTGTGATATGGCTCACCTCCGGCTGGTGTGGGACTTTGGGGTCCTGTATGGCCAGGTTTGGCCCTCGGATGTGGACTTAGTCGATTTTTGGTGGGCCACGTCGTTGGACGGGCCAAAAGACTTAGTCGATTTTTGGTGGGCCACGTCGTTGGACGGGCCAAAGTGGCAACCATGTCCGATAAGTTACCGTGTCGGATAGGCGATTTCCCTGAGACCGTGGCCATAACAAAATTAAGTGGCTTCTGACGAAAACATCAGATTGGCCTGGCCAAACTCCAAAAATTAAGTTGTGGGCGCCGGTAGGCGTTTACCACAAAGGAGTTGGTCTTCTGACTAGGGACATCCTCGTTTGGCCTCGGGGCGGTGCATCTGTTGGATGAGCCTCTGGGCGGTCCATGGTGAGGATGTTGGACATGGCATGCAAAGTGGGCGTACCACAACTTCTATGTGGCTCCCACAACTCATTTGTCCCAGTTGCCTAGTACGGCAACTAGACTCATGAGCCACATATGGTCCGTTGGACACATAGTGGGCCTGGTCCAATTTCTATGGGCCAGGCCTTGGCCGTGGCTTGTCGCAATTTCTATGCGGGCCAGGCTGATCCACGGTTTGTCGCAACTTCGATGCGGGCCGTCGCCGCCTTCTGGGCGCTGGATCCTTTCCATGCCGGGGAACTTAGCTCGCGCCAAGTTCGGTCCGGTGGACTCCGTCGGATGGTCTGGGATGGCCGAGCCAAATTCATGGTCCCAGCCGCTAAGCCAGAGCCAATCCGGGGAATCCGGTTAAGATCCAGGGATTTAGGTCCGGTAAGGTAGACAATACATGGCCGTAAGCCACGTTTGTTGGGCGAGGGCTACAACCGTTAGATTGTACCCATCATGGTGTTCGAGTCCGATCCAGCCGATGCCGGTCCACTTCTAGGGCCGACATGCAGGAATGGCTGTTAGCTTATTCCTGCCCTCCCTGTCCGGCTTGGTCGCCGTCGCCTGGCCCAGGGTTGAGCGGGTCGACGACGCTTTCCTCCATGGCCGCCAGTTCCTGTTCGGTCTGGTTGTCCCGTGGTTGGCTGGAGGCGCTGGTCGGCTGAGCTTCTTGGCCAGAGTGTGCGGCCTGAGTCTGGACGTGTGCGGACGATGCTGTTGAGGATCGCTGAGTACGAAACTTCGTTGGAAGTTTCCGTGTTGCCGTTCGATTAACGAACGCTTCCGCACCGTCGTCGAAGTCCGTTGGCTGTCGATAGCGGTAATCTTTGGCGCGGCTCCTATAAACGTTCAGGGCGCTCTGAATTTTGACTCCCGCTTCGACCTCGTGGATCTGGTTTCCGAGAAGGGCCACTTGGGTCAGTAATCGGGGAATGATTTTCCCCTGCCGGTAGGCAACTTCGAGTTCCCAGTGGCACCGTAGGTGTCCAAGTCTGGCGGCAAAGATGCGTATCATCATGCCGTTATAGGAGTAAGCGTGCACTTCTGGGTTATCCTTATGGTCAACCGGTTTGCATGGAATTTCCATAGCAGCTCTGGTGGCTGCCATTATGAAGCTGGCGTTCGCGTCCGGTAGGACGAACTGGGCCAGGTATTTGACGACATCAAGTTGGTCGTCCTTAATGTGCAGTTGGCACAGGTCATTCCAGTCCGGTCTAGTGATGGGCTGTCCGAGTAAGTTCACGTCCGTAATGCTCGATAGAGCATTATCACGGACCATAGGGTAGCCCTCACGATTTTCGGTGTGTTCCGCCATGCTGAAGTCACGGGGCCACTCCTTTTTCTGCATTTCCGTTTCGAGTCCGGACCGGGTGACGAAAGTTTGCAGGTTTTGGACCATGGCGTTGACTTGAGCCCATCTGTCCCTGGGGTATGGGATGGCTCTCATAATGTAATCCGTCACCTCCCGGTGGGGAAGTGGTCGGATATTGATGCCTTGGTCCTCGGCATATTTATAAGGATCAAAGTCCGTAGCACTAACGCTTGCGTCTTGTCGGGCCGGTGGGTCCGATGACGGCGGTGCGGACTCTGTCTCCATCGGGATCTGGATGCTGATGTTATGGGCCACCGAGCTGACATTTCTGTCTAGTCGCTTGGTGGTCTGAGCGACAACCAGGCTGGACTCCGCCTCGCTCCGTTTTCCGGGTGATGTGCGCGTTTGGCGCTCCTCGGGCTGGCCACGACTTTGGCGGCCAGGTTGGCCCTGGTTGCGGCTCTGAATCTGATGACGTAAGTCATCTGGCTTCCGCGGTAGCGGTGCCGACGGCGCTGGCTGATATTGGCCTTTTATGGCATCCAGCAATCCACCTTCCATCAGCTGTTTGGCCACCTGGTCAACCATGGCTTTGTTGATGTTTTCCAGGATCTGGTTGTATTCCATAGGTATAGGCAACTCGTATCCGTGGGAACGAGAGCCTGATGCTGGCCGCTGTGGATGTGACTGGTGTGCGTAATTGCTCGGGGCGGCCGTTGGGCCACGCCCTGAGGACTGGTCGGAGCCCGTGTGACGAGCTCGACGTTCTCGGTCACGTTCCTCCTTTTTGTCTCTGGCCGATTGGCTGAGTGGAGGAATCGGAGTTCCGGTGCTGCTCCAGCCAGGTTGTCGGGCGCCACTGCGTTGCATATAGAGATCGTAGATCTCTATCTGCTCATGGTCCCTCAGTAGGGGAAACAAGTGGCTTCCATCGCGGCTGGTCATGTGGCAGTACGCGTCAAAGTTGCCTCTCACCACTTCCAAGTAGAAGCAGTAGGCTCGGTCATTCTCGTCGCGAAAGCCCGGTCGCAGGTGGTATGCGCAGGGGAACAACTCCGTGAGGAATTGTCCCGGCGGTGAGGATAAGTCAAGTTATCGCCGCTGTTGCGTCTGCAGTCCGAGCATCGCGGTTCATATTTCTGCTGCGGTGTAAGTCCCATTCTCTGTGGTAACAGAAATGAAACTTGCAGAATAAGGTTAAGTCCGCTTTTTATGACAGGTCCCTATGATAATTACGCCCTATGTTTACGTCCCTATGTTTTACATGTGATTTGTTAACTAGGCTTTTCTTGCCCGGTGAATTATATCGGGATCACC